GTCACAGAGCGCCGTGAGATAAGCCATGTCTGTATCGCCAGAGCTGCCCGGCGAAGCGAAGCCGGTAGCTCGCAAATCCGTCGGGGCTCCATACGCCCAAATACGCCATGCGAAGAGTATTCCGACCTTGGCGCCAGAGTTGAAAAATTTGGGGTTGGGCGTGGGCACGCTGGCTGGTCTGCCCACGTCTTCCAGACCCGACTTAAGTCAGGGTGCGAGTGAGACACAATCACCATGTCCCGCTCCACTCCCCACCGCCAGGGACTAGCGCGGGCGGGAGATCGATCGTGGGAGATCTTCGAGAAGGACAGCCGGGGATAAGGCCGTAAATTGACTTCGAGTTCTCCCCGCACCACCATCCCCTTGCCTTCTGATGCATTCCGGGGTACAGAGGGAAGCCCAGATATCATGAGCCCAGGACAAGCAGATCTCGCTGAAACATGAGGCTGAACAAATGCCGGCAGCGACTGACACGTCACACGGCAAGAGTTGCGGTTAGGTACGGCCGTACTGTACAACAAAGTACCGGCTTACTAAGGTCGCGCAGACCAACCAGGTCGATCGAAGCCAGGCCGGGCAATCGCAAGCGATGAGGACACTGAGACTACGAATGAAGTTAGGGCCCTCTTCCGCTATAAGCTCATGTCTGGAGGATAGGCCAGCAGGCCAAAAATCTGATCTGGATCAACTCCCGTATTACCAGTGTCAAGGTTGGGCAGTTTGAGCACCGCAAGGAGCCACTTGAGCTTGGCCAGCACGGCGGCAACGAATTTGTCATCACGCTGAAGAACTGCCAGCCCCTGGGTGGCAACAACTGCTCTCTGGCCCACCGCATGAAGGTGATCCAGCAGTCGGTCGAGTGCGGACTGGCTTATCTCAAGCACAACGGCTACATTAACTACTTCGGTCTCCAGCGCTTCGGAACCTACGCCATTGGCACGCATCTGCTCGGCATGAAGATCCTCGAGGGTGATTATGAGGGTTTCATTGACGACGTTCTGTATATCGACGATGAGACCCTCAAGGATGTCCTGAGCAACGTCCAGCCCCAGTACCAGCCCGGGAAGGACTTGCAGCACTTTGTCCGGAACGTACTCTCGACGTTGTCGAGGTCGATCTCCGCAAAGTCGTCGCACATGATCTGCTTGGACGCGTTATTGACCAACACGTGAATCTCACCGAAGGCGTCGACGTGCTTCTGGATCGCTTCCTTGCATGTCTTGTTGTCCATCAGATCGCCGGGGATCAGCAGGCACTTGCGCCCTTCCTTCTCCACCATCTTCTTGGTGTCTTCGGCGTCCGGCTGCTCCTCGGGAAGATAGACAATGCTGACATCGGCGCCCTCGCGCGCGAAGAGGACTGCAACGGAACGACCGATGCCAGAACTGTCTGTGTCAATGCCGCCCGCTCCCGCGCCCCCGCAGCGGACCAGTCGCGTCAAAACTGGCGGATGGTGCTGCGCGCCTTGTCGATGTCGTTAGGCTTGGCCGAGCCACTCCATTGCGGCGGCAACTGCCGTGTCAAGCTCTGCGTCACCCCCGCCACGGGCTTAAACTCCCTTCCCACTATAGATGGCGATGAGTCCAACAAGATAGTAGGCTGCTGTAGGTGAGACCATGAGCCCCCCGTTTGCCGGCCCCTGAAAATGAGATGCTAACAAACGAGTCAGATCTCCACGAACCCGGCGGAAGCGCCCAACTGGTCCGGCCTCTCCGATGGCATCAAATATGCCATCGTCTTCGAGATGACGCGAGAGGTGCGGCTGAGCGAAGCCCTTGGCTCGAAGCGTCACCGGGGCAAGTGAGCTAACTTCCAGAGCAGTCGTCGAGCTTCTCGAGCCCTGGCTGGCTGCCGAAGGGCAGACGTTCGTCGCCGTGGACGCACGCCGTCAGCCCAATCGTGTCCCGAAGCCGGTCACGGTGCTCAAGGAAAACTACAAGACTAAGCTCCAGGAGCTGGAGAGCCGGATCCAGGAGTTCGTAACCGACAAAGCAAGAGAGAAGCCCAACGAGGACAACAATGCTGTACGCACCAAGCTCGTGGTGCCGCTCTACTGCCCGTTCTTCTGTCCACTCGTCGACTTACGCTTTGGAAAGGTAGCCTCGGAGGGACTCTGAGACTCGATATCAGGCGGTTTGTGAGACGCGTTTTCCCCTCGATTATGGCGGCCTACCGGACACCTTACCAATAGGTTGTTCCTCCTGGCTATCGCCAAGATAGACCTCGCATGTTGGATGAAGTTGGCCGAAGACTCGTCTTGCCTTTCTCGAAACAATTTCCCAAACCAGTACATTATCTCCCTCCGCCGTGACAAGTCAGTACTGTTTAGCTCCTAATACCCTATTAGTCTTAAGAGGTACTAATAAACAAACAGGCCGATCTGCGACATCGCATTTCTGCCCACACCCCACCCAAACCAACGGCTTCCTGTACAAGCTACGTGGAACCTTTAACGTGTAGCTCGACGGGGCAGAGCATAGGAGCAGGGGCTGACATGATAGACAAGGTACCTAGTGCTTGTGTGCTACCACCCATTGGCTGTTGTGCTCCAGGTCACTGACATAATAGCAGGTGCGCAGCTTGCGGAGATCCAGGAATCAGCTGAGGCGGCCAAGGATGAGGTCCAGCGGGATCAATCCTTCAATATCCCGGGAAGTCGTTGTCGCCATGTCTTCCGTGATAGGGATATTGCGTGCTCGGTGACGACACGCGCATCGGCCCGGGTCGCGACAAGCCCCTGCCGGACATCTACCTCCTCGCGCTCAAGACTATCTGCAGGAAGGAAAGACAAGAGAAAACGCAGAAACACACTAGACCCTGGACACTGCCGCAAGTAAACGGTTCTGCAAGCATCCTCACCACTGAATACCGCACGACATGCAAGACCGGAACCTTCGTGGCCGCCATCGGAAGTTCAGAGCCCTTCACAGAAGGCTACCAGACGGCGAGTCAAGGCGAACCGGGGAAGCCTCGAAGCGATGAAGAGAGGTGGTGCGGTTGACTCAGGCGAGCTAATCGATCTAACAGTTTTTGAGCGGGAGCTAGAGCGGTAGGGGAGACTGGACCTTTCCAAATCAGAGGCTTTGAAGTGGGCGGACGAGTCCAACACGCTGTTCTCGATGATCCGAGGCTTCTGCGTGCAATACTGCCACCACCTACCACCCATCGAAGGACAGCTCAAGATGCGCATCCAGAGGGGTAAGCTGATGGGGACCTTTGGGGCTTCATTTGCAATATCACTGCAAATGACCAGGAGGCGAGTCGCGGCGAGTAGGCCCTGTGCATTGTCAACTCTCCGGCCCGCACCTACTTTCACCAGCGCCTAGTCTTTCAAGATCACGCAACCGTCCGCACCCGGAGGACGACACGAAGTATATCATCTCCCTCCGTCGACGCGACTGGTAAGTGTTCACCCTCTGAAATGCTTCATCCACCTTGAAGTCACTAACGAAAAGGCAGGCTGATCGGCTCCTTCCTGCATTGTGCGGTCGAAGACACATGCATAAGGGTGGTGTACTATTCGCAGCTGAACCAGTCCGCGGTGCCTGGTATGATAGGCAACGGCGTGCCAGCTTAGGGCTTACGGTAGACGGTGACCCGGGTATGGTACGTTCTCATTGTCGGCGATGGCGAAGTCGGGAAACTGGAACCGCACGTTGTGCCACGCCGGATCGCCGACTCGGAGCAAGAGACTGCATGCGGAAATGCCCTCTTAGCTTCAAGCAAGTGGATGGTTCATGTCCTTACCCGTCGGTTCCAAGCGGTGACTCCAAGTTCGATAGGCAGCGAGGGCGAGGGCATCTGTCAGTTTCCGTGAAGAGGACGGCGAGGCTTGCCCGACGTCGTCAGCAAGATCAAGGCGTACATCCGGCTCCGCATCGCCCGGAAGACGCCAGTGCCGGGCAATGTCGACCTCCAGCAGGCCGATGGCGAATACGTGTGGGCCATTGTTTACTATCTGCTGCGGGCGGGCTTCATGAACGAGGCAGCGCAGTATGTCAACAACCACAAGAACCACTTCCGCAGCATCGACCGGACCTTCTCGGGCTACATCAACAGCTATGCGTCGAGCGAAGAGCGCCGACTCAAGCGACAGATGCAGGACCGGTGTTCGAGCGAGTACAACCAGCGGATCCGCAACGCCCCGGAGGGCTCCATCGACCCCTTCCGCATGGCCTGCTACAAGATTCATCGGCCGGTGCGATCTCAGCAACCGGAGCCTTCGACGGGCTGCAGACAGATGTCAACGACTGGTTCTGGCTCCAGTTCGGGCGCAATGGATGTCGACAACGGAATTCAAAGTGGCACTGCTCCTCCACACAATACGCCATCCCGTCAATCTCGGATTTCCACTCAGTTCGAAAAAGAAGGAAGATGAGGAAAGGAATAAACGGCAGCATAGTGAGGTGGGGCCAAAGAGCAGACTGGAAGGAAAGGCGGTCGAGGGAGAACGGTGAGGGAGCAGTGAACAAAAGAAAGAAAAGAAAAAGCAAAGAAAAGACAAAAACAGAAAATGGGACTCTTGAGCAGGGTGGCAAGGCAGGAGGGATAGCAAGGACAGACAGGTGGGCTAGGGAAGGGAGATTGGAGGGGAGGGAAGGTGATCAGCGGGGGACAGAGAAGAAAGGAAAAGACGAAAGAAAAGAAGAAAGCCAAAGAAAGAAAAAGGAGAGAAGAAGAGATGGGCGGTACGGCAAAAGAGAAGAAGCATGGATGGAGGGATGATATAGGGTGGCATGTTAGGGGATGCTTTAAGAGAGAAGGGAAGACTGGAAGGGAAGGTGGTTGGTGGGAGTGAAGGTCGTGCTCCCTGGCAGCGCCAGTGCCGGGTCCGAGGGCCGCAGCACGCAGGCAGAGCTGCAGAGCTGGAACTGGGGAAGGAAAACATACAAAGAAAAGAAAAAAGGAAAAAGAAAAGAAAGAAACGAAAACGAGGAAAAGAAAAAAGAAAAAAAGAACGGCTTGGGGGTGGCGAAGAAGAAGAAGCATGGATGGGAGGACGAGATCGGGTAGTATATTAGGTTGCTTTTCAGCTCGGGGGGAAGATGAAGTGGGCGAAGAGGGCAACGGTCCGGCTAGTTGGGGAGGTGGTTAGTGAAGGAGAACGGAGAAGAAAACAAAAAAGAAAAAAAAGGAAAAGAGAGCGAAGGGGAAAAGGAGGACAGAAAGGAGAAGGGGATAAGGAAGAAAGAAAATGAGCCGAAAAATGAAAGCCAAAAACGAGAAGAGGAGAGAAGAAAGAAGGAGTGGATAGGAGGAAAAGGGGCCGAAGGGAGACTGAACGGGAAGAGTGTAACCTGGCCCGGTGCGGCATCAAGGTGGAAGGAGGAGGATGAGAGGGTAGTCAGCGGGGAAGAAGAGAAAAGAGATGAAAGACTGGGAGGAGGGCGAAGATGATAGGTGGCGAGCGGACGGTTTCTTTTGTCGGTACGGCCGAGTACGTGAGCCCAGAGCTTCTCACGGACAAGGCCGCGAGGAAGCCCACGGGGAGGAAAGTTGGTATTGTTGCCAACAAGAGGATATTGGTGTCGACAACGTGGAAGTTAGCGCAGGGAAGGCCTCGAGGGTAAGTGGCACTTCCTCAAGGCAAGAAGCCCATGCTAATAGCTTCGCAGGCTATCAACGTCAGCCTATTCAAGATGAGGGCGGTTTCACCCTTATGGCGCTGCCGCAGAGGGGCGGCTTCGTGGACCAGCCGGAAAGCAATCGCTCTGTGGCACCCCCGTAAGTGCCAGGGTCTCTCCCGTGTTTGCAATGTTCCGTGCTGACGCAGCCACAGGAGTATGGGGAGTGTCGGGGTCTGGCGTTGACCGGAGAGAAGGCCTTCTTAATATGAAGAAGTCTGGAACGGACGTCGCGGGACGCTGGCCACAGTCATAGTTCTGATTATGATCGTTCTTGCCGGGACAACATGGATTACCACCAGTTCTCACAGACGCTCCACGGTCTACCTGGGGAGCGAGTCCGGCAAGCCCTGTAGCCCTTGCAGCTGTTCGACCTGGACGGCAATCTACTGGCACGGCATTTCGGAGTGTAGTCCAAAGGAACCGAGATGCCGAACTCTTCGGAGGGAGCTTCGTTCCCGCAACGGGAGGAGGGTCATCCGCTGCCCATGTGGCTTCCCAGCAAGAGCCGCACAAGAGGAAAGGCAATCGAAAAAGGAAGGACGGAAAAACGACAAACGAGAATCTCAAGAAGCGAACAAGAAATTTCAAAAAATAAAACAGCATCCGGACTTCCGATGACACTTCATCCCTCGGTCAGGGGAACGGATCATCGCCTGCCCATGCGCCTTCCTCCTATAGGAAGAAGATTAAAGACCGGGTGGAGGCTCACACCCGGCCCATGTTGCTCCTCAACAATGAGCCGCGCAAGGGGAAGGAAATGAAAGAAAGCAAAAAAGGAAGAACAAGAAACAATACACTAAAGGAAGGGACCAGATATCTTCGGAAACGTGGATATGACCATCTCTTTGGATGCAATTTCACTCACTATTCCGGCGACGAGAGTTTGATGTCTCCTTCCCACGGGCCTCCGGGACGAGAAAAGGGACCGAGAATAGCTGATCTCCGGCCCATGCAAGTGGAAAGGAATTAAGAAAAGTGAAAGATTTCCTCCGAGGAAGGCCAGCGCGTCTGTGCCGAAGATGACATGGCTCTGCGGGGACTCCTTCCTCAGATCAAGCCGCGGAGAGGGCGGAGAAAATCTGAAGAAGATGAGACAGGAAAGTCGCCTTCACAACGCCCATCTCCGCGGGCATATGAATACGGAGCCGGAAGACGTACCGAGGTGACGGTGACGGAGCCTTGGATGGGGTAGTCAGATTGAGTCTTCATGCCGTCATAGGCTCTCGAACCAGCAGTCCAAGGCGGTTGGACGCTTCCAACCGTCCCGCGCTTGTGCCCCGCGTCAGTACTTCTCGACTGCGGTCGCAAGCAGCGAAGAGTGGAAGGATCGGTGCGGGGCGGTCAGCGTGACAAGGAACGCATGGTGCTATGACCGAAAGATGTGCCGCCACAGGTCGAATGATTACCGACCTTGAGAGGCTTGACGCTCCCTCAACCCCGAAGAAAGTTCTGCGTGGGCTTCCAGAAGGCCAAGGCTCGGTGCGAGTTGTTGCGAACTTCAAGAATAAAGAAATGGGGAACGTACAAAAAGGTGTGAGATATTCCCTATTCCTCATCTCGATCGCAATGTCGGCCGTCTGCAACACGCTGCGGATCAAGACAAACTCCGGCGGCGCACCCAGGTTACCTGAAAGGCCTTCTGGCATTGAAGAGACTCTCGGTGCGGCGCGTTCGGATGGTTTCAGCCACCTCATCCGGTGTGAGGGAGCGTTTCTCTTACCTTGTCTCTTCCTCTCGTCGAGCATTGTCGGTGGGGGGGAGGGAAGAGGGACTGATCTCGGGATGAAGGGACGGTTACCTCTGGGCCTGCATTTCGAACATCGGTGCCCACGACCAGGAAACAAGCCGTGGATCGGTGGGACATGCTATGGCAGTGGAACGCGACCCGGGACGAAGCCAAATGGTACGATGCTGTGTTATTGGTGACATTCCCAGGTGCCGCTTTGACCCTAGTGCCGCTCCCAACTCGGGTTCTTAACGGCTGCTCCGGAGGTCGACGCGAACAATAAGAAGAAGCGGAAGAGGCATGGGGGCAAGACATCCGAGAAAAAGGCTTCTCTAATGTTGTATATCTTATCACTTTCTCTCCCTAACATCGAACCTGATACATGGGCAAACTTAGCAATACAACCCGTGGAAAACACAAGCCAGGGAACTTTGGAAGTACCGGTAGAGCAGGAGCAGGAGACTGTAAGCCAGGCTCTCCATGTACTGTACATATTAGTAGTAGAGGATCTCAACTCCCCAGGGTGTCAGACTCCTCAAGGAAGCAATGCAAACTGCGGGTTAAACACCAAGCTCTTGTAGACTTTCTGTTTACCTTCCCCCCAGACAGAAGAGCATGTCTCTTGGGCAGCTAGAATGTGGTTCTGGTGTGCGCTACATATAACCCGAACCCTGCCCATCTCCTATTCCTTTTCCTACACGAAGTGCATCGCCACCTCAACATCGAGTGCATCGAATGCATCAAATGAGTCAAGTCAATGATGGGAAGTGTACCAATCCCCTCGTAAGAATGCGTCTGATTTGCCGTAGAGGTGATGGCCAGAGCAGGGCGCACAAGAGGAGGGGGGAAGGAGGCCCACACATATCACCCGAGCATACACATCATGACTCTCCCACTCTTTTCTCTGGCCCTGACCTGCACCCTACACACTGCAACAAAGGATGCCCGGTTCTTATATTCCTTGTCTGACTCGGTCATCTTCAGTACTAGTAGTGCCTTCACGCCGGGGAATGGCTGTTCGCTCGCCTGGAGGCAACAGTGTTTAGTAGTAAGCCTGGACCTTTCGTCAATCGAGTCGGTCTGACCCGGAAGCAGTTGTCAGCCCACCATACTAGGTTCCTACCTACCCAGCTCGACCAAATTTGACCCGTACCTGTTTAGCAAAGACATCTACAATCTCTTCATCTTGTACACCTATACCCCCTAACCGTCCAACATCTAATTCATCGCCAGACGCCGCAAGCATCTCGACAAGGAGCAGGTCAACAATTCACAGCCACGGGTTGTCTTTGCAGAAACCCAGTTACGGCGACTGCCATCACCGGGCAGATCGCTAAGGAGATGTCACCGATTTAGACTCAAAAGTTGATCTTGTGGGATGTCTTCGGGTCATAGGTCATCGTCCCATCGATGTAAGATCCCACTCCCCCAGACCCAGTTGAGTTTGGATACGGTGTCATGATATATTTGTCGCTGGATTGGATATCCAGAGGTCGCAATGCCAATCGTATCAAGACCAAAGGTGAGTGTACCGTGCATCCTCGCGCTAGGAGGGACCTCGTCGAGCCGTCAACGCCGCCGTCAGGCTGGTACTAGTAGCTGATAGTGGAATGTATAGGACACTACTCGAGCCAATGCACAATCCTCAAACGAGCAGATGCTCGGTTTCTTCTAGCCTCTGGATCAAGAGCATGTATGGGATGCGTTCTGATGATCTTCGCACCGCAACCTAGTCAACGACAGCGTGTCACTACACTGGATATCCCGGCCAACACCTAGCTCTTTAACGTTTCGCTCAAGGTTGACGGCGTTCTCGTACTACGGCCACGACTTGAACGACTACAACTTAGTCGACCTCAACCTCCCAGGGGCCTGGGCAGCACCCTCGTCGACATCGATACCAAGGACGACTGGCATGCAAGACATCCTGGTACGGCCCAGAAGGTTGCGTTGAAGCACATTTAGAGGCGAAAGAAAGCCCGTCAATCTCTGATGTTTTGATTGTCCACCCTTAGCACCCTGGACCAGCAACAAACCGGCCCAGCCATTTGTCGTCTAGGCATGTGGGGGCATGCCGAGCAGTCTATGTACAAGCACATCGACCCGCCTCGGGCCTCCCAGCAGTGCCTCCAGCCAGAGTTCTCTCCCACGTCCTTCGCCCCAGTGGCCCCCATCCCCGCGACTCTCCATATGGTCGACGCAACTTATGTGCCGGGAGCATTTGCGAGGGGCGTGCCAACCCCTGTACACTAACAGCCCCGACCCCATTCACGAGCGGTCACCGAAGTTGGGCGGGGACCTATTTCGAGAGACCATGGATTAATAGCCCCTCGGAGGAGCTTGAGACGATCCCCCAACTTCAGCGGGACCGGCAAAGCTGGGATGAAAGAACGGTTCTGATGAAGGAGGAACTGGGATGAAAGAACCTAGGCTAAGCGTCGCCGGTGACGACAAAGTCGAGCGAGCACCAGATCCCAAAAGTCCAAAGGACCTTCATAACCTGAAGTCCCCAAGAAATCTGGAAAGATTGAGGTGCTAAGAGCAACTCAAAAGACAGCCCAAAAAGGAGCTTACAATGTCGGATGCGAAGGGAGTGCTATGAGAAGCCGGGGAGTTTCACAAGACAACGGAAATGAGCATTCCTCCGCCTCGGGGACGGCGGTACCTAGGTCGTCAATGTCAATCAAGTCATGAACGGCCTGAACAAGGGTCTGAAGGCGGAACCCCAGCTACCTGAGATCGAAACAGTAAGCCAACCGGTATCTCACAACTACCACCATGTGATTAACAGAAACTAAGTCGGACTAGGAGCTCGTCGTGGTTGCCACACCGGTGCTGGAGTAGCTTCACTTGGACGGATTCCACATCTCCTGGCATTATAAAGACAGTGGTCCCTCGCCTCTCAGTATTTATGCTGCTCGTCCCCTTGACGCCTGCCTATTCGGCCCGGAGTTGTTCTACTCGAATCATGCGCAAACGCGGCAGTCATCGCAGTCGCGTATTCTCCCTTCCTTTACCATGGGAACCCAAAAGGGACCGACACAGGCCAGACAAGCCGCCGTGGGTTGCGAACGGAGGATTCCTCTACCTACAGGTATATCACATCTTGGATCATCCGAGAACGCACGTTCGGGCGAAAGAAGCGGAGGTAGAGGCAGAGGAGACCTTACTTTGCCCTAAGCAAGTCTGAGTCTAGCGACAGACCACGTTGGCGTCCGAAGGAGCGCGAGCGGGATACTCCATGCGGCCACGAAGTCATCACTACTACTCGGCGAGACCTGCTGACCTGGTGCTGCAATATCCAGCCCCACCCGCTCACGAAGCAACTACTCCGCATCGTCCCTGAGCACGCCGTAGATGCCAACGAGCGCAAGGATGGCCGCCTCCTGTTCTTGACAAATTACAGATCTCAGTCGACGGTCCTTTCGACAGAGAACGTAGACGTGGAGGGGGAGAAGAGCAGATGAATAACGATCGGAGAAGACGGTAACTTGCCGAGACCTGGTCAGGAGGCCTTCGAGAAGATGATTGCGGGTCATTATCTCGGAGAGATCTTCCGCCTGATCCTGGTGGACCTGCATAATAACCGCTACGATGAGCGCCATCTGGGCTGGACACGAAATGCCACGTCCTTTGTGCTGATCATTAGGGGCAGAGACCACAAGCTAGGCACGGTACTGGAAGTATTGGTATAGCATGAAGGGGGCAAAGGATTAAGAACCAGTCTCTCCATGTATTGTACATAAGGAACAATGCCCCCCCCCGCCCCCCCCCCCCCAAGACTCTTAGACTTCTCAAGCAAGCAATACAACCTGTGTGACCCCTAACTCAAAGACACCGGTCCTTTATGTGTGCATCGAGTGTGGCTCCATTGCCGGTCCTCCTCCGACCATGCCCTCCTCTAGGTCCTTTCATCCCAGTCTCCTGCCCCTAAATCCTTCCGGTCCGGTACGGTAATCGTCAACTGCGTTGCCTCCACCGAAGCCATACACCAGTACGTCTTCAAGCTTTCTGCAGCCACGAACGGATGGCTTCTCGCGTATCCCGCCGTACAAGAAGGGTTCACCATACAAACCTCCCCAAATACAAATTCCACCGTACAAATATTCTCCCACAAACACCACCGTACAGAGATTCCGGTACAGGCTTATCCAGGACCTGGCGAGGGTACGGTTGTTGCTGCACGTATCCACCACGGAACCAAGGAGGGCCATAGTTCCAGTAGCTGGCAGCGAGTGCGTTACTCGGCGGCTGCGCGGTCTGCGACCCTTGATTAGCATCCATGCAGACCGACAAACACAGCATAGAAGTTTGCACAAGCAACTTACCGTGTTGCTTGCAGACCGGCCGCTGTTGGACCTCGACATCTGGATTGCCGGGATTGAGTGGCGGGTGCCACCAAGACGCAGATCCGGGGTGAGAGTGGGAATAGTCCACCTAAACATGGGGATAGGCACCAGGATCGCAGGAAAAGTCCCAGTGCCGATAAACGGGTGGACTGGCCCGCGGGGTTTGTGTCCAGATCTTCTAGGTCGTCTTCGTCTTCCGTGGAACTGGCTCCTTGTTCAAGTCGGCAATCCCGGGAGCCGTGTCATCTTTCCGGTAATCGCCAGTGTGATCTTGGCCGTTTGGACAGCCAGCAGCTGCCATCCCATTCCCATACTTCCACCCGATCCTGAACCAGAGTCTTTGAAGGCTACTAGTACTCAGCACAAATCTGAAGAGACGAAAAGAAAAAGAAAAGAAAAGCTCAAAACAAAAGAAAGAAAGAGAATGAAAAGGGAGGGTCTAAGCCAGCTCGCACTCGATGCCCTTGTTCTTCTTCTCGCAGCGCACCGCTAAGGGGGTGGGTTACCTCGCCGGCGATGCCCTTCTTCTGGCAACGGAAACAAGACTCCCGGCGCTCCCAAGCAGCCTTCATCCCCTTGCCTCGGGCTCCAGTCTGAACTTGCGTCAGGAGGAGCAGGATTAAGTCAGCAGTGACATGCAAGGGCGTTTGTCCTGCCACGGATGCCACACTTGATCTCGCCAAAGAGGAACTCTTTGCTTCTGGCCGGCCGTATAATCTTCGAGGCCAATCACCCCGCGCTTTTTCAGCCACACGCACAGCTTGTCCATCACCATCGCGCGGCTGTCTTCCTTGCTCGGCGACTTCCATCGGGATTGGGTCACTGAAGCAGGTTAGTTTTCATGAGGCTTCTCTACTTCTATTCCACTCTGTATGCGAGGGGCCCAATGAAGGCAGATAATCGGAATTGCAAGATGGGAATGGAACTTGCCAGTGGCTTGTGGGAGGGGGTGCGTGTCTGCCAAACCGCATCTGGGCACTATTGCTCCCGGGTAATGCTGATTTCATCTTCTCAGGATGAAGTGTACCGAGCGGTGAGCGCGAAGCGACGGTTTCCGCAGGGGCTGTAGTCTTAGCTTTGAATCGTCCGATGCGTTGCCGGGTATCTAAATAGCTCAGTGTTGAGATAGTAAATTCCTTGTCGCTGTTGGTTGGATAAACGGTGGTGCTGCTATCGAGCCTTTGCCTGAACCACTGGCGATTGCTGATGGTACGAGCCAAGGGAGAGGGGCAGTCAGATCTACCTGGTATTAGGGCCAGGAGCTTGGTGCTCGGAGAAATGGATATTCAGAGAGATGCCCTGTTTAGAGTGCGGAGAGGCGGGGAATGGTCCTTGTTCGTAGGCTCTGTACTACTGTGCGAGCCCCCAGTCCTACGGAGGGCGGGACATGCTCCCCGTGGTGCGTTGAGGACTCGGTTTGGCAGGTGCCACCCTTGTTGGGGTGGGCTGCTGGTCGATTTCTTTACACGAGGGCACTGCGCAAGGAATGAACCCGACTTCTCTTACGCACAACAAACCGACCAATTCCTATTCCATTATTCCACCTCTTTCTTTACCGCCTGGGTGGCTGTCCCATTATTACTTTCCATATTTCTTCCTAGGATTCACTATCTGTACACCTTTATTCATTTGAGTCCTTGATTTACAACACCAGTACCTAAGGATCAGTACAGCTAGCCACCCAGCCACGACCTCGGAGTCAAGCTCTGAGCCCGCATGATCAAGGGAAGGGTAATCCCCATCTCACTTGCCATAGTTGGCACCGGCTTGACGCGCATGGTTCTTCTCATTCAAGAAGTTGTCAAGTTTGACGCTACCAAAATTGTGTGGAGGCGCGTTGCGACTAGAAATGTCTTGACAAACGACACACTTGAGAAGACTTAAGAAATTTAGACTATGTAAGACTCTCGCCACAATCATCCCTTCCGCGTGTCCTACCAGCAGCATCTTATTGACATATTGATCAGACGATATCCTCATCATCCCTTCGCCTCTTCTCCCGCCGCTACCAAATCAGCAGCTGTCGGAAGGCCATGGCCAAAATAAGAAGGTGATCATCTGGCACACTCGTCAAGGTCACGGGTAAGGCTGCCTTTCGTGCTTCCGAGCACTCTAAGCGGCCTTCAGCCGCTTGCATGCGCAGCGAGTCTTGAAAGCAATGACGCCAACCACGCCCGAGTCGCCCGACTACCGGGTAAACCCGAACGTGCCACGGCGGCTCAGCCAGGGTTGAGACGTCTCCGCCATGAAGTCACCTCATGGTGGAAAGAAAATTAGAACAAAAGAAAAGGAGAACGCTAAGATGTAAGTACCTACACATCCACCCGGCCCCCCGTCCCCACCTGCCCCCCTTCTGGCCACCTTGAAGTCTTACGATGCAGGCGTTATTGTGTCTGGCATGGCAAATACGTAGCGCGAGGTCGGATAGTCCCTCTAATCCAGGCGACGTTACTATTGGCGCAACGACCTCAGCCTCAGGGGCAAGCACATCCGCGATGGGTCGACCGGTATGCGGATCGCAAATACAACTTCATGGGATAACAGCTCCCCCAGAAATACGAAAGAGCAACATTCAACAGCACAAATTGCTCCGCAATGTGCAGGTCGGATTCCATCTCGACGAAGTCCGAAACTGCGGCTAGCTGGTCGAAAACGAGCACGTTAAGAAAGTCGATTCCTGGCTGCTCACCAAGCCAATCCTGGATGTTCTAGGGGCACTGAGATGCTCGACGACCTAGACCGCGTTGAGACCAAAATTTGATCCCAAGTCCAGGCTGAAGGCCACATCGCGATAGCCCCGTGGTTGAAAGCCGTAAGCATTCACCAGTAACATCAGGCTCGTGGACAGTGGTACTAAGAATCAATAGCAGGTTCTGCAGAAACAGGTCAGCAATAAGCGCTACCTCTGGCTGCAGATTCACACTGCGCCAGAGGAGCGCGCGGCCTTGCTGGAGGAGCTTTGTCGCCCTCCGACCGGACCCATGGCAGAGAGGAGCTTCCTGCATGAGCGTTCAGTTGTGCTTGGGCAACTAGTAGGCATCGAATTGCCGTCTCTGGATCTGATGCTACTCACTCCTGACGGAATTGACGACGAACAGTGGATTAACATCCACTCGGACGAGATCGACATTGATCCGCAACTTCATCTGCCTGGCAGACAATGCAGCAGACCAGCAGAGTTGGGATGAATGGATCCTTCGGATGAAAGAATTCGAGGTCAAGCACTGGAGATTGCGACGACGCGTGCCCAGAGGGGTAAGCAATTGCAGCCGTTTGTTCTGATTTGCAATAGCTAAATTCGAGAGCAGTGCCCATGACTGGGTCCTTGAAGTCCGTAAGGAGGATTCCGAGCGGGACACAGAAGCCGCGGCTCCCAACGCAATCACAGAGCCTGACTGGGCCCTCGAAATCCGCAAGAAAGATTTCCGAGCAAGACACAAAATCCAGGGCTCCCAACGCAGTCGTCGAGCCTAGTGAAGTGAGTCCTCCTGCCGCCCTAGCGGCATAAATGCCCTTGGTGATACTCCCGCGCCTCCAACCCTGGTTATCCTTGACCATGGGCATGGTGCTCAGAACAGGACAGGGCATGTCTGGCATCATCACCTCGGCTGCCTCATGGGCTCACTGATTGCTGGCAACATCGCCGATTCCCTGGATCGTCGTCTCCGCTACTCTTGGTCGCTTCAATCCAACCTGTTTCGACACTAAGACTGCACGCCAGTTCAGACGGTTCTTGGGCTTGCGCTGAAGGAAGGGGTGGCTGTCTACGTGACAGGACATACTTGAAGAAAAAAAGGAAAGAAAACAAGAACCAATGTTGCAGCAAGGCAAAGAAGCGAGGTAATACCTGTCCGGGTGGTTTTTGTTGGGGGGGGGGGAGGGCGGGGCGCAACTTCATCACCCGTCTCAAAGGCCGCTTTACAGCGCAGACAGGATACTCTTATTCCTTGGCTCGCCAATCTCGCCTCGGTAAGCCGGAGCGTTTCGAGTGGTCCCGGCATCGTCACTGTCGGTAAAGTCTTCTCCCCTTTACCGCCAACTTGGGCTTTCACGAGGCTTTTTAGTCTCGTTTGATTACGACATGACGGAGCTGGAGCTGGTGAAGAATACCGTTAAGCTGAGCGAGGCCAACGAGAACCTGGCCAGGCACTTGCAGATGTTTGGTAAATACTTGTCTGCGGTTGTACTAACACTGTGTTTGTCCGAGTACGGTACTTGTACGAGTATTGTCGTTGTACGATGATGGTGGTTGTACGATTATAGTGGTGGTACGATTATGGTGGTTATACGATTACGGTGGCTGCATGATTATGGTGGGTGTATTTTTCTGGTGGTTGTACGAGTATGGTGTGGTGAGGGGATGGTGGTTGTACGGAGATGGTGTTGTATGAATATTGTTTGGTGAGAGTATGGTGGCTGTAGGAGGACGCTGGTGGTACGAGGATGGTGGGTGCACGAGTATTGTGTGGTGGAAGCCATTGACGGTAAGTGGAGAGAATCGAACCCCCCTCGTAGTCCTTCTACTAACAATTCTTCTAATATACAGCTTCTAAACTACATGAGCGACAGGCTCTCATTGAGCGCCGCGCGAAGCTCATTCGGGACATTGTCAACAGCCCCGAAGCAACAAAATACCGCTCACACAAGAACACGCAACGTGCGAGCCGGCTGAAAGACATCCTTGCCGTTTTTCTCCCCAACGACACGGATTCCAAAGCAGCTAAGGACGGCGTGGTCTACGATATCTCGGTCATCGCCAGCACCGCCTGGGACGTCTCAGCCAAAGTCTTGGAGGCGCCCATCACCTTCGTATTTAGATTCAACGACGTCAATTCGTTGTTTGTGACCGAGATGCACGAGGAACTCGACTCTTCCACAGATCCTCGCCAATTCTGGAACGAGAAAGTGCGTATCGGGCCCTGGTGAGAGAGGGCATGAGGGTACCCGCATCCTCTACGCCAAAAACACCTTTCTCTACCAACTGCGAGACCACGCTGAGCAGTGCATCCCTCGAAACGAGCACCGAAGCCAAAGAGACCAGGCGACACGCAGAATCAACCTGAAGAAGTACGGCAATCTTCTGCGACAAGGAGACTGGTGGATAGTGGGTCATCAAGACGGCCTCGTCCTCGTCGAGTTTCCCTTTCCGCGGTCTCCGACGCTCGAACGAATCTTGTTGAACTTAAGGGGTCACACACGTTGTATTACTTTCTTGAGGAGTCTGAGACTCAGGGGGCCTTTGTTCCTTATGTACATGGAGAGCCTGTTTCCTAGTCTTCTGCCCCTGTTCCTACTGTACCGGTACCTCCAGTACCTGCCTAGCTTGTAGTCTATGCCACTATTTTCATCAAATCAAAGGGTTTCTTCGAATAGTAGAATCAGCGCTTTGGAGCCCGGTGGCATGTGCCCTAATCCACACCCCAAAGGCTTGCTGTCGGATAGTGTACGACTGACTGAATGGAATTATACATCCAGCAGTTGGGCAAGAGTACATGATAGCTACTATACGTTAGGACAACGGTGTCAAGATCTTCTACCACCCTCGGGGTGACATACTCGAGCAGGACCTGGTCGTGAACGGCGCCGCTGGACCTGGCTCCGATAGCGCTCCGGCTCTTGCCACGGTATACATGTGAAACAGACCAGGGGAGGATTCCAGACCGGTGGCATCCTATCTGATGGCAGAGCCGCGACCCCCGCAACTCGCAAGACGGCGAACTGGGCTTGGGTGCTCTGCGAGGGCCAGCGGGTACATCCGAGGAGCGGAGGGTGTAAGGGGGTACAGGAGGGTTAGGGTTTCCCTCATGTAAGTGTGGTCGAGCCAGCCATCCGTGGTTTAGCTTTTCGTTCTTACACATAGCAGCAAGAGATGCACCATAACTAGGAGGTACTATTCCTTCTGCAGATCCATGCGCTTTGTGGTCTTCGTGTTTATCGCTCATTTCACACCTTTCTTTACACATATAACAACTTCTCCGGCTTGCCTGAACATTGCTAGTATCCAGTTCCGACCATCACCGCACCTGCGCGAACCCCGTGGGCGCCATTGGCGAAGGGTCGCCGGCCTCGACCGCCACGATCGACCGCGAGTCAGTGGAAAGAACCGGCAGTCGCCATCCCGTGGGCCGTTCTGAAATGACAGAGACATCATGTAAGTTTGCATTGAACAGATCGTCTACAAGTTGAACTGCCTATAGAGGCCGGCAAGAAGCTCCCAACCCTGTTGTCTTTGCGCCGTTGCAGAGGCCGTGGAACGCCATGTCAACCGCAGTCTCCAGGAGCATGGATGCGAGCGGGACGGTGAGGTATCCAGGTTCGCCACACCCTATAAGGCGCCCCGGGGGAAGGAAGAGCTAACAGCCGGCGGTCATAGTTAAGCTAGAGCAACCCCATTGGAGCGAATCAGCCAAAGCCACAGCTATAATTTGATGGCACCGTCGGCACCGTGGATACTGGTATAGTATAGGGGCCCGAGAAAGTGCCCTGGCGGGCCTAGGAACCGGCAGGTGCGACGGGGCGCAAGGCATCCGAAGCCTTCAGTCAGGCATTCTGGATGGCACTTAGAGGCGCTGCTCAGACGCTGGGGACCATGGCGGGGACGACTTCACGAAGCTTTGCAAGACACGATAGCCTTTCGCGGTGGGGGGTGTCAACATTCGCGGAGTCATTTGGTACTACTAGTAGTACTTTGTCCATTTACGGCATACGCCCAAACCCAATGAGATCCACGGGGACAAACACGGAGGTTGCTACAAACAAGCCAAAGCGAGGGTCTGAAGGTATAAGAGAACCTCCTTAGTACCAAGCTCCCGGGCCACGGTGCGCCGTGCCCCGGACAAACCCCAATACCTCCAGAAGCCAGCCCCAGACAACCATGCGGGAAGCCTGCCGACATGTGCTAACGCTGATACACAGAATCATCTATCCGGCCGAGGAATCCTTCCGCCACCACTCGCCAGCCATCGTGGGCTAACCGGACAGAATTGCTCCTTTTTCGAGTGTCTCGACGCCGTCCATGACCTCTCTGGGTGAGGACGAGAAACGCGTGTCATCATCCTCCAAGGCGGGGCAGGAACGACAAGAAGTATATACTATGTGGCATACCCGGCCAAGTATAGATGTCCGTATGATTGCTGCATATGACATGAGCCTGCCCCCGGATGCGGATCTCGCAAGGGAAATGGAAGCAGCAGTGACACTCGACAGCAGAAGATCGTTTGCAACCGCTCAACAGCTCCGTGGCCACCCGGTGCTTTGGCACATTCCATCGAGTTGAAGGTGCAACACCCACACCGCTGAAGTGGCTGACAGCACAACCGCCCTCCCATATCACACCATGGATCCAGTGAATTTATACTGAGAGCGTTGGACAACCCGCAAACCCGTCGAGATCTCCAATTTATGCTGATCGAGTAACATGGAGCCAGGGGAGCCCGTCGATGTCATCTTGGCGACGCGGTTGCTTGTGGTTGGGGGTTCAAAAGGCAAGCTTGGATTGAGACTAAAGTACCATGAATCGGGCATGTGGAGCGAGGAGGATCTCCTCTAAGGTAGGCGAATGCCACCCGATGCGGTGGGCTGGGTATTTCTCGCGGCCGGCCACTGCCCAGGTCTATGGTTACCAGATGTAGACCTCTTAGTTGCACTATGAAGCCATGGTGACATTCGAGCTGGCTGACGTCGCCTACAGATGAAGGACAGAAGTTGGCACTGTACTGTAGAGGGGTTGTACGACCATGTCGCATTTGCCGCGGGGTAAGGACACTCAGATCAGTTCCGATCATTAAGAACACGTAGACTAGCAGAAGAGAGCAGTACCGTAACATCGAGTAACTCCTGTCAGGACGGGACCACGAGCCCTCTAACTCTGAACCTGGAGTGTTCTGAGTGCGCACCCAAACATGTGGTCTGATAAAGCTGAGAATGGAAGTACTATAGATAGTATCTACAAATAAGCAACAGCGGGAACTGAGTGCCGGAGATGATGTATCTACATCCCCCTTCCTCGTCCGGTCATCCCGTCATCCATTCTTCCCTTCTTCCCTTCTTCCCATCTTCCCCTCTTCCCACCTTCCCTTCATATACTAGCCACGCCGCTACAATAGTTCTACAAATCAACGTCAAGGACAAAAAGCCCAACATATCCGCAATTGTTGACATAGAAACCGCAAAAGAAGCATAACAAAGAAAAGTACGCAACAGGTGTTCATCGTCCTCGGCCGCCTGCTTGACGGTCCACTCGTCATTCTCTCCACGTACCATCATCGCATCGTACTCCTTGTGCCAGTCAAACCCACGGTGGTAATTCCACGCCGTCTCCCACAGGTCGAGGGCCTCCAATCTTGACCTCCTCCGCCCGGCGGTGCTGTCGAACTTCCACCATCCTCAGTCCCAACGCCGGATTACCGGGTTGAGAAATCCCCCTTTGTATCCTTGGTGGGACTTCCTTCACCTTCACCAGAGGAAGAAAGGTTGTTGTGGTTGAGGACCTCAACGCCGGAAAGAAAAATGTGCTTTTTGCGTGTCGTCTTCAGATGTAGTCCCAGGTGCCTTGGGCCTAACGCCATGAGAAGAAAGTGGTTGTGGGAAGGAAAAAGACAACCAGGTCGGTGGATGGCGGAGTAGAAAAAAATGACAGAACTCAGCGGAGCGTTACCTTCTTCCCGACGCTGAGGTCGGCCAGGGCACCAAAGGCATCGCCTTATCGACAGGTCTAGTACCTTGTTTCTCATGTCTCCTCCCTGCCCTTTTGTTTTCTTTTTGTCCTTTTTTGTTGTTTTTGTGTTTTTCTTTTTTTTGGTTTTCTTGTTTTTTTTTCTTGTGTTCTTTTGTTTGTTGGAGGGGAAGGGGTGCAGGACTCAGCTCGACATCGCCCGAGATGCCGAAGACTCAAACGGTCGATGACAGTGACGTCGACATTGCGTGTGCCGGTTGTCCAGCAAATGGTCCGAGAGCTTGTGCTTTGCGGTTTGTCGGATGATGAGGGCAAACCCCTCGGGGTCGATGTAGTAGATATTCATCGGCAAACTTCTTCAGACCGGATAACACATGCTGCGGTACGTTCCTTTCGTCCCAATAGGAAGTCGGGCAAGCACGTCGAACAGGTCTCAGATTTCTGGAGGCGGTGCCTGGTTAGCAGCATGTCCCATCCTGTAGCAATAGCATGGAAATGGGTGATCTCGCATGGGCGTACCTTATGGAGCCTGCAAATAGGCTGCACCTGTCCCTCCGAGGAAAGGCGTTTTTCCGGACACCTGTCTTGTGGAGCCCGCTCGCCCTCTTCTTTGTCCGTACTGATGACAATCATCCTAGGCTAGGGTTACTAGTAGTCAGTCATATTGATTGTCACGTTCCTCCCCTCGCCGTCGTACCAGGAAGGATGACGCAGTCATCCGCGTTCTTGAGGATGCGTAGGGACTGCTCCGGAGTACGACTAACCTAGGATAAGTATGAATGGAGATAAAAAGGCGTGTGGTTGCGTGATCTGCCTGCCTTTTGGGAAAATGGTGATGGAGTTCTCGTCCTGCATCTTGTGCTGTGGCGGAAATTATTGTGGTATGCAGGGTGTACCTAGTCAAGAGCAAAGAAAGAGTGTAATGTAATAATGGAAGATAGCAGAAGTGAATCAGGGAGTCTCCAGGTAACGCAGGTAGTGTTAGCATATATGTGGGAGGGCTTGAAAGGAACGGCGAGCGTAAAGAGCACGAACAGGTGACAAACTCGAAGTCCTTGCAGTCCAGCAAATATTGCAACAGCCTGCTCGGCGGCCAACAGGGGGGGACTTAGGTCGTAACCCGGAAGGTGCTACACGCTGCGGCGGGCTGGGTTATTTCCTGTGGGCGGGCACCGACGAGGGCTGTTAGACCAGACACCTCTTAGGCACACAGAACCGATCAATCAATTATTTACTATGCCATTAATTCCACATCTTTCTTGATCAAACAGATGCCCGGTCCGTTAAGCCCTCCATGCCTTCCATCTATTCTTTTACCAGAAGAGATCGAAGGCCCGTGCAGCAAGAGATCGAGAAGCGCCGGAGCCCGCCTCCTACAAGCCCAAAAGATCCCGTCGTCGACACCACCCCCATGGAAACGCAACACCGGTCATAGTTCCAGAAGGACGTTCAAGAGCACTCCCGAGCGGGTAGGCAAGTTTTATTTGCTGCTGAGCGTTTCAGATTGATAACCAATTAAATGTAGGCAACGTGGTCAACAAGGGGTTGATGTCCCCGGGAACCCGGACCTAGCCATCGTACTCGGAGCTCTTCGACCGCATCTGCCGAGCATCAGCATTGCTGCCGCCCCGGAAAATCTACCTACTGCAACATCAGCCTAGGCGCCTGCGGCCACCCTCCTGGGCAGTATGATCGGCTGAGACTCGGAGGTCGGACAGCTGGTAACACTACCATTGTCCCTTCCCGTAAGTCTTTCCCTCGTCGATTGGCTTCCATCTTATCGTTCCTGCCTGACACTGACTTGCTAGTAGAATGCCACCTTGGGCCTACCAGTCTATCCCTAGTGTCCGTACTAGGCGGCCGCACCGCTCGCCCTGACGACACAACTCGACCGGTAATGGACGACCAAGAAGTCAAGGGATCATCGGATGATCTATCAACAAAGCCTCAGGACACTCTCCTGCTCCACCTCCTTCGCCGTCCCCGGCACCAGCACCAGCACCCACGTCTACGATACTGTGCCGGCGACCATGTCCACACCCGTCGCCTGCACCGGTTCGAGAAGGAATACAGCCAGCTTCTGGTGAGTATTGCACCATGAGAGGGGGGGATTGGCGCGTTGACTCGGCCCAGCACATCTGGCGCGACTCCTCCAGCCTCGCCCACGACGACGAGGCCGCCGAGCAGATCGAGATCCGCCTCCAGGAGCTGACAGACTTGTTATTGCAACCGCAAAGATGAGTAGGTGGGGTCTTTAATATTACGGAACATTTAGCGTGTCGACCTCTTCGGGCAGCTGTGGAAGGGCTATATATTAGAAGATAGTAGCTGGTTATAAAACCAGCGGAACAGCACGAGCCTGCGCTTGTTCTCCCACTCTTCCTCCCTGCGGCCATCTTAAACGATAGATCTCCCCGAGCGGCTCCGACACGTCATATCGGGTGTGTTGCCCTGATGCCATGCCTGGCTGGGGAATGGGCGCTGGTATAGGTGCCGTAGGTAGCAGCCATGTCATTTTTCATGGGCAGGGGAACTCCCGCGACGGCAACGTCGACTGGGTCGTTGGGCGGCCCAACGCTACTTGGAGGGCAGTCGGCCACAGGAACAACGGGGGCAGCAGGTGCCGGCAACAGCATATTCAGCCAGACAATAATAGGAAGCTCGCTTCTTGGGAATCAACCGACCAGCGGCGCGATCACAACCCCGACTCAGCCCCAATTCGGCGGCTCGTCTCTCTTTGGCGCCTCAACGACCACTAGTACCACTCACTTGCTGTCAGAATAGGGGGTGTCAGCCGTCACCAATAACCGTGGAGGCACAAGATCAACCAACAAGCAGGCGTCGAGCCGCGTGTCTCCACTCAACACCCCCTCGCACTACGTCGATGTCGCCGGGTACAGGCTGCTGGAAGAAGGGACAGAGGTCACAAGCCAACACACTCTAGGAGTACCGGTGCACAGGTTTATAGGGAACAAGACTGGGGCTTAGGGGTTACTGCAATACACAGAGGACTGTTCAGCAAGAAGTTCAACCTATTTGGCCCTTATATAACAGCATAGACCTGGTCTGGATAAACAACCTAGAAACGACTTGAGTATCAACATTCTTCCTCTACATCTCCGTGTATGCTTGTGGGCTTGAATCCGAAACCTGCTACTACTCTAAGAGCTAATAGTACTCGAGGACTTACATACTGAATAGTACTAATTCTAGTAGTATACTAACGTTATGCCCTATTCCCCGTCACTCAAGTAGTAGTAGCACTAACCGACAACACGCTGGGCAATAACGCTGTACACTTATCACCCGCCAAGCTCTTCGTAAAGCTCCTCGCCATCTCATGCAGCTCTTGGATGGGCCCCGTGACGCCGCCCGGGAAATTCTGCTCGATGTTGAGTCGCACCTTGTGGAACCAGTGGATGACGTCTCGGTTGGAGGGCATCACGCGGACGTCTCGCACGACCAGACCGTTCTGCTCGAGCGTGCTGGTGAAGTACGAGGGCGTCTTGCGGTTGCCGCAGGCCAGACGATCGGCCTTGTCGGGGATGGGAGAGCGGTATTTTTCCATGTCGCCCTGGATTAATGGGAACAACGAATGTTAGCACTTACCAGTACTACTAATAGTTCGTACTAGTACTTGGGGCATAAGGCTAGGGGTTGTCCTAAGGAATGTGTTGCGTTCTCACCTTGTATAAAGTGTCGGAGATGAGCAGGATGCCCCCAGGGCGGAGTCGGCCAGCGACCTGGGCAACTGAGGCGTCGAAGACATGGTGAAGAAAGTGTGTGTAGACACCGCGAACAACAACCAAGTCGTACGGCACCTGTGAGTCCGGGAGCAGGTCGACATCCTGGACGTTGCAGAGGTAGAGGTTGATGCGGTTCCGGAAGTCTTCTGGAAGATCTGGGCGCAGTAGTCGAGCTGGCGCTGGCTGATGTTGATGGCGTCGAGGCGTGGGCACTCGCGGAAGCTGATGGGCCAGACGCCGGGTGATGTATCCCCAGCCACAACCGATGTCGAGGATGCGCTTCACGGACTGTCTGGTGGCAGCATCCAGGAGCCCGGCAAGTTCGAGCTGGCGATCAAAATGGCGAAACTCAGAGGGTCCCACGGGGCCGGGAAGCGGCCCAGCTTCAAGCTCGGCCTCGTCGAACAGACCGAACTGGAAGCTGAGGTTGTCACCCAGCGCCTTGTGCCACATTTCGGGGGGGTCATCGTATGTATAGACGACATTGTCGTGGTATGTGTCGCTCCGAGTTGTCGGATCGAATGCACCACTTTGCTTACGACCGTCGTCATGGTTGTGGTATGAAGGAATGGGGTCGAGATTTCAAGAAACAAACATGAAGAGGGTTGAAGAGAGGCCTCTCCTAGTAGAGCTACGCGTTCTGGTTCAAGCCGTGAGCGAGCACCCCGGCTGCTGCCGCTAGTAATGTAGGAGGCAGAAGCAACAACAGTCCCTGTTTTGTCTCCTCCGTTGGTCTGTTCCCCTTCACGGCACATCCCAACCTGGCACTTCTGCAAAGCCCATCAAGTGAGTGTCAGAATTCAGAGCGCGCGGATTGCGCCCTCTCCCTCCTGATGCTGGCCCTGCATCAGTCATTGGGAATATGCATGCGATCGATGGACTCTCCGTGACTCGATAACCTGTTCTGTAACGGAAGCCGAAAAAGGACCGAGTGCCAGACGCTGCTGAAGATCCCACGACGGGAGGTCCTACATGGAGATGGCGGTTAAGACCTTGGCGATGGATGATGACGATAGCCAAGGAGCAACATCATCTAGCTCACTATACCAGTGACCTTGTTCTCGTTACTCTGTGCAGTTGCAGAAGGGGATCGAGAGGCGCATGAAGCAGCCAGGAGGACACGAGGATTAGCAACAGTGATGTAGTATCGATGTATGCAGCAGTTTCTGGCAAACGCGGCCCTTTTCCAGTGGACACTTGGCTGTGGAAAACTTGTCATCGCTTGTGGGTTTCCTTATCAGTTCCCAACGTTGAGCCACCCGGGAATATGGGATTCATGGACTGGTGATGCGTGATGTGACTCCGCGGGTGATGACCGGGGGCGTATGAAAGGAGACAAGGCACCGAGAGCAGGTAGCACCTTCCCGAAAACAAGTCCCTTTGCCAGTAGCATGCCGTATGATCATGGGCAAATTTTTCTTTGACCGGAGAGGTCTCTATTATTAAGTGTGGGCACGCAAAAGACTTGGGGACAGCCCCTTAGGAAGAGCGCCAAGATCGATTTTGGGCTCCGTTCCACCCAGGGCTCCCGCATCGCCAGCCTACCTTAGTTCGTGCAATAGAAATACGAGAAACAAATCCTCAATCAACATCATGTCTTCTGTTCCAGTAGATATCCGGGCCACAATATCCGTTACCTTACATAACTGGTGGTCAAGGATTATCTGCACTGGCAGCTTGCAGATGATGAATCATGAGCGCTGGCTCCACGACCCCAGACACAGGCTGGTGCACCCGAATTGGCATCTTGAGCCAGTAGGTGTAGTTGTTCGTGTTAAGTGACTTCCGGACCGTAGCCTGGCACGGTCCCCCTTTCTCCCATCCGAGGTCTATGCCGCTTGCGTGACAGCCAATGCAAATGAAAAAGGTAAGAATGACCAGCCCGTCTCAACTGCACCCTTAGATGCAACAAATAGCTAAAGATCAATAACTTTCCTTCCTGCAGATCTCTTGTTTTAAAGTGGCCCTGCCCCTATCCAGGAGGCAGCACCACCACAACCTGTCATTGCCCCATCAGCGGGCCAGCTTGCCGCCGCCTCTCGTTGAACTGGACCATCTCAGCTTGACTCCGTGCCAGCTGAGCATCGTGACGAGCCTTGCTAGTCGAGAAGTACACCGAGACAACCCCGCCAGCAGCCAAGATGATGAAGGCCGCGTGTATGCCACTAGAAGCCGGACAGAACTAGTAGTTAATAAACGTCGATGCTCCCCCTGGTAGACTCTCCGGCCACTGACCTGAAGATTATCATAAAGACCATGGCGTTCCTCATGTCAGCAAACCAGTACCCTCGTCGCTCCCCGACTCCCCTGTCGACCATGCCGAGAACAAGAAAGCAGAAGATCCCGCAACCGATCAACGCGACATCGAAGCAGACTGCCACCGGGTTGATCGCTCGTCTCCGACGCAAGAAGAGGAGCGACACCAGCTCGTACGCGTCGACCATCGCACCGAGTATGATCTATATTATGTCCCATTTTGCGATCAGTGCCAGCGATCCTTTTCGAGAGCGAACACTACTGCATGGAACTCCAGGGGTTTACACACCGGGAAAAACGACGGGAACAGAACATCCACCCTGGTCGTGGGCTCTGCCCTCCAGTAGTTGTACAGCCAGGCGATGAAGGCCAGCGCCCCGAGGGCGAACAACATGGACAAGAAACGCCCGAGAACTTGCAGCCAGCTGAACGTGGCCCCGTGCTGCCCGATCCCCCGGACTCGCGGAACGCATCTTCCCCGTTCGACATCCATTCTAGTCTCGATGACCGTTCCCCGCCCGCGGGTTCTTCGCCGACCGTGTCTCCGACTCTTCAGCGCGATGAGGCGAGGTCTGGTGTTGTCTCCCAGTCACAGGGTCGAAAGAAGCATTCCCGGTATAGCTCGGCCTGTTGTACTCGTTGATGGATACTCCCAGTTTAGCTTGGGAAGAGGCGACAGCGAAGATCGATGATCGGAGCAAGGGAGGAGAACCCAGATTTCCAATCTCAGCCCTAGGAAAGCCCGGCATTAAGGGAGCCGGATGCCTTGAGGTCGGCGGTAAGGGTGCGGCGCAGGGCACCTCCTCTCCTGTATGCAAGGATCTTGTGCCACAAGTGCTGCCCCCCACTCAGCCGCAGCTTGGCTAAAACCTCGCGACCATAGAAGGCCGGCGGCTGCGTTGTGGGTTGCCAAGATCTTGAATTCAACTACACAGTACCTAGGGCGCTACAAGGTGCGGTTGCGATCGAATGGTCTCCACAATATACGACAACTGGAACGCGTTCCTTGAAAAGATGTCTGCGAACACTTGAGGTGATGGTCACGGTCTTCTTCGGACTCCCCGGAGAATGTCTTTCCGTATCCCGGGGCCGGTAGGAGTGTCATACACCCGCCCTATGGCAAGGAACGGAGTCCCGGTGGGATTTGAGGGCCGAGTTTACGTATGTAGGAGGTTCTGGTTGCAGTTATCTCGCCGGAGATAGATGCTTGGTGACATCACTGAATGCAGACGGTTACTGCTAGTGATATATAACATGCCCATGGAGGAAGCAGGATTGCTTACCTTCACGCCACGTTATGTCTACGAAGTTGCTATGCTCCGCTCTGTGTCTGCCACCCTTCCCAAGGTTATGAGACCAAGACCCGTGTTTGGGCGGCTTTCTTGCCGCCAACTAGCCGTTCCATCCCGCGGAGAGTAGCTCAGGAGGCTGCCAGACGGGCAGTATGTACCGCTCTAGTCACCTATTATATTGTGAAACGCAACGGGATTGACGCCTGCTACGTCCTCCGCATCCCCTTGACCAAGCGGCGGCTTCCCTTTCGCGTAAATAAGGTACTATTATCTATTTGGACCAGTTGATATAGGGCAACCATCTCGCGGGCTTGGGAACATGTTCACAGGCAGTTCGTTATGCTGTCACATCACAGCATATTTTGAATTACTGAAAGTATACAATTGATATCATATCCAACAAGCAGATATGAGGGGAGAATGGGGTAAATACAGAAATAAGGTGCAACAGAGGAATTAGGATCCAAGGGAAGTGAACATAGAATCCAGAGAGCGAGCCTCAAAACACCAAGCAGAATCTTAACTTCAGATGGTGATTTAGATTAGCCATAAGTCATCCGAACTTCTGCTGATGAAGGTTTTACCAGCGTTCTTCCCAGCGTCCCTTCGAAACTTCCCATCAAAAATACAACCGACACCAACCCAGAACCAATGACTACGAGTTCGTCAACCCCAAGACAAACAACGACACCGAATCAAAAGCCTACTGAAAACCCATATCATAGCCTAACCTGCAAGCCAAAAGAAATAAAAAAAACAAAAAAAAAAAGATGGGCCACCCCGCCGGCAAAATCCTCACCCTCGCCGCGCTGCACGCCGTCCTGGCCGCGCTCCTACTCCTCCTCGTTGCCACCGTCACCGGTGGCTTCCACCCCAACCACCACCACCACCACCAGGACCGACTCGCTCCAGTGCCGCCCCAACTTCCTCGCACTGCGGGTCAGCAACTCACAACAGATGATGGCGTTTCGCTGGCCATCTTGATGTTGGCATACACCCACGCGTGGTGTGCTACGGTTGGTTTCGGCTGGTGGTATGTGTCCCAGTGGTGTGCGGGCGTGCACACAACCAGGCTATGGGAGGCCGGTGAGACGCTCTTGTTCCATGCTCTTTCGTTGGGCATGATGCTGGGCTTGGGAGGGGAGATGGTTTTTGTTGGGGCCAAGGCCTTGTCCCTTTATGCGGTGAGCGGTTCTTCTTCGGGCTATGGTAGCAATGGTTGGGCTGTGGACGGAGTTTTGCGCCTTGGTACGTTCCCCCTGCCCCTTTTTTCCTCCTTTGTTTTGGTTTCACGGAGGAGCTGCTAACCTCGGGCTGATGCTGCCAGTCGTGATGGCCGTGGTCGGTGGTCCGCTTTCTGTGCTGTTTGTCGTCTTCTTGCCTCGGACGTGGTGGTATCTGCGGCCGGTCGCTCGGGTTTTAAGGTGGGAGCTGCCGTACGCGGCAGCTGTGCTTTGGCTTGCGGTAAAGTGGCTCTGCTGGGGAACGGGACTCGTGCTGGCGTGGCTCTTCTGGGCATTTCGGATTGCGTTTCGACTTTTTTGGGGTGTGGACCAAACACGAGGCGTGTGAGGGAGGGAAGTTGAGTTTAGGATGGGTGTCGAGAGGAGGATTGTGTGAGAGGACGGGTCACGCAGCTCGGCGCTCTGGTGAACGTCGCCTTGCAGATAAAAGCATAACAGTGGGTGGATGGTGCTTTATATCAGGAAGGTCGTTGGTAGCACTGGTGCACTGGATATCTAATCCCACTTGTGCGGCTCTCGAACGTTACGACTCCCCGCAGGCAAAGGTGGTCTCGCAGTATTGCGTTTCGTGCATGGAACCAGCTTCTGCATTGTATTCTCGACGGGGGGCGAGACCCGCTGCTTGCCTCCGACATCGACGATCTTTCGCTCTCGTGCGGCGGGAAACTGCAAAAACTGTGACTCGCCTCGAATTCCATTGATATGACCCCGCCAAACGAAGTGACGTCTTTCGATGCCTGGTTCTTATCCCTTGTGCCAAGCTTTGGCCCCGAAGATGTCCAATGAAGCTCGGCCATCCTCGATACTTTGAGAATGCGCCCGCCCGAGCCTGCGCCCGCGCCTTCTTACCAGCAGTAGGCTGGCCTGCGGTAACGCTGCTCGACACTGCCGTGTCTCGCCCGAGGGAGGGACACCGGCGCCAGATTCGGCCTGCACCGTCGGCCACGAGTTGGCCGAGCGCAGACCCAGACCAGAAGGCGGTATGCCTAGGATAGTCGACGTCATACAACAATGCTCGGATCACTAAATGGGTAGTACGGTACTGGAAAAGCCTGAACGGAATCAAGGGCCTTAACCTTGTTGGACGCCCACAAGATTTTTGGATTTTCTCTCCATCCATAAAAGGTCGACTCCCCTATGTTTCACAGCATATTACCTCTACCTCAGTGTCTTCCCTTGCACCAAAGTCGCGACATAATCGAAACGAAGTGACCAACGCATCAAAGTAATCCAACACATATCCATTGAACTCGGGAAAGAAGACAGGGCAGAATTCATGTCCGAGGACACCAAATAATCCCATCATTCCCATCATGATACATATAGATCACTACTACCTCTTCATTGCTCAGCGACTCAAGGACGCCTGCCTCGTCCACCTCTGCGACGAGGCACAAGCAGCTAACCAGACGACGGCAATCTTCACTCAATCCATTTCCGAGACACGCCGGGTCTCTCATTTGCTCGATGCCCTCAACATACGCGCTGTTTCTCTCCACTGCGATCTCTCTCAATCGAAGCGAGCAGCTTTTCTGGACAAACTCCGCCGCAAGGAGTGCCCTGTCATTGTGGCAACCGACATAGCGGCCAATCTTGGTCCTATCATGATCCCCAAGGTCGACTGCATTATTACCTACGGCGTCACGATGTGGAGAATGCCTCCCAATGCATATACGCAACGAACCAGCCATTTAGCTCATACCGAGAATCCGGGGTAGGTCATCACCTTGATCACAGAATAGTAAGTTGAGGCAACTCCCAATATTTACCAATCACACCAGCTGGTTGAGTTAACATGGCACCTTCAGTGACCTGGAGTTCTACATGCGCCTCAAGGATGACGTAGGTTTGAAGGAACACACCGTCAACATGGACATGGTCATGACCTGCAGGGAGCAAGTTGAGAAGGCTGCACGCAAGAACCCCTCGCTGATTGAGAACCCTTTTCTACATGGAAGAGGTAGGAGTTAGGAGTTAGGGTGAAGTAATTGGGTCCGGGGCTGTTGGCATTGTGGTGAGGAAGTATGATATTGCTATCCGAGTTTCACGCCGTGACTTGGTAGTTGTATTTGCAGGAGTTTTGCGAGGGATGCTATGCGCTTCGAGGCACCTAGAATCTATATAACACCTATATTTAAAAAGGTGGTGTGTTTACATGTAGCCACATCGCCCTTTGATGACGTCCTGCTTGCAATAGTGTTGTTAGCTCAGCCATCATTTCATGTGACAAAAACTTGCCTATTCGATTCAAACAGGACCTTAGATGTGATAGACGTTTTCCATGACGGAGATGTGCAGCCTCCACCACAAGTCTCATACAAGAGGTCAAGGAGTGCCTTCTCACTTGAGATGCATCATGTGTGAATGTTTGGAAGCTCGACAGGACATGAGAAGTTGGATTCGGCCATGGATTATCTTTCTTAACCTAGAAATATTGTCTTGGGGATGGGGAAGATAACGAAGGCTTCATTCTTTCGCAGATCAGGCAGCGGGCGCTGGTTTTTATGAAAGTGTCATTGGTGGCGCATGTGTCGGGACCACGCGGATCCTCCCGTGTGCATGCTGCATAAGGAAAACACTTTTGCGCCTCTTTGGCTTGGCTGGTCTGATTTGCAGGAGTCTCACATGATCGATCTCAGACTTGGATGCTCGGGATGGTGCACATGCACTTGGTTCAGAGGGGAGGTAGGAAAAGGACGAAACCAAGCAGTCACAGCTCATGCCAGTGAAGAGCATGAAGAGGAACGATGAGTGCAAGTTCCAAAACAGCTCTATTTCCCCGTCTTCGATTCTCTCTCAATCAATATAGGTCTTAGTCTAACAACGCCCAACGCCCTCACAGCGGATTCGATGCAGGAGATGATGGCACGGTAGTCAGTCATGAAGGGATTGTCCCTCGGCAGGCCCTGCATCTCCAGGGTTACATCCGCGGCAAGGAGAGCCCTGGGGTCATGGATGTGGTAGTACTCGCCCGGGCTCTCTGTGCTGTAAAGATTGTCACATATCCGGCCCGGCGGTACAGCACTGACTGAGCTCCTTTGTGCGCCAAGGAGAGCGGTGACCTAAGGAGGGAAACATGGCCTCTGCCGCGGAGTTGGCTTTCGAGGAGGACATGGTGCACCTGCACCTTGGCCAGAGCAGAACCGGGCGGCTGAGCCATTGGGCAAGCTCAAGCATTCTTCCTTCCTCTAGTTCATACTAGAACTAGTAGCTGTGGGCGTTCAAGCCCAAGAACCAGCTGTATCGCCATGGCCACCATGGGCTCGACAATTAAGAGCACTGATATCGTCCTCCATAACAAGTCCGGTTCCTGCCAAGCCATCTGAAGAGAAGCCAGTCACCGCCTCCGTGATCTTGTAGCCAATATTGCTACGATTCAGAACGCCAGCGAGGAAGCTGTCTCTCCACCCCGGAGGCGCAGCGGCATGCACCAGACCGGCCTTACCTCGTGGCGACCCGCCACGAAGTTGCCTCTTCTACATGGGCTTCCGCCGCGGGCGGCTACCACAGGGACATCAGACGGCATATAGGCGCCCGTCTGAACTCGTTATATTTGCCCTCTGACGGTGCTGTTTTTGGAGGGCATGGTCATGGGATGGAAGGGTTATCAGACGGAAGGGATCATGGGATAGCAGATGTCACGTCCGTCCTAGCTCGAACCTTGCGTCTAGATCGGGGGAATAGAGAGGGTTCCGACGGCCATGATGTCTGATGGGCATATCCATCTAAAGCTCTCAGGCTTGACGAACACACGATTAGCACGTTCATTCGTCTTAGTAGTGGAATCCATATTCCCATCATACGCAGTCCAACATACCTATATCCCGTGCGTGTTAGCAGCAGAGGAGTTATATGAGCACACTGAGGGTAGCACTAGTATGAAAGGTAGTAGGTGGCATTAAGTGTGAGTTACGGTTGGTCACTAAAGTACAGCAGAGTATCCTTAGTCCGTCCCCATTGGCTCGCCTTCCTAGCATCTTGTTGTAGCCTCGTCTCGCGTTACAAGGACACGAAGCCCTCCCCTTCTTTGGGGCAGCTGTCCAACAAGATTCCTTTGTCGTTGTATGCCTTAGCTCACTTCGCATTGATACATGGTAGCCATATTACAGAGTTCTAGCACACTTGTCATACTTTGTTCTGACCATGATATGCCTAACTTACACGGTGCACTGCGTGTATGACTTCTGATGCTAGTAATAGTAGCTCGTTCTCTCTGGCAGGACAGTAACGCAACCCCCCTGCTCTCTGGTATTTGCCCGGTGAGATAAGCTATGAAAAGATCACGCACACGTTGGTTCCGAATAGATCCATAGGAGTGAGGTGATATCCAGGCAGCAGAGGAAGTCTCAACACGAGGGGCTCAAGTGGCGGAGGAGTGGTTCCGCCTCAGCAGGACACGGCAGGAGGTACCCTGGGTGTCCCTGCACAGCATTCCGGTGCCAGCCCAATACTTTCCTAGACCTTGCCGGCGTTCTAAACAGGCGGCCAATAAGCCGGATCGCATCTCGCATCGTTGTCAGGGCTTTAGCCCCTCAAACATCATGTCATGGGAACCACAAACGCATTACCTTTCCCACCTAAAGCACTCCTCATCACCTTCCTAAAATTTCCCACCAGTTTCCACACACTGCCAATTCGTTCAGACACACTACACCTTCATTCTCACCCAAACCGAGCTGGGGACCGCTCCTCACCTCTTGTTTCCTGGACTGGTAAGTTAAATCCTGAGCTCAGACTCCGTTGTTCTCCTCTCCTTTGCCGCTGTTTTCTTTCTTTGCGCCGTCTAAGACATACTTTGAGTTTCATCAGAGGTGGCTTGAGACACAAGTCGGCGTTGGAAGCAAACCAGAAGCCTCATCTTCTGAAAGTGTCCATTTTCTATCTTCATTTCATCCTCTCCTACTTATCGGCAAGCCGATGACGGTACCTACCCCCTCCCCCTCATTCATTCATCTCGATGATGATCTCCACTTTGGCTACTGAGACGCCAAAGGGGGAGCCCGGTGTGTCATCACTTCTCAACGCTGCGCGATGGGCCGCCAGCAGACTGCTCTCTGTCTGGACTGACATACAGTCCTTGCTATTTTGCTGTATAGACGTCCTAATACTCTGACCGACTGCTGACCTGTTCCCCAATGCTTTAGTTCAGATGAAACATCCAGGGAGGTTTCTCCTCCCGAGGAGATCCCGGCCAAAGATCTTGATCGAGAAACGGGCAAGGCCGGCTACTTCCCCATGGAAGTGTGCGTCGTCCGCGGGGTAAACCCCTACCGTTTGAAGTTGGACCCATCCAGGGTAAGTGCTCTCATTGCTTCCTGTGTCCGACATTAGACCAAGGGTCATGAGATCTGACCTCTCCCTCAGGCGCCACAGCCACCTCAGCTTCGGACGCATCTAAAACTTCACCCAGCCTCAGCTTACTCTGGCTGACTGGCCGGCAAAGCTCGTTCTTCAAAAAGAGAAAAACACAAAAAAAGTTTAAAATTCAAATAAAAAAATAAAAAAAAGGCAGAAATGAAAAAAAGATCAAGATGCCTGGACATCCCATACGCAAACGCACAGGATGTCTGGATGACATTGTAAGAGGAGGGACATGTCGGAGATAAACCAAAGGTGTGGGGTAACACTGTACGAGAAGGAGTGTATGAGTTTTGAAGAACCCTTATTAGGGGTGATTCATTTGAAGGACAGGTACGTGACGAGAGCGATGACAGAGAGACCTATATTCCGAGGAACCCCTTCTCCACTCCTGCCTTCAGCCAGCCATCTCCAATCGCTCACCGCTGGATGTCCCTGCATTGCTGACCGTCACTTGCCACTAGTAGCGGCTCGCTCCATACAGGAGTGTGACCTGTCTCAACACACAACAAAGCATCACCATGTCCCAGACCACGCAGCAACTTCATGTTGAACAACTGTAAGATTAGGTGAGTTGAACTGTCGCCAAGTCTTCACTCCAAGCTTACCAACATCCCATGATCAGATAGAACGTTCAAAGCGTTGACGGGCACGATACAGTGCTCCGACAAACGCCTCCCCGAAATCCTACCGGGAGGTGGAGCTATTTCGAAGTCGAGATCATACTTTGTTTGTCTCTCTATGCTTCCTTTTATGAAGCCCTTCGGCCGGTCAACTAGGTAATCCTTCCTCACTAACACTGTACGGCACACGACAACATGGCTTTCTCCAGGCAGCGTTTCCAGAAGGACGCCAGCCCTGACCCCAAACTAGGGTGGGTGGGAGGGGGGGACCGGGGAGATTGCGCCGTCACCAGCAGCCACAGTTTCAGAGGAGAAAGTCACGGCCGCTGCCGTCTTCCTCGGTGTCTCGCCAGTGTTGGTGGCTTTAGGACGGAGGCGAAAGCCAGAGCAACCATCACGACTATGGTTCTCCCTCGTATGATGCCGACGAGAAGTGGGAGAGCAGGTCATCGTGACTCCCACAAACAACGGGACCTATACCAAGCCAACGCACACGCCGGCGAGCAGCGGGGACGCTGAAGACGACGAGGACACTTTCGCAACCATCAACAACAACCGTCTAAATACCCTTTGGGGGGAGGGGGGAAGGGGGGAGGGTAGTCCGGAAGGGCTACGAGGCTCGAAGACGATGTGTGAAAATCAGATCTGACGAGTACCACGGGCAATATCCGCTCGAGCCCGACAAAGAGCCCATTCCCAGTCTCTGCACCGGGTGCCGCCGCGATCGGAAAGAGAGCATCGATGCTGGCACTGCCGGCGATATTAGCCTTCGGCAGGCCCAGATTGACGAGTGGCAGGGATGTGCAACCTGCGGCAACATGCGGCAACCTGCGGCAACCTGTGCTCGGACGAGTATCACGAGATGTACCTGTCCAACAAGAGCTTCCCCCCCCCCCCCCCCCGGGGCTGAGGAGGCCTGTGGCAAGTGCATGATCATCAAGAAGGGCAAGAGAAAGACGGCCCAGCTTCGGTCGTCCGTGGACGAGCTGTTCACAGTGGACTACGAGTCATACGAGATTGGATGGTCCCCTATTCTTGATAAAATACAGACTTACGTCGGCCTCTCCTAGCATCTTCGCTGCTCAGCGATGACACCCTACTACACCATTCTACTTCTGGCTCCTCGCTCTTCTCTACCCTGCGGGCATGGTTCGACATATATGCCCTCCCCCTCCAACACGGTATGGCTATGTCAGGTACGGATGAGATGACTCAACGCAGCGTGGTCTCATGGGGGCTTCCGCTAACAACTGAACGGACCACAGTGGTCAGGTTTCCGGCTTCTTCAACATGTCGGACTATGCCGCGCGCTTCGGAGCACACAATCCATCCGCGGAGGCCTACGAGTTCAGCGATGGCCGATTGTGTTAAACCACTAAACACCTTTGTGGTCTTTATGTTCAGTATGGCTTTCAAGCCCTCTCACATATAAGCCAGTTCCCTGGCTTAGGTGGGCACATCACCTTCTTCACCTTCTTCATTACTATTCAGACCACTTTTATGCCTCTGACATTTCTGCATGCTGCAACAGATTGTAGTCAACAAGGAGGAGGAACACAAGGGGCGAGGCCAGGACGACACAGGGGTGATGTAGGCTAAAGAGTGTTGGATGTACCAAGGACGAAGAAGGTCCAAGGAAGGAAGGATTTGTCGTCGATCGCGTTGGTCGCAGCGAGATACAAGGGGAACCGCAACTAGCGATATTGAATACGATCGACGATTCGAGAAACGAATGAAGACCTCCGAGAGACTATCGAGAACGCACCGCCGAGACGCAGATGAGACACATAACAAGGCTAGGGGTACTACAATGTTAAGAGGAGGCATAATACTCATGAAGGCGTTATACTATCAATAGGAGGATGATACTTCCACAAGAAGAGATAAGCAACTGGGGCGGTTCTACAATGTCAAGAGAGGAGCCGTATTGAGGGTGGGCGTATACTCTAAAGAGGAGGGAGGAATACACAATACAGTACAACGAGCTTCTATCGAATACTATCGACGACTCAAGAGAAGAGAGAACGTGAAGACCCCCGAGCCAAGCGCCGACAGTTCGCCGCCGAACACACGCGAGACGCATCACAAGGTCAACATCATAGGGTCGTTATAATGTTAAGAGGAGGGATAATACTTAGGCATTACACTGTTAAGAGGAGGAAGGCCTCTATATATAAGGGTTGAATAAGTCGTGGAACCAAACAATGACAAGAGGAGGGGCTTGTGGAGGGGGCACTATACTGTCAAGAGGAGGGATAATATTCAAGGAGATAATACACGGTTAAGGAGGGAGGAGGACACTGGCGAGGACCCGCACATATACCCAAGCTAAAGAACGCGAACAAGCATCTGCGGTTGGTCTCCCGGCCTCGAAAAGATATCCAAGGTAAGTACCAGACCAAGAATGCCCTGAGTGCTACCCATTTGCTGACTCAAGGAGACAGGAGCGTCGAAAACAATAAGAAAGCGAACCCCCGTCGAGAGTGCCAGAGTAAGACAAAAGAGCAACGGTAATATACTGTCAAGAGGAGGAAGAATATCAGAGGCATACATGGCAGGGAGGTGAAATACTATAAGAGGAGGCACTTAAGCTTGGATAAGGGACCGTCGGCGCACACATCAGCCAAGAACAAGGACAAAACGTCTCGACAAGAGTCGCTCCTCAAGAAAGGATTACCAGCGCGGAGACTGGAAGAGGCAGAGGAATACACACAGTTAAAAGGCATGGAAAAAAGACGTATAAACTAAGGGGGTGATATACAGCCAAGAGGGGGACTTTCATAAGGGCATATAACCGAATACCTGGCCGTGCCGTGAGGCAGAAAGGCAAACACAACACCTGCGAAACAGAAGGCAAACATGGACCGAAGTCGAAGGCACCAATAAGACATCTCGATGAAGGATAGAACAACCGGTCTGAAGAAGAGCAACGCAGGGGACACTCAAGTAATAGTCCGAGAACCTCAAGGCGGGTAGTGGACTCTGAAAGAGGAGGGACACAGCGGATACAAGACAAAAGGACGGAGGTTGTAATCGGCGGGGATTCAGAACACAAGGGACTAGTGAAGGCTCGCGGCACGATGCCAGCTGGTTCTCGGCTAAGAGGAGGAATCGTTCAGTCATCAATCAGAGGCTCGGGAGTATACTTCAAAGAATGGGCAATCGTCCGATGTCATCCGGTCGAACGGACGTTACCGTCACCAGTACCAAGCCAGCCGGGATGAAAAGGGCGGACGATCCCATCGAGGAAGAGCATCAAAGGCGCCCGCATCTCGTCGGAGGAAGAAGCAACATAAGAGCAATCTCGGGGATCCAAGCACTAATCCGCCTAGGAGGGGAAGCATAGTGGAAGAGACAGAAACAGCCAGGAGTGCACTAAGTCCCGTTTCTCAGAATCACAAGCACGATATAAGAGCAAGTAAGCACGGAAACCGGAGACTTGATCAATGCGGGAAGACGAGAGCAGTCCGTTCCGCAGGGAGTACACCAACCAGGGAGGGAGAAAGACGGGCGATCTTGTCATATAACACGCTGGGGGTTCAGACTATGTAAGCACAACCCATCGAGAATAAGGTGCACGTACGGGAAGACAGTCCATGGAAGATACGAGCCAACATGCCAGCCAACAGCACACCTGGACCGCATCCTGCCCCTGCACTGTTTAAGTCCCCGCGCAACCACTCTTCGTAGCCTTGACTACTGCATGTATGTGGTAATCCCATCCCACTGATTTCCTCATTCCGAGATGGGCACTTGTCCGAAGTCGCCGCGCGATGTATTCCTCTTAAATCTCTTAAGAGGAAGACCAGACCAACTGGACACCACTTTGGAGGTAGTAATGAGGCAGAAAGCCGCGAGCGGTATTCTTATTGTTATTCCCAGCGTCGTAATAACCACCAACCCTTCCAAGATCGTATCTCATCCTTCCTGTTATATATACCTCTCCTAGTACTTCATACTCATACTAACATTAGGTACCTGACTTCGTGGTATCGCCGCAAACGCCATCTAGAAACAGCATATGCCAATCCAAGTCCCTTCCCCCCTACCAGAACGAATGCTTAACCTCCCCTCTCCACCTACCACCTCATGGCTCTGTACATGTACCAAGTGGATCCTCCGTACGCTATGCTGCAATAAAACGAGACTCATAATGATAGTTACTAGCAGTAGTAGCCAGCTTTGTAATGGCCATGACCTCGTGTCATTCCCTCCATATATGGGTATCGCCCAAGCTGACCGAGCTCGACGAGTTGCTACTCGCACCACCCGCTTGACGTGGCGGGGGCGTTTCGTACCCTGACGCGCTGTGCTCCTCCCTACTAGTATCCGGTTGCGGTCCGCGGGGGACATCGTCATCCGAAGAAGCCTCGACCAACGGCGGCGGGGGTTCCTCATAGATCCACGGCTGTTCGAGGCTGTTGTATGTCGGGCAGGGTTAGCAAGGTGGGGAACGGAAGCATCTTACATACAAATCTTTGACCCATGACGAAACGGTTGTCGGGTGGAACGGGGTGGGTTCAGTAAAGAAAGTACTCACGGCATGACCAAGCTGGGATTGACAAACCGCAGGCCCTTCTCGCGGTCCTCGTCCACGGTGCTGCCCCTCCGGAGCACCTCCCTCTGGCGCTCGGCATCATCCCCCGCCGCACCGTCCAGATCGCCGTCCAGGATCGCGCTCTCGCCTCCCTCGCCGGCGACCTGCTGCTTGATGCTGCGCAGCGAGATGAACCTCGTCAGCGGCTCGACGCGCCTCCGGAACCCCCAGCCGTACCACAGGGTAGCCACCAACAGCGGGCCGACCAGCAGCGCGACGGTGAAGGCCTTGCGCAGGGCCAGGTAGCCGGACATGGTGATGTGGAAGACCACCAGCCCGAGCATGATGCGGTAGCAGATCATGCGCCAGGCGCCGCCCGTGGCGTGCTGCGGCTGGTCCATGGCGTAGAGCAGCTGGTACTTGTAGGTGAAATAGCCGAGCGAGTAGTAGGCCAGCCCCAGGGCGAGCACGAGGAAGCCGCCCGGCAGGGCGCTGTAGACGAGGCAGAGGATGAAGACCAGCAGCGCGGTGGGCAGGTAGAAGCCGTAGTAGAACATGGGCGGGCGCACCATCTGGGCGAAGTCGCGCGGCGTCTTGGCGCCCATGCGCAGGATCGGGTACTGCGCCACGCTGCCGAACTCGAGCAGGCGGAAGGGGAAGAGGCCGAGGCCCTGGAGCATGATGAAGTTGGTGTAGAAGACGGACAGCTCCTCGATCTTCTGCGCGAGCGTGTAGGCGATGTAGGTGGTGTCGTGGAGCGACTTGCGCAGGACGTCGAAGATGGACGAGACGGCGCCGAAGACGGTGAAGATGAGGAAGATGTTGAAGAAGGTGAAGAAGAAGTTCTTGCTGATGACCGAGAGCGCGATGTCGCCCTGCGAGAGCATCCCCTGGTGGTACGAGAGATAGTCGTAGAGGTAAGGGACGGCGATGTTGAGGAGGGACACCACGAGCGTGGGCAAGCCCGTCTGGACGAGCGTCCGGGAGATCTCGTGCTCCCTCAGCCAGTCGGCAAAGGATGGCAAAAAGCTCTCGATGGTGCAGATGCTCAGGACGGTGGCGAGGAAGGCCACAGGGATCAACCACACCACAGACAGCACGGCGACGAAAACAGTGACGGTCCAGGATCGTATGCGTCGGCTGAAACGCGAGGCGTATGTGTTCTTCCAAACGACATCGGATGGCGCCGGGGCAGGCTTGGTCTGCAAGCGGCCCGGGTAGGGATCGATGAGCGCCTGAATCGCCATCTGACAGGCTGCAATGGAGTCCATAGTCACGAAGGCAAGGTCGGCTGGCTCATGCTGCTTCTTCCGCGACGCCAGGATCTTCTCGTCCAGCTGACGGAGCTTCTCGGTGTAGTAGCCGATGGCATCGGTCTTGCGACTCTGGAGGCGGAGAAAACCGTACCAGAACCGAGTTTGGGGACGCTGCCGCTGGAAGGATTGGCGAGCCCCGATGCCTCGGAGGAGCCGATCGCTTTCCCCGGCTTCCTCATCGCGCCCATCGGAGAGCGCACCCGGCTCATTCACGACACCGTTGCCCCCGTCCCCGTCTTGCGGACCCTGGGCCGCTTTTAACGGCCTGTGGGCGAGATAGACGCTCCATGCCTCCTCGAGCTTCGCCAGGACAGTCTGTCTCTGCTCCATCAACCTGTCGAGCTCCTCCCAGTTGCGGCACAGCGTAACGCTCTCGACCTTGCCGATCTCCAGCTTCTGCACAAGGTCCTTGATCGCCTCTTCCGTCCTCAGTCCCCTGGGGATGCCGGATAGCCGGAAGGTCCTGTCGGTTATGGTGGACTGTGTACCAAGGTAGTCCTGCCGCACCCTGATCACCTTGGACGTCTCCTTGTCCATGAAGTACAGGGTGAGTCCCGTGAATAGGTAGGTGAATACTAAGTAGGACCACAAATACCCCATATTGCGGTTGAAGCTGTTGTCCCCGTCGTCGTCCCCGTCATCCTTGTCGCCAAGCGGTGTCGCAGGACCATAGCTGCCGTATGCTGCGTATTGGGGGAAGAGAAGCGACTGGGCGGCGCTGGTGCCGGGCGACCGGGCCCGGACGAAGTGGCGGTTGATGGGCTCGAGAACGGCGGCGGCAAAGAGGAACATGACCCCAAACAGGCGCATGGACATCTTGAAGAAGGCCAGGAACACATACGCGTCGAGCCCGGCCGAGCACAGCACCTGCTGCTCGGTGATCTTGTACAGAGTGGGGATCCATCCGAAGAAGCTATCGGGCAGAGCAGGCAGGTGCAGGAGCGGGTTCGAGTGTCGTTTTCGTGCGGCGTAGAGGGACTTCCATCGTGGGCGAAGTGTCTACCGCCAGGGCCTCCATGTCAGTGAGAGCTGGGGCACTAGGAACGACGGTGTCAAGGAAAGCTGGACCTACGCAAAAGGCGAGAAACGCCGACAGGCCAAGAGCCAAGGAGATGACAAGCTGCACCTGGGTGTCCGTCTTCCCGGGCCGAACCTGCTTGTCTCCCGAGCACCTGCCCTCGGGGTCTTCGAATATGTTCATAATAGCTGCCTCTTGCGACGCGCTTCACCGGGAAGAGCGATAAGCGTTGAGGCTGGCGATAGATGGGCCAACCGGTTGTGTCGACATGGATAGTATCAACCTCTGCTAGGTCACGCAAGCTTGTTGGAGCTCGAAACGGGAGCGGTGACGTGAACGGCACTGCCGGCAGGCAAGACGCCAAGATTCTCCACTTATACTACCCAGAAACCGGCACAAAGCACGTGCACAGTCAGCTCAGCCCAGCCATGAGACAATGAGCGCCACCTGTGGCGCTGCACAGCCCCTTCGGTTTCTCTGATCGCTAAGACGACCCTCTCAGCTCGACTCCAGAACGGCGAGGGACAACGTTCAATTCCAGCACGGTTCGAGGTCCGCCAGGACTTGGGCTCTGAATATACCATTCAAGTTGGGTATGGACCAATCATGGTGTGAGCGGCCTGTGTTTTTTCGCTCCCGTTCTGCCATGAATCGCAGTAGCATGTTTCCCAGCTGCCAAGTTGGGCGATCCACTGACGCGTCGTCCGCCCGTCGTCGTCGTCATCGGGCGTCGTCTAACACGGGCTGTGCCAACCGATCTATGTAGGCACCTGTCGGTCACAGCAGACACATGCAGACAAGCCTCTCCTCCCATTTGCTGCGTTTCATGTGCGAAGAAGGTCAGACAAGATGTACCGATGTATTCTTTCTTCCGGCCACGCGGCCGACGCTCTAGACTGTGGCAACACAGTGCAGCCAAGATCCGCTCACCGGCTCTTAATAAGGGGAGTTCGCGCCCCTTAACGCCTCTCGCCCTTTGAGTTCCTGACGTGACCTCCTACTCTTTCCCTCTACAGCTCTTGTGTCATACCTAGTCTGGGCAACATCTTCTTTGAGGCCAACCTGGCGCCATTGAACAGTCTCTTTCCCACCACTACAGTTACACAATAGAATGGTCACAAGGCTGGACCTGGCGCTGGACGCCCAGGAGCTCGCGGGCGAACAGCGCGCCCTTCTCGACCTGCTCGACAAGCTCCAGTTCGCCCAGCTCGACAATGTCAAGCTCCCTCAGATCGTCGTGGTCGGCGACCAGAGCGCCGGGAAGAGCTCGGTGCTCGAGGCCATCACCGGCACTCCGTTCCCTCGAGATGCCGGCGCCTGCACGAGGTTCGCAACCGAGATCCGGCTGCGGAGGGCGCCCCAGACCAGCATCAACGTCTCGGTCATTCCAGACAAGAACCGGAGCTTTGCCGAGCAGGAGAGGCTGCGGCAGTTTGGCGGAACCGTCAACGCCGACATTCCCTTCGAGCACCTGATGCGGAGTGCTGTCGACCTCATCGCCCCCAAGAACATCCCCGGCCGGTTCGCCGCCCGCGACATCCTCGTGGTCGAGAAGCGAGGCCCGGAGATGCCGCTCCTGACCCTCGTCGACTTGCCGGGCCTGGTGCGCAACGCCAACAACGACCAGTCCCTTGAGGACATCCGAACCATCGAGGCGCTCTCGGACCGCTACATGAAGAGCTCTCGCACCATCATACTGGCCGTCGTCGGCGGCAACGCAGACTACGTGCAGGCGCCGATCCTGACTAAGGCGCGCCATTTCGACCCTACCGGATCCCGGACCATCGGAGTCCTGACCAAGCCGGACCTCACCGAGTCCATCGGGCTCGAGGACAAGTTCATCAACCTGGTCACCAACAAGGACAAGCAGAACGACTTCAGGCTCGGCTGGTACGTACTGCTGAACCCGGCGCCCAGAGAGCCGGGCCAGCCCTGGCCCACCGCCGAAGAGCGCCGACGCGCCGAAGCTGCCTTCTTCAGCAACGGGAAATGGAGCTCGATCCCGCCGTCCATGTGGGGAGTCCGGGCCTTGATGCAGAAGCTCAGCGTGCAGCTTCAGCAGCACATCGGAAAGCACATCCATGTCCTCCGGAAGCAGATCCAGAAGGCCCTCGACGACTGCGAAGCCGAGCTCAAGTCGCTGGGCAACGCGAAGGACACGCCGGAGGAGATGCGCATCGAGCTGGTCGAACTGTTCTCGGGATCCAAGGAGCTGGTCATCCCTGCCGTCTACGGTTTCTACAAGAACCCTCCCAAGAAGAACTTCTTCCGCGTGACTGCCGACCCTAGGGGCACACCTGCACAGAACCTGCGGGCCCGGGCTACCGAGGAGAACGACCGGTTCGCCATGAGGATACGCGCTCACGGGCGCAAGTTCAACTTCTCGGTTCCTCCGCCGCAAGGGGCAGGCGCGCAGGCCCCTGAAGCCGGTATAAAGCGAGAGTTCATCACCCAGGAAGTCGAGTCTCTGCTCCGCCAGGTCCGCGGTTCCGAGTTCCCCATGGATCCAAAGCCGAGGGCTGTCTACATGCTCTTCCAAAGCTACTCCGAGAACTGGCCCAGGCTCGCACAAGAGCACAAGGACAACCTGGGTGTCGTGTGCAACGAGTTCCTCGGCGAGCTGATCGACTACGCATGGCCGAAGCGCATGCGAGAACCTCTTCGCCGCCATTTCCTGGAGCCGCACCTCAAGGAGCTCATGGAGAAGGCACAGCACGAGCTGGATCTCCTAACTGAAGACCTGAACCTCGAGGTGCAACCGTACGATCCCGAGTACGAGGAGCGCCTGCGCAGCTGGCAAGCCAGAGTGTCCAAGGACGGCGCAACCTTCTCGGAGGCTGAGGAGATCCTCGAGAAGATGCTGATCTACTACGACCTGGCCGCCAAGACCTTCATCCGGAACATCATCACGCAGGTGGTGGAACGCCATCTGCTCCAGGGCATGTACGGCCTCTTCAACTCGGCCGAGGTCCTGGGCCTGAGCAACGAGATCGTCGACGCCATCGCGGCCGAGAACAAGGAAACGAGGGACAGGAGGCAGACGCTCAGGGTGCAGAAGAAGGCGATCCAAGAGGCCAAGGAGCTGTGTGCCAGCCTTGCGATGAGGAAAGAGCTTAGAGCAGTACGTTCCCGCCACCCCCTTGCCCGCCGCCTGTCTCCTTCGGCGCATCCTGCTGACTTTGACTCTACAGTACGCCGAGAATGGCGCCGATGAAGCCGAGGACACCAGCGACGATGACGAGAGCAAGGTCGTTAGAACGACACCGTCCCCGCGAGCTTCTCACAGCCCCTCGGCCAGCAGACCATCACGGCGCTCAAGGCGGCCCGTCGGGGATACCGAGTCCCTCCAGACGTACCCAGGCCGATCTGCTGAACCTGCCAGTGCGCCGGAACAGAGGCATTCCCAGCTGCCGCTGCCAGCGACCCTGCCGACCCCAAGCAATGGTTATGCGCCACCACACAATGGTTATGGCCCGCCCAGTAGCGCGACCCAGGGCAGCGGCGGCGTCGTCGACGGCTCTTCTTACACGACGACGACGACAAGACCGCCGCAGCAAGCGCCTCCCCCACCTCCACCACCACGGCCAGGCAAGGTGCGAGACGAGGAGGAGGAGAAGCTCTACGCGCAGGGCCGTCCATACTCGCCCGCTCCGCCGCGGGCCGCGACAACAAGGGTCAGCCAGGGCTCGGCGCCCGCCGCCGTGCCGCCGGAGACGCACTACACGAATGCGTATGCGAGCAACAGCGCCTATGTGCCCGCCGAGGCGGCTGAGTTTGAGGTGATGAGGCGGCAGGCGAGGAAAGCGTCCGGGAGGGCTTGAGAAGGCGGTCTTTTTTATGAGGGGTTTGTTTCTTCAGTACCGCTGGTGGATGCTAAGGTAAGGTAGTTCAAACTATGTGAGGTGTGTTGGGACATGCTATCGGGGCGTAAAGGATGTAGCTGAGGTGCGATGCAACCACCAAATTCTTTCTCTTCGTCGGAGCAAGCGTTCGCTGTCACCAATGGATGTGCCATCGACTTTACTCATGATGGATGTACTTAGTCGTAGCACCCCTCGTGTCAACCGCAACCAGATAAAACGCCGTACAAGTCCATCCAGAAACGCCCACTGTCCAGAAACAACAAATAATACTGTACCGTCCCGAAGAGAGATCCTCAAGCAGATCAGATCCGCACCGGCAGCGACTCCCGCCTAACCAACAGATGCCCCTCCCTGACCAGCGAATTCGGGCACGGCACACGGTTGACGAAATCCGCCAAGTTCCTCAGCGTGCACTCGGCAATCTCGGTGAGCGCCTCCTCGGTCAGAAAGGCCTGATGTCCGCACACCACCACATTCGGGAACGTCATCAGCCGCATCAGCTCGTCGTCCTGTATGATGTCGGCGCTATGGTCCTGGTAGAAGATGGGCCCTTCCCCGTCATACACGTCCAGGGCCAGCCCGCCGAGGTGCTTGCTCTTGAGCGCGGCAATCACGCTCCTGGTATCCACCAGCCCGCCGCGTGACGTGTTGACCAGCACCGCTCCGGGCTTCATCACGCCCAGCGTCGCCTCGTTGATCACATGCCGCGTCTCGTCCGTCAGCGGACAGTGCAGACTGACATAATCGCTCTCCCGCAACACCTCCTCCACCGTCGGTCGGTACTCCCCCAACGACATCAACAACCCTTGCGGTTGACCCAAGTTCCCCTTCCCCTTCTCAAACCCCTCCACATCGGGAAACGGATCATACGCCAACACGCGACACCCAAACCCAAGACTCATGATCCGCGCAAAGGCGCACCCTATCTTGCCCGTCCCCACCACCCCGACCGTCTTACCCCTCAGGGTGCGCCCGACCAGGCCATCCAGACTAAAATTCCCCTCCCGCACGCGGTTATACGCCCGGTGTGTCTTGCGGTCCACGGCCAGGAGCAGCGCCACGGCGAACTCGGCGACCGCCTCGGGCGCGTAGGCGGGGACCCGCGCCACGAACAGGCCCAGCGCTTCGGCCGTCGCCAGGTGCACGTTGTTGAAGCCCGCGCAGCGCAGGAGGACGGCGCGGACGCCGTGGTCGGCGTGGAGCGCGTGGAGGACGTCCGGGGAGAGGACGTCGTTGACGAAGACGCAGACGGCGGTGGCACCCTGTGCGAGGGGGACGGTTTCCGCGGTGAGGGGGAAGTCGTGGAAGGTGAGCGTGATGGAGTCCCGGAGGGAAGGGGGGGAAAGGTGGGCGTGGGCGAGGGTTAGGGCGGCGCGGTCGTAGGGTTTCGTGGAGAAGATTGCTAGGTTGGTTGTCGCGGGGTTCGGAACGGGAGGAGGAGTCGTGGGTGGTTGTGGCGCTGCCATCATGTATCTAGGTACCTTAGTGTTGTTGAAGTGTGGTATATAGGTACTAGTAGGTAGTATCGAGAAAGAACCGATGCCTTTCTCGACGTGCTCTGTCGCTCGAGAGAACTGTCAAGATGGAAGCAACGCCAGGGGTTACAGTCGACGTTCACTCTAACCTCACTTTCCAGCGGGAGAAACACCATGCTGCAGCTTGCTCCCCCAAAGTCGAACAAGGCCTGGCCGCGCCCAACCCCACCTGCCAGATCGAGACGAAGGCAAGATCTCTGCCCTTAGCAATGCGGAGGTTACATCAGCCCGGCACCGAAGCTTGGCATCCGTCATTTGAATTTCCCATTTGTCAAATTGCAGACCCCTACATATCTAGAACAGACATGTTGTTGAAAAGTTGAAAGACTTTGGTTGTCCAAGATTCCAGTCCAATCTTTGTTTCCAGCGGCAGTTTCATCGCTAGTGTGTATTGCTTGGCTGTGTGGGTTTCGTCTCAAAGACCATCGGAAAGCGGTTGCCTTAGTGTAGCCATTCCCCACTACGCGACAGGGGAAAGTCTGACGGGCCATCGCCGAGGTGGAGTGTTAATTTACGCTAAAACATCAATAGCCTCCCATAGCAAGGCGCCGGCAATGCTTGTGTCAACCTCCAACAAGAGCGTAAGGTGGCAATCTCTGTAGTATAGTGACTAATCCAAGCCTGTCGACATACTTCGCCGAAGTTAGCCAAGTCAACATTGTCCTCGCACAATATTCAATCACGTTGAGGGCCAGGTGCCAGACTGCCAGCTAAACGCAGGATTGTCTCGCAGTCAAGAATTTTTAGCTTGGGTACCTCTAGAAGCAAGGCCCGTATTGATTCAATGTTGGCGAACCCCGTGCCGGGAGAACGGGTTTGGTGCAAGTACTACTTAGTAGTAGTTGGAAAAGTGATACAAAAGGCATCCCCCCACCCCACCTGGGTTGAGGCAGATATGTCTGATGAACCTTTCTTTCCCTTTGCAAATCGAGAAAAAATTGTCGTGCCGAGCTAGCTGCAAATAGTACGCCCAGGAGAAGACCTCGGCCTTAGCAATACAAGCAATTGAGTACCAATCATAGCCTTGCTCAACCTCTTAACCCCATAACGCCATGCCCTCCCTCTTCCACATAATAGCCGCCGCCGAAGATCTCCTTGTTCAGAGCCCTTTGAAATATTCTCGTGCTGTATTGATGATCTCAGTGATATTTGATACAAGTCGCACAAACGTCCCCAGGATAATCTACGGCCGCGCCGCAGATGCTGAGCACACGAGAGGAATTAGTTTCGCGGGACTTGATTTAGCTTGAACTTATAGAGACAGCCGGCGACTGGAAAGTACTAGTAGTATAAGGAGCCGAGAACGGCGAGCCAACAAACTCTCTGGAGGAAAGACCGAGCAAACTAAGGTAGCTAGTATCGGGACAAAGGAAACTCCCACGGCACGTACCAGATTTTGCAGTCACAAATGTAACGTGGGGCCTCGTGTGTCTTGCTTGGGCCATGCGTGTTGCTGGTTGTTTCACCAGCCGAGGTGTCCGTGGTGGGAGCAGTCGCCTCGGCCTTGTTGGACTTCTCATGGCGCATCTCGGTCGGCTTTGAAACTGACATATTGAAATAGGTACCCTCGTTTGTCTTGGAAGGATGGTGTGAGAAAGATGAGGTGATGTTGGTGTCTTGCTGTCGAAGTAGTAGACCTGGAGTTGATAGGTAGGGCTCCCTTTGTTGGGGTGAAAGCTTCTTATAAGTCGGACTTCGTCCGATGTCCTAGCACGGCATATGAATTTTCGGATTTGAGCTCTTACAGGCCAGCTTCTAGGTCGATTGGGAAGGCGACATGCACCGCATCGATTACAGTGCTTGTACTTGGATTGCGCTTTGGGATCCACGATGAATCTGGCATTCGGGTTCACGATACATGGAGTCAGCTCTTCTTCCAATCGGCAGGGGTCTATCATGCATAGGCTGGGCGGTGAAGCCAGTGCCCATCCACCGGTTCTGGTTGCCTTCTTTTTCCCATTTTTTCTCTGGCTGCCTCCCTCTGCTGCGACCAGGGTCAAATGAGTCACTGGGGACGGGGAGTGCGTGCAAATTCCACCTCTTGGCTGCGCCCGATGGCCGGGGCTAATGGCCATCAAGTCTCTTGCAGCCCAAGTCCATGTACGGGCAGTTCTAGCTTAGTAGTAGCCTGCGCTCCGTCCACGGGTGCTTGTTGACCCCTTGGGTTGAGGGTACACACACCCGCATTTGTTCAACAAATCGACCCCCCTATTGGCGTACCGTATGTCGAGACATCGCCCAGGACATGCAGAGAAGGAAGGACCGAACAATACAAAATCGAACCACCAAATTGAAGTGTGGCCCTAGGATCCGGAAAATGCTGAAGACGTTGTCTCATCCCGCGTCTCGTTTGGCTTCTCGGTGAATGCACGCCACCTGCAGCTGCAACAGCCCCTGCATACCTTGGCGCTCTGGGCCAGTTGCCTTGCGACTGCACATTCTCCTGACCAGGACCCGATCTAGCCATAGTGGCATTGCAGCCGCGTGGTATCTACATGCCGGTACGTCATGTTCTGCCATCGCCAGCCAGTCCCCCGACAGCCTCGCCGATTGAAAGACCAAACTGTCTGTCTCGGTTGCCGCTGGGCTTATTTAGAGTCTTTCGGTGAACCTTGAAAATGTTGAGGTCAGGCAGCAAGAACGCAGTCAAATAGGGGCGGTCGCACAAGACCTGGCCGGCCTGGCTGCAGCTCCTGCAGCCCGTATTTCAAAAAACGGTCTTCCTAACTGCTCTGCTCATGGCCCGGGTAGCACGACATGCACACTTTTAATCAGAGCCCTCCGAAACGTCACGCTGGCGGCCAATCGTCAACAGACAAACCCAGCCCGGCGAGGGTGGTTTACTCTTTACACGTCATCGGACATCACATAACCCTCTCAGTCTCAGTCATGGGCCATCCTGCCGAACGTGCCTACTGCCGCCCTGGGTGACGGCCGCTTTTCCAGGCAAATCCGCTGTGCGCCACCGTGACACAAGAACCCAAGACAAGGCGCACCAGCGTCGCGCAGAAACTGTCAAACCACGACTGTGCAACGCACACAGGGGCACGAGCCACGACCGAGAAATAGATCAACTCTGATGAGAAACGAACACAAACGACTGCATACCTACACGGGACCCCTGTCAATCGATCTGCAGGATCGCCCGGCCATCGCATTTGTCCCCCACTGTGACTGTCCCCGTCCCCATGGCATCACGGGACGGGGAGTCCCATTCTATCCCCAGCGACATACAATTTCGATCCTGCCAGAGCGGTGATACCACGTCGTCGGCCGTGTTCAACCGCACAACACACACAGCCTGCCGTGGCCGCCGCTGTGTTCTTGTCACATTCAGATCTCGCCCGAGACCCCCTGGCAGGCTAGGACTTGCGCGATATAACGACGTTACGCCTGTGACAAAAGCAAAAGGTTCCTGCATATTGCATGTTCACTGGCCCGGTTCTCTGGGCAACCAGGTTGATGCACGATGGGGTCGTGGACGGAGCTTGCAACTGGAGACTGGTGGCACGTCCGGCACGACCTGGGAGCATGGGAAGGAGAGTCCTTCCTTCTCCTCTCCTCAGTTCTTAGCTCTAGGTGTTGCCAACTGACCACGAGATGAGTACTCGGTCCGAACGTCCCGCTTGGCAGCATGACAACCGGTATGGCACCCCTGATTTCCACAGGATCCCCCCACACTCTCAAGGGCGTCATACAGGTAGGCACTTAGCCAAGCGGATAATATACATCACATAATCCATCCATCCGTCGTCCACATTACTCCGTCCCAAGCCGCTCTGTAGCGGATCCCAACATCACCGACACTCAGAGTCTCAAAACGGGATTTGCCCCACGGCCCTAATAAACAATCCTGCCGCCCGGCTCGGCCGAACCGTTAGACCAGACACACACACACAACATACACAAAATGCAAGACCCAAACCCCTCGGGAAACACCGCACGACACGGGGCAGATCGATTAGCCCGGGATGCTGAATCGTCCGATCGGTTCAGTTCGGCTATCCAGCTCTACACAGTAAAGACAGACGATTTGGGATTCCTGCCAAAGCAAAGCCCCCATCAGCGAACGGCCCGACTACCTTACTTATCCCCCTGTTTGGGTAACTGGTTCACAAACCGTTCAGATCTTGATCTCCAAGCCCGCATGGACCTGCTGCTGTGGCACATGGCACCCCAACCCCTTCCCCCATATGGTCTCCTTCAGGTTACATGTAGTAGTCCATATACTTATTCTGAGGCTGGTTCTTGGTTTTCCTGGAGAGCACTCGAAAGGGACTGGTGGTGAAAAGTGTGGAGCAAGTCGCCAAAGGGAAAGGCCTGTCGGCGGATTTGGGTCTGTAACTGGAAAAATCTGAGGTGTAATGAGAACAAGCCATGAAAAAGCGTTAGGTATATAGAAGAGATAGGAAGAGGAAATGTGGACCGTGCGGCAGGGCTGAATTGGAGACATCAAGGTCTCCCTCCTTTACCGCGGATTTGGAGTGTGGATGGTACGGACAGACAGTCTATTCTCATCAAGTTTGCCCCTTTAAGGAGGTTGAGGAGAAACAACACAGGTACCCAGACAGATATATTCAAAGGGGAAGGACGCTTTTATTCGACCAAAGGCCACCCACCGTCTACAACAGCCCATTACCCCGGGCATTGCAATATATAGCGGGGAACGATTGTCCCCGTGCCACGCCCGCTTGTCGCTAGGGAAGAAGCATAAGAGCTGAGAATGCGACCCCGATCTATTCCTCATCCCAGTCCCAAATTTCAACGGCCGTCCATTAACCTCGTTTCAACCTTTAGCAATGCCGTCGGTCAATTACCTCGTCCATGAAGACTGCGGAGGATAGTGACATGCAACGGAGCACATGAAGCATTGACAATCCCGCAAAAGCTCAAACAGTATACAAGAAATCAGGCCTCATGTCGCCGAGCTTCTCGACCTCCTTCTCACTCAAGCCCTCCACCCAGTGGTCGCGCTCTCCCCTCTTGCGCTTGGCATTCTCGCGCCTTAGTAACCACGACATGAGCACTGAGCCACCAAACAGGAAGATAGCGAGATATGCCATGATCACACCATGGCCTTCGGGGAACCGCGGGCCGTTGAAGTAGATGTTGCTGCTGACGATGCCGTTGAGGTTGCCCCAGCCGATAACAAAGCCCAACACTACACCGCGCTTGTACACGCCCTCAACGTTGTTGGCCACCCAGGTGATCGTGTTCGAGATGCAGGGGTAGATGCCCAGGGCGGCAAGGAAGGTGCCGGCATATTGCACGGCTGCGTTGTCCGTGGCCAACAGCATCGCGAAGCCCGCGACGCCGAGAAGGGACACGAGGATATTGCAGAGGCCGCGTGCGCGCGTGCGGTCGGCGACGAACCCGATAATAACCGTCAGAATGGCGGCAGCGGCGTAAGGCGGGACCGACATGAGCTGTGATCGTACGACGCTTGTGTTCCAGCCCAGGTTGTTGATGATGGTGGGCAGAAAGAGCGAGAACGCGTAGAGCGGCATGTCGCAGCCCATATAGATCGCCATGCCCAACCACATCTTCCAGTCGCGCAGGGCCTGCCAGAAGAAGCTCATCTGGAACTTCTCGTGGTCGGCTGAGGCCTGCTGGTCGAGCTTGAGGCGGCGGATGATCCGGGCGCGGTCGTCTTCCGACAGGAACTTGGCGTCGTCGGGGAAGTCATGCACCATCCAAAAGGAGATGATGCCGACCACTATGGTGAGGAGACCCTCAAGGATGAAAATCCATGCCCACCCGCGGATGCCGCGAATCCCGTCCATCTGTTCGATGGCCGCGGCCAGGAGCCCGCCAAACGAGCCGGAAATGGCGGCCGCAGAAAAGAAAATGGCCGCCCGAACGCCGAACTCGGAGCGCTTGTACCAACAGGAGAGATAGTAGTTGACCCCGGGGAAGAGGCCCGCTTCCGTCAGACCAAGGAACCACCGCGCGGCCATTAGTCCTGACCAATTTTTGACGAAGCCCATGCCGAGCATGCTGGCGCCCCATAGCACCCTGGGATTATTGGCTGATGAGTACCACGCAAACGGGAGCCCATATCTTCACGGAAGAAAGCAGGAATGCTGGCTGGCTTACATGATGATAGGGAGGAATATGGATGGGCGGAGCCTCTTCAGCAGGATGTTGGTGATGGGCTCAAAGACGGCGTATGACACGAAGAAGATGGTGAGAGTCGCATTGTAGCGGCTCACACTGAGGCCCAAGTCTTTTGATAAGCCGGCGATCTTTGCGTTTCCAATATTGGTCCGGTCAAGGAAAGCCAACAGGTAGAGAAAGCTGAGCTGTTGCCGTGTCAGTCTCACTTGCGCTTCGTCAAAGTGGCGATGGTCGTGATCAGACCAGCGGCTCTTACCCATGGCAGAAGCATCCAGTCCAACTTCCAAAGCAGTTTGCGCTCCTAAGACGCGGCATCGTAAGCTTCCAGGACGAAGAACGAGTGGTGAAACCTTCGAGCTCAAAAGCCGGTACCTACAACCTCTGCCTTCTCCTCCGCCGAGAGGTGGGCGTCCGGGTCCCTGGGCATTTCTGACCCGTACCCGTCTTGACTGCGCATCGCATCGCTGGATTCCTTTTCCTTGTCGCTGTTCATGGCTTTTTCACTATTCATGGTCGCCATCTCGGAATCGAACCGCGACTTAGATCCGAATAAGTTCGGTGCTTTGGGAGTGAGGATCCGAGTCAGCCGGTCGGACAGAAAAAGGGCTTCCCCGAGCGGGCATCCACGGCCCGAATCAATGCGGCAGAGTGATGCGTCGAGGCGGCGGAAGCAGGAGCAGAGGCAGAACAGAGGACCGAGGACGCAACAAAGGCGCAACGCAATGTCGGTAGGCGGAAAATCACCGTAGATAAACCACGAGGACATGAAGAAGAGGGGAAGAACCAGGTTCTTGGGAGTGTCCCTGTCTATACTCACCCATTGCTCCTTCCCAGCGTCCCACCCGGCCCATCATGCGAAAACCACGGTCGAGGGTCTATTCCCCTGCTGGTGCAGGGGAGCTACGCCGCAAGCAAGCAAGCTCGCTGGATGTGGAAAATGCGACCGAGGGGGCTTGCGGGGGGATTCAAGTGCAATGGAACGTCCAATCCGGGGGCTTGATCTCTGCAACTTGATGTCGAAGCCCCCAATCCTGGGTGGTTCGGTCGGGTGTTCTCGCTGAGTATTGACCGGGCGATCAGCAACACTCAATTGGCCGGGAGTATGGTCGGTGGAGGACCAAACAAAACGCGGGGAGGGAAAGTGCGGAGGAAGCTAAACCAGCTGAGGCAGGAGCGGACTGTATTACCACCCACCCAACGTCGCGCCTTGTGTCTCTCTGCAGCCACCACAGCGCGATCGCACAACTTGACGGGAAGTATGGAAAAGCCCGTGTGGAATCGCTGGAGCAGCACTACACTAACTCGTGTGCCGCACACTGTATGTACGTACGCACTTCGGACACAGGTACCGAAACCTCGTTATCATGTCGGCGTGGTTCAGAAGATCGGGATAGTTGCCGAGACGGGTCGAGTACAGACTGTACAGTACTAGCACCGATGCCGTGTGCCCCAGGTCGGAATTCCGGTCGACCAAATGCTACCTGCTCTGTGCGAACTACTAACCTCTTCTGAACCGTCAGCCAACAGGGATGCCGGGAGTTGACTGTTGAAAACTGCGTCATGACCGACAGGGGAGAGGGTGCCGCGGGGTGTTCCATTCGGATGCTTGGCAGCACCCTGAGCGCCGCCCATTTCACCTTCGGCACCTTGCTGGCATCCCGGAATTGGCCAAAGTTGAATCTTCGGATGCGATCCCATCATGGGGACATTCCAGAACGATCCAGCCCAAAGATAGTAGCTAGGAACCCTGCCGCAACGCCAATATTATGTCTCAGCTGCAGAACCAAACATCCCAAAGCGTACCCTTCAAGTGGCATAAGCAACAGAACCGAGTCACAGGTATTGGCAAACTGCAGGCACATGCATCAAAGACTACTTGTATCTGCCTGCTGAAGGTCAAAGATAAAGCCATGTACTGTAGTAGGATGGTGGGTTCAGATCAAAAAGCAAGCATTATCAGAAATCAGAAAACGAACCGGTGAGCCAGGTCTCTCTGACGAACAACCATAATGCTGGAGCTGCGGCAAATTTCAGCGACAGCAAACATTGGAACTGAATCATGTCCGTTGCACAAGCGGTGCAATAGAAGACGCCACACTCGTGCGGCAACTCCGGAAAGCAAACTTCAGCCTCGAAGTCCCAAAGGGATGTCGTCGTGGTCAATGGGCGGGCCCTTGTTGGGCCGAATTGAGTGCTTTTGCTGTTGGTCAGAGCAGGGACACCGTCAACTGCGATGACCACATTGCATTCCCCGGGCACTGTCTCATGCGTGCGGCCGGCGGGTTCGGTTCGTAGCGCAGACATGGCATTTTGTCGGGCGCGGATGATTGCTCGAGACCGTCGTGGTGTTCAGTACCCTGCTCTGCCGCCTTCCCGCTTCCCGCTCCGCCACTCAGCACCCAAGGTCATGACAGCCGTGCCAAGTTAAGCTTGGCTCGAAGAGAGCCGATGAAGTCGTGGAGGCGGTCTGGGCGAAGCCGCCAAATACCGCCTTCCCGTCTTGGCGGTCTATGAAGGCCAAGCATGGAATTGGCAAGTGAACGGTCTGGAACAGCTTCGAGAAGAGTGCCTGTTGCTTCGATCCGGCTTGCCTGATAGGCAAGCCAAAGAGGGAGGTGGATATAAGGTGTCTCAAGGGTCCAGACAGTCATGCAGACCCTCAGTTTTAGGTCCGAAGACCCCAATCCTCCTCTACAGAGCGTGCCGACTCCGCGGGAGACAAGCGAGTTGCTCAACCGACACGGATCCTTGCATGACAATTTGTGTCACCGGCGGCCGACTCTCTTTTGGTGCTGATGTCCGCAATCTGGTGTTCAGAGTCTCAATTGCAATCTGCCGGGTTGGTTTCCTTTGGGGCGGGGCTCCGGGGCGCAGAGAGCACAATCTCAACCACGCAGGTGTTTTATGTACGGCATGTGGCGTATTGGACCTACATTCGCTAGCTCGCGAATCCTGGCTCATCCGACGCAGCACAAATCGAGGTTCTGCAGCAGTAATTAGGAGAATTTTTCGCAGCGGCAGTGAAGAGCCTGCGGGATCCCGGAGCAGTGCCATGAGGTGTGCTTGACAGGTAGAATGTGCTGCGGATCCACGATAACAGACCGCAGGGCTGCGGCTGCCCTGAGCGCTTCCACTGGATGCTGCTCCCCGACCTCGCAGCCGGCCCGCCGTGGGCTCGCAACCTGGACTCCTGCAGGTGTGAGGCAATTTCGGCAGCCGCTTGACGGCGTCAGCAAGGCTCCAATAGACCGGAGGTAAAAGCATGCTGTCTGTTCTTGTGCGCGGCAGCGACCCAAGCGACGGTGGGAGACGGGAGGCCACAGCTCGTCGTTGGTGGTTATTGGAGTTGACCCCGGACTCGGATGCATTGCGATTGGCTGCAAAATGAGAAATTTCAAACTTTTCTCGCTCCTGGGTGCTTGTACACCTCAGCGGAGTTGGGGTGCTATGCGGTGTGATGACGATAGTTGAGCAAATGGGAGAAAGCTGAAGTTGCGTCCTGTGGACGCTTACCCCTTCGGGCTGGATGAGGTAATCCGATCCACGATCGACGAACCGGATATTTCCCGCAACCGATCCAGGAACGTACCCTTTGAAGGCAGCGCATCTGAATTTCCCGGGGCTCTTCAGCTGTCCTCGGGTGACCTCCGCGTGTATCTGCGTCGCTTGAATGGCTTTTGTCTTTGACAAGGGCCTTTGACAAGTCTAATCGCCTCACTCGGCTTTGCACCCAACCCTGTTCCGGCCCGGCTTTCTGCCGCCGGTCGGACCCCGGCTCCGGCGCCTGAAGGGCAAAGGCCGGCCGCCGGGCACTGCATGCGTCGTTGGTCGGACAAGGGTCATGTCCACCGCGATGCCAAAGAGGGTCTGCATCGTTGGTTAGTGAGCTCTTGATGGCCCCTTCGATGGAGTCCATCCAACTGACAGAGCCAGGTGCCGGCCCTTCCGGGCTCGTGGCTGCCAAGTCGCTGCTCCACGATGCTCCCAGGGGCACTTTTGACGTGACTTTGTTCGACGGCCAGTCCTCGGTTGGCGGCCTGTGGCCCGTAAACGAGAAGGACAACAGCCGCCTAGTCCACCCACGCATGGTGACCAACCAGAGCAGACATACTGTCCAGTTCAGTGACTTCCCCTGGCCGCAAGACTCACTTCAGCTGCCCCGCGCATGGCAGGTTGGCGAATATCTTGCGAAATATGCGCAGGCCTACTGCTCCGACGCGAAGCTCGTCCTTGAGACTCGCGTCGAAGAAGCAGAGCCCGTGTCGAATCCCAGCAACGGTTCGACTCCGGCTTGGCGGGTAAAGACCCGGTCCCGTCAGGGGGAGACAAAGGAGGAGATCTATGACTATCTGTTGATTGCATCGGGCTTCTTTGGCCAGCCCAGTTCCCCACCAGCAATCCATGGAGATCACAAGGTCCCGGTTATTCACAGCAGCCAATACCGCGATCTAAACGGCCTTGTTGGCAAATCCAACGGATCCGGGGGCAAGATCCTTGTTGTCGGAGGCCAGATGTCCGGAGTCGAGATCGCGGCCACAATCGCAATCCACCTCTCTTCAGCTGTAAACTCCCCCGGACCAAGCCCAATACCGAACGCTGCCAATTTCACCATCCACCACATCATCCAACGGCCTGTGTGGGTGTTCCCGCTACACACTTCCCCAAAGGTACAGTGATTTTGTACTAGTAGAGATTCTAGGCCGGTAATTCTGTGCTAACGAGCACTGATTTCGCAGCCGACCTCGTGTTCGCCCCCGTTTCTGCCTCTGGATCTGGGGTCATATAACCTCTCTAACAGGGTTCGGCCCCTGACCAACACACAAGGACACATCTCTCTGGAAACGGCAAAGGTTGTCCATTCCATCTATCTGACTGCGATGGGGTGCGATCAGTCAATGTTCTCGCCGGCGGTCGCAGTCTCAACGCCCCATACTGAAAACCCGCCATGGCTTGCCGTTAGCGATTACTACTTGGATTTCGTCCGGTCCGGCCTCATAACCGTGTCACATGGCAAACTGGACTCCCTATGCGGCCGGGAAGCCACCGTCTCGCCTTCAAATGATAGGGTTACCGACATTGCGGCCGTAGTGTGCGCCACAGGCTTTGAGGCGGATCCCTCTATCGACTTCCTTCCAAAGTCTGTGCGGGAGGCCTTGTCCGTGAACCCGTCTGACCTGAAGAACACGGTTGCGCTCGCATTCCATGGCACCTACCATCCAAATGTTCCGAACCTTGGCTTTGTCGGATTCTACCGGTCACCTTACTGGGGAGTGATGGAGATGCAGGCTCGCTTCATCACCGCCCTTTGGGCAGCCGGCGGCCCATCCTCGCCCACGTTGCCGCCAACAATGAAAGAGGCTCTCAGCAGAGACACTTCGATCGAACGGACAATCAGCATCCGCACGGATCCCCGGGCATCTCAGTTCCCCATGGGCGACTATCCCTGGCTCATCCAGGAATTCGCTACAGCTTTAGGGTTAGAATTGTCGCCGCATCTGGGAGAAATGCCGAGGCTGCCCCCAGCAGGCAAGGAGATGGACATCCTGACACCGGCTCGGTATCGAGCGGAAGGCGTGACTGACAATCAGCGAGCCCATATTGTCCAAAACCTCCAGGCAACCGAGGCTACCGCGTGGGCGGGTCTCACCTCCGGCAAGTTCGTATCCAGAGCAGTCTTCCGTTCTCTCCTGGGCGAGTGGAAGCTCGAGAGGGAAATCGTGAGCAAGCTTCCCAGCCATCCCAGCGGCCACTTCAGCGGGACAGCCAGGTTTTTGCTCCGCGAGGGCACACGAGATGGTCGTGAATCTGAGTTTGACGCCCTGGTCAAAAGGGATGGCGACCCAGGACTAGAGTACCTCTACATCGAGGAGGGCGACTTCAAGGCGTCGAACGGCTTGACCTTCCGCGCTACGCGGCGCTACGTGTGGCGCTACAATGAGAGAAAGGACAAGCTGAGCGTGTGGTTTGTGAGGACGGACGACCAGATGAGGGCCGACTACCTCTTTCACGAGGTCGAGCTCTTGGTTCCCGACGTATCGGAGCAGGACGCTGACAATGGCAAGGGCTGGGAGGCCACGGCGGGCCACTTGTGCGTGGAGGACTTCTATGATGTCAAGTACCACTTCAACTTCAAGGCCGTCAACCTGTGGGACTGGCGGCTGGCCTACACGGTCAAGGGGCCGAAGAAGGATTACAACATTGACGGGCTGTATCAACGGTAGAACTGGCTTGAGTACCTAGCCGATAGAGTTAGAGATTTGGTCTGCGGATACAAACATATCTGGAACCTGTGATCATTGATTTTCTGGTGTAAACAGACAGTCCCCATCTGGCCTGTCGACCACGGGATCTCTTGTCTGTGTTGCACGACATTGATGGCCCGCGGAGGCTGCAGGACTCGAGACTTTTCGGCGCGAGCAACGAGGAGAATCCGAGATGCGATTGTACAATCGCGCGGGAATCGCCTCTTGTTGCCTGCAGCACCTGTAACCTGACGTACTGATCACGTAGTATCTTGATCAGGAAGTTGTCTTTCGGAGTTAGCAGGTCACAGCCGGCGGCTAGTATGGTATCAGCAATGGTAGTACAGAAGTCTTGGTGCGCTCAAGGGCGTGCCGCAATAACCGAGTTCTCGTACTGTACCGTCATCAAAATTACATGCATAAGATACCGTCTATATCTCAGCTATTGCTGGGGAGGATCTGGAAGTGATACATCAGGCAGGTACAGTACCTACCTAAGTCCGTCAGAGCATCATTTATCTTGGCTGCTCACGATGCGTTGGCTAAAGGATAACTACAGCGAGAGCTGTGTGTCCCTAATGCAGGTACACGACAAGATCGCCGAGTTCGAGTGATGCATCCATTGGCACCAAGCCCGGGTACTAACCACGCATGCGTTGAGGGGGGATCAAGGATGTCCCATCAGGTTAGGATGATGGATTCACAGCATACACGGACCGTCAGTGTAATGAGCAAGAGCGGACACAACGTCGCACGACTTCTTGGTTCTGTGTTCCTAGAGATCTCGCGCTTGAAAGAAAAGAGATGAGCCAGCGGTCAAGCCAACAAGACTCGAAATTGGCAACAAGCGCCGCTCGTCGAGTCTCCCCGTGCTGACCGGAAGCCCCGAGGAGCACGACGGGAGGCTACTTTCAATATGCTGCAAAAGAGCGTTGGGCAGCCGCGGGCTTGCGGGATATCTTGTCAGCTGAGCCCTCAGCTGTACGACAAAAGGCTCTCCAAGTCCGCGTGGGCCAATGACGAAATGTTGCGATCGCCACATCTGCAGATGCAAACGCAGGAAGCCGACGAGGGAAGTCCCAACCGGGCATCGGCCTCTTTCCGGCGCCAGAGTCAAAAGTCGGGACCGTAATTTGGATCAATGGAGTCGGCCATTGTATTCCAGTCCAGTGGGCGATTGATTGTCAGGGGTTCCTCGCATTGGAAGGGACCTCAGAATTGGAAGTTCAATTGTAACGATGATGGGGAAGGTACCGCACAAGCTGATCAGCGCCAGACAGTTGGACGGTGGGCAGCAAGCGCGCCTTCCAGTTTGAGAGGGATGGAAGCAAGCCGCGTCTGATTTGATGAACGCAACCACCCCTCTTCGAGGCTCCTTCCAACTCCGGCGCGTTTCGTTTCGCCGATCGTCCTTCGGCCCGCTCCTCGCAAACACGGGGCAGTGAGCTGTGGCGTTCTGGCCTTACTTGTCTGGTTCAGCCCCTGATTCCAACGCCAATGGGTTGGTGTCTAAGGTTACTGCGTTGTTTCGTGCAGCCGTTTCTCTTCTGCAGCCTACTAGTAGACCTAAGAATATCGCATAGCAAACGGCGTGGGGCTTCCAATCGTGTTCCAGTCACCGTCCGTTTTTCGACTCTCCAAACGGAAATCTCCAGCAAACTTGGTCTGGCACGCTGCATCGATGAGGGCAGAATCGTCTAGCCACCCGCCTGTCGACCTGTCGACTGCGTGCCCCGGTTATCTGGCATCAGCACCCCAATTTCTTTCCTGGGAATTCCCCCAAGCAAGCTGCAGGTGTGAGGCATGACAGACCTGCGGTGATCCTCTCGACCTCCAATCAAGACCAACAGGTAGCGACCTCGAGTCACACAGTAATATGTTGTGTGTTCCCAATCTCTGGGGTGACCAGACCAAGACATAGGACATAGTACACGCCTCTCGGGCGTGACAAACCGACTCTCGGACGGAAAAGAGAACCGCAATGAAGCCCACTTACGTCCAAACCAAACGCGGGTTTCTGTGCCCGATGTTGAAGTCGGTTTACCGCGCACTGAGAGGAAGCAGTCCAAAAGCAGCGTTAGCCTTCTTGCACACTCCTCTGCCCGCTCCTCTGCCTCAGCCCCCACCTGATCTGGGATGAGCCGGATTCGTTTCATCCCAGGGTCAAACGTTCAACGACACGCTTTTCTCTGCGTTGACGTGTGCATGGAAGATGTTGACAGCTGTAGGCTAACCCAACTCAACCAATTCTTAGTTCCATGTGAACTCCATGACTGTTCACTCCGAGCCATGGTCCCAGACGAAACCACTTTGAGCCTGTGAAAGGGTTTGTTCGCATCGTCAGACCTGTTTGTTCTCGACCTGGCCCAACAGAGCACCACCTTGAGGCACGTCACGTCAGTTCCTGGCAACCGACCCTACACCAAACCTCTTGTCCTTCACCAAACATCCTGCAGCCACACTACCATACTCACCATATCACCATTGTGAACAAAGACACCCAAGTCAATTTAACGAAACCGCGCCTGGGTACTCGTCCACTGTCTCAGCCTCGGGACTCGAGTCGGTCCCTGAACGGAACCAGTCAGTCCCCCTTTTGCAGTTGCAGCGCAAGTGAGACCGGGCGGCAGCCATCCCCCAATCCCAAACGGCTGCATGCCGGACCAGCTGCAAAGAACGATCCTCGAGACAGGCAACCAACAACTCCAAGGGTGGCCCAGTCTTGTGGATGTCTGAGTCGGTCCACGCCGTTGCAGGGCCACGCGAAGAAGCCACGCCGATCAGCTGCTCCAATATATCTCGAACCACGGCCTTGGAGCTTCAATTCCCCCTTTCCTTTTCCTCGTCATGGAAGCGTTGCAGATCTCCCCACGGGACAAGAGCGACTACATGAATCTCACAGCAGCGCAACGCCATACCATCCAGCACATCGAAAGGCTCGGTGCCTCCATCAGCCTGGTCGGCGTGTGCTTGATCTTCATAACATATGGCTTCTTTAGCCGTGTCCGCACCATCCCCAACACGTTTATCTTCTTCGCCTCGATAGCAAACGTGGGAGCCAGCATCGCCTGCCTGATCGGATATGCTGGCCTCCTGGCGGGAGACGACTCGGCCCTGTGCCAGACCCAGGCATTTCTCCTCGAGATGTAAGTGGTCATGGTTGTCATCAAAGGCCCTCCATCCACGCGCGCTTGGTGGTTAACGCCTACCCCAGGTTCATGCAGTCAGATCCCTGGTGGTCGTTTGCGATGGCAGTCAACGTCTACATGGTCTTCTTTATGAGTTACTCCCCAAACGACTTTCACAAGCATCTGTGGCTCTACTGCCTAATCTGCTACGGCATACCCGCGGTACCGGCATTCGTCTGTCTCTTCTACACACCCAACGGGAAACGCATGTATGGCAATGCCACGGTGAGTTGACTTACACCAGCCAGCAAACAAACTTGGCCCGGGACTCACGAGTGGCTTGCAGTTGTGGTGCTGGATCGACGATTCGTACAATCAGTTGCGCATCTTCACCTATTATCTGCCTATCTGGACGTGCATCTCTTTGTCCGCCGTCGTCTACGTGGCGGTCGGATACCAAGTGTTCCATCAGCGCAATCAGCTACGCAACTTGACCCTCAGCAACCACGCGAAGGATACCTACGGACTCAGCCTTAAAGACTCCCCCGAGAAGGTCAGTTGTCACTAATTCTTTGTCTCTTACCCCATGCAAAGTTGAAGCCCCCCCTACTGCAGCTCTTGGAGTCTTCCCGCGCCCAAACTGACATATTGCCTTGATGGCTTAGGGTCAACAATGCTATGGTACCGTGACAACCGAGGTCCAGGTGACAGCAGAGTCTTCTGGCAGTCAGACGCCGCCTTCGACACCAGAAGGATCCATCGCGCCGGTCCTGCACAAGTCCCATGCCTCTGCTGCACACTCCCCCTGGGGATCACCGGATCATTACGGCGTCGACAACACCGTCTCGTCGGCAGGCGCAGTGCACAACAAGCCCTTCACGACCATTTCGAGCGTTTCGACCAGACCGCGCGAGGCGAAGAAGAAACAAAGCATCCTGAAGACGCTCGCCCGCACGTGGCGCAAGTTCGTCAACAAGCTGGGCAACCTCGACCCGATCAAGCTGGCCTACCTGCGCACCTCGTTCGTCTTCGCCATCTCCATCCTCGTCACCTGGACGCCGAGCAGCATCAACCGCGTCTACTCGCTCATCCACCCGACCCGCACCAGCTACGGCCTCAACCTGGCGGGCGCCATCGTGCTGCCGCTGCAAGGGCTGTGGAACGCCATCATCTTCGCGGCTACCAGCTGGAACATCCTCAGGGACGAGTTTGACGAGCTGCGGCGCGGTCGGTGGCCTGGCTTCCGCGGTCACTGCCGAGTCGGCGACGACCGCGGCGGCAAGCTGCCTGCTGCTGCTGCTTCCCGGCACGGCACCATCCCCCTGGAGGACCGTGAGCTGCCGTCTCTTAACAGTGTAATGTCTCGGACGACGAATGTAAGGGTCATTAGGGGTGGTTCGCTTTAGGAATCAGGTTCGGGACGATGGGAGGAAAGGTTCTTTTCCTATGTTTCATCTACATTGGTGCGTCAGACTTTTCGTCTTGCCTTTTGGAAGGATTGCTACTGCAGGATCACTGCGACGCTGTTGGGGGAGGACAAAACGGTTGCTTTTGCCCCGGCAGGGGCCCTATACCCGGGGATTTACGTCGGTATTTTCTCCTTGCGTCTTCTTGCTTTCTCGTCGGGCACTCATGCGGCACCTAAACTCTCCGATGACTGGGATTTGGTGCGGGCTATGGAAGGACGGGTATTTCGCTACTTTCGAGCGGAAATGGACATGTTACGGACAAGGTTAGAGTTGGGGAGGGTATTATGGTGTCTAAGGCTAGTATGGGCCATGTTAGACGGACAGCGGCCTTTCTGGGTGTTTCACCATATACAGTAGGTATTGGCGTCATCCCGTGAGGAGCATTCCTCTTCATACCTTTGCTATCTAGGTACCTAGGAGTACTGTTTGAGCTTTGCTCTGAACTTCAACCATACGATTACGACCCGGGGGCAGTCGCCCTGGCAGCGCCAGTAAAGCAAATATAGCCGGTCCTCAACCCAGCTGACATTGACTCCATGGTATGTGTCCATTTCGCGTCACGGAGACCGCTTACACACAGCATACTAGTACTACCTATTGCTTCGGCCCTGAAGCATCGCACTGAACCCCATCCTAGATTATCGGGTATACCTCTCAGCGTATTATCTCGGAACAGATACACAACACCAAACAGCCTTGAGCTCAACAACCAGCTCATTTCTCAGCCAGCCGTTGCTACCTAGGCCCCTAATCTCCAGTGCGCCACCGCCACCGCCACCCGGCGTTGCCTAAAAGAATCAAGCTTTTTGAGTGAAATCTCGGCAGAATCGGCTAAGGATCTGACACACACATCACGCTCACTGAAGAAAGCGGGGTGATCTTTTGTCTCACAAATACGCTATTTTTAAAGAGTTGTAGTAATAAGGCGCGTGTATTTGTATTCTATTATAACAATGCAGCTGCAGCGGTTTCTAGACTGCGACTTGACGTTCGGAGCTCAAGAGCTGGAAGCTTCAGTGACAGCAGTGCTGGGTGTAAGGAAAGAGGGCGCATCTGTCTTGTGGGCAGATTGTTTCGCAGGCTCTTGGTCTTGCAAATGAACTGACTTGTACGATGTGCTGAATCTTCAGTGCTTCACTTGAGCTTATGGGAGAGAAGATGAGTTTGGATCTTCGAAGCTTGATGCTCTAGGGATCCGGGGAACTGTGTTGGGAAGCAGGAGGGGATAATGTATGCTCTGTATCCCCATGAAAGCTGTTGTACAGGGGCCTCTGAAGCAGGAGAAGACTCGACGATTCATGCCCAAAGCGGAACCACCGATCTATAATCAGCCCGTGGAACCTGTTCTGGGGTTCTCCGCATCGCTTTAACGGCGGCAGAATAGCCGAGAATGTTTTGCTTCCATAGCGATCAGATTGCCGACGAACCATGCAGTGCAACCTCCACCAGCACGTCACGACTACGCACTGTTATTCCTGGCGAGCTTATATAACATCATAACATAGCTTGATTCTTCCTTTTTTCTTTCCAACCATGGATGGATCTTTCATGTTGCGTACGCGATTCCTGCCATCAGCGAGGCCTGACCTTGCTGCCCGTCGCCAATGCGAGACCAAGCGGCATACGGGCACAGTGGTAACACAGCATCGGCTCGGCGACTTCACGACTGTAATGGATAGCCTGCTTAGGTACCGAAAGTGAAAGGTGGGGGCGCGGTGGGTGGTGGGCGTTCCGTGTAGAGCCTCTTGTCGATTTGGTGAGCATCATGTCAAACCGTGTAGTGTAACGAAACCAAGGGACTGCTGGCAGCAAAGGTTGCCATTTGGTATAATTACAGTGTACTACTTGTACACTCATAGTTTCTTCTTGGCCTAGCCCAGCTAGGACAGTCAGCCTTGGGCTCTTCTATACAGTAACGAAATGAACTATGGCGTGTAATGCTGGTAGTACTGGCAGCGCCCTACAACCATACTGTTGATGACATGGAAAGCAAGTACTAGTAGGCGTCCCGCGTTTCTCTCACCGCCCCATTTCGCTCGCTATCTGGAGTTGTCTCGATTCTAGGATGCTTTTGAAAAGCCCTTTGCGGCTTACCAGATCCAGAACTGATGGTATTACACGGTTACACTACATAGGCAGCTTGTGAACGCAGAGAGCAAATATCGCGCGCCCTGCTGTGTCCCACACATGCCCTGCTGGCCAACATAGCAGCTTCGTTCTCCACGCGGGGGATCGTTACACCGACCTAAATGACCATTACCTTCCCTTCCAGATCTGCCCCGCCCCGAGATGGATGATTCGACCTTGGGGTAGGCTTTCTTCTGTGCCTGCTTGGGTTTGTCGCGAGGTTCTCCCTCTCTGCTTCAACCACAAAGGCACCTCCAACAACACGCCATGGCGGGGGCCCTCAAGGCATACTCCGATTGCATCTGTGTTGAGGCTGACTCCAGCCTACTGAAAGTGTGGTCTCCTAGTCAAAACCTTGCCCGGTGATGTGGTGGTGTTAGAATGGAAATCATCATTCTTTTCAGGCGCCCCCCTCCCCCACCCCAGCAGGAGCAAGACTGAAAGAGTTCGCCGCACAGGAGGCAATACACGAAAGAGCCCAGATCAGCCCCGTCAGGCATGGTTGTACTATGACCGCTGTGATGGTGATGGTAGGAACCTTGTTCGAAAGGTTCAACACTGGATCTCAGAGAGCACCGGACAGAGCATACGCCTGAGGGTATGTCTATCTGGGAAGAGGGCAGTTCGTCACCAGTGCATGGTGAGCCGTCCTCACGTTGTCCGCTACACAGTGATGTCAAACACATAGCACGATGTTTAATGGAAAAGGGTCCCTTCTGCTGCATGACGAAGCAGAGGCAAGTGCCCGAAAACCAGGAGAGGCTCTTTCCGGCGGACCGCCACCGAGAGCCGGGGCACCATCCGGCAGCCTCGCCCAGTCGGTTATGGCGACTATGCAGAGCCGGCTGCGGTTACCCGGTGATCCAACCAGAACTTGGGATTGTTAGCTGCTCAGAACGTGCCAACGTGGGTGAGGTTTAACATCTGTAGCATGATTTATTTACAAGGATATCTCCTACTTTACCTGGTGCTCCTAATACCCCCTCCTTCTCCCTCTGGAAAAAACCAGAGGTGGCCTGTTACGCGCTTGCTTAACCGTTGCTCCAAGTCTCGGTGTGCCTCCTCCGTCCAGGGAATGTCCCAGTCCCTCTTTCCAGCTGCCCGGTTCTCGGGGACAGTCATCCGCAGGATCTTGGAGCACAAAGTAACGTGACATCTAATAGGCTGTCGATGGTTGCCAGAATTGCGTGTAGCATTCTTTCCAGCTATTCTACCGGGTGAGCAGTAGGCTGCATCTACATACACGGTCACCAGATGCAGTGTCACGATCTCCCTCCGGTGGACAGGAAGGGAGGCTGAGTGCGGCTCTGGTTGTGTCCCGGTGTAGGTTGCTGACCGAAATGCCCACTGCACAACTCTTCTGGGCGCACACCAACCAGGCAGACTGCGTTTTGGAGGCCTCTCGAGAGGAAACCCTATTGTTCCATACCGTACGTGTTACTCGGTGGTCCCATGACGAGGTGAGAAGGATGATCTATCTTGTCTATCAGCATATTCAGCGCCTTGCGGAAGCTTCAGAAAGAGAGGTAGAGGAAGCGAAGCGTACGTTCTAACAACACCAAGTTCCGCCTATCCCGGTCAACCCTATCAGTGTCCCAGACTACCAGTGCCAGATCGCTCAGTCTACCTCGTCATCTCAGTTGTTACATGCCACAGCCCATGAGTCACAACCATTGTCATTGTCACAGGAAAAAAAGCAAACTCCCATCAGCCGACACCCGTGATCCGCTTATTGGAGCAGTGAAGCGTACAGAGAGCGATCATCCCCGTCCACAACCTCAAAACGACTGCCGGCTATCCAGGACCTGAGCCAATAGGGAACCGAAGTGATCAGGCCAACTCCAGCAGAGAGCACAGCGCCGCCCCATTCACCCCATCAACAAGCAACACAGCAACTACTATCAGAGAGAAACGAGACACTACCGGATTGTCCATTGTCGCGTTCACCGGAGCAACATGACACGAAGGCTGCAGCTTTCCGTGGAGGAACCACGTCAAACGAACGATGGTGAGGAGGACGACGGGTAGCCAACGATGACAAGGCCATGCCAAGAGCCAGAGGAATGACTGTCCTGTGTAAACGGGGATGAGAAAGGGTGGGGGGAGAGATATAAAGGCTTGGCGAGCCCCTTGAGAAGCGTTCGGATTGTGTGTGTTTTGAGCGAAGAGAGCAAAGGCACATCTTTCCGTCAAACAGACCACCGCAGAGCATCGGAACACCAGGGACACAAAAAGAAGAGGATCGAGGACGTACCCCGCAAACTGAAGCTCTCCCTTCTCTCCCCTCCAGCCTCAACAACCAACAACACGAACACGAAACCACTCCAACACTCATGTCCTCCTCAAAAGCCGGCGGCGGAGGCGGAGGCCGAAAGAGCTCATCAGGCCGAGCCAGCAACCACCCGTCCACTTCGTCGTCCGCCGGGCACCAACAGCAACAACACCAGTACGCGGCCTCGACAGGGGCAGGGTCGCTCGACGTCCACTCGAGCGGGTCTGTGCGGTCGTCAACTTCGAGCAGCACCACCACCACCACCCCGTCGTTCTCGACCGAAGGCACGGGCCATCTGACGTCCGAGGAGCTGTTGGCGAACTCGGACATCTATAACGAGTTGAACCGATTGGCGCCGGACGTGGCGGCGGGGCCAGCGGGGAGACAAGACAATAATCGGAGTGTGATAGACCGGGTGGATCAGACTCTGCAGCGTGCGGATGATGGGGATCGGCGATGAGGTGGGTGGTGAACTTTCGACTCTCTAACGTGTCAATGAGGTGAGGGAAGAGGTTACCAAGGGACAGTCGAGCGTTGTGTTTTCCGTTTCTATGTCTCGGGCATTGCGCCTTTGTGATGGGGACAGGACCTTATGCGGACAGGACTAGTAGCAACATCCTTTGCTGGAACTTCTTGTCAGCTTGTATGGCTCTCGGGCAAGGAAGGGGAGCGGAACCGGCTCGGGGAAGTGAAATCCGGTCGCGTTGAGCTTACTAAATTCCTGGTTGAGTTGACGAAACTCCCTATTTCAAAGACACCTAGACGGCCAACGTGTGGATTGCACTCCCATACCTCCATGACAGGACCCAACAAAGCAAACCTCTCCCGCCTGCCTTACAGCCGATCTTCCGGCTTTTTCCACCCAAACATAGCACTAGTCTCGCCAATGGCACTGCGGATGTTGTCCACCAGAGCCTTGGCCATCCCCTGCCCACGTCGCTTCGCATTCCCAGGGTCGACAGCCGACACCGACGGCTCGCTGCCCATCGTGGGGAGGACGTTGTCGCTCGCGGAGAGACTGACGAAGAGCGCGAAGGGCACGAGCCAGACGCAGATGCCGAAGTAGGACGCGATCTCGGTGAAGGACGGGATGTCGCTAGGGGTATCGTAGTACGAAGCCATGTTCTGGTAGGCCCGCTCCTGGTGGGAGGAGAAGTGCCTGAACCAGACGTAGTGGTTCAACAGCACGAGAACTGGAGGAAGAGACGACATTCCCGTCAGCAACGCGCGCTTTGTTTGCGCATTTCATCAAACGATCGCGTGTGCTACCCACTGCATGAGGCCAGGAATAACGGGTCCGAGAGCTTGACGAAGGGAAAGCGCCGCATGTTGCCGAGGTAGACGAAGTGGGAGAAGATGCCCAGCGCGGTCGGGAGGAAGGGGAAGCGGTCGACCAGGCACAGCACGAGCTGCAGCACTATAATGGAGTAGATGAGCTTCGTCAGGAAGCGTTTCGCGATGACGGTGTGTTCCTCGACGAGCTCCGAGAGGTAGTATAGCCCCGAGGCTGCGCATCATCAGGCACGCGACCGTTAGCAAACTGGCAGGCCGCGTAGCGCTTCAGACTAAAGAAGACTTTACCTATGGCCAGCGTCATGAAGCAAAAGCCCACGACGGAGCCGAGATACCCGACGAGCGGTAATATCCACATATTGAGCTCTGCAGCTGACTCGAGCTGGTGGAATTCTTTTCAGAGGGTATGTAATCGAAAGATCCCTCGCGAACTGCCTCCGTGTCCAATTGAGGTTCAGGGGCAGCAACAGCTCGGCATTGGATGACGTCCTTGCTGTACGAAAGCGTAACAGCCGGTATCCACTGCGGGACGCTTTAAGTTCACGGTAAGTTACGATAAGATATGGATAAGATATTTTTATCTTATCGCCCACAAACATCGGTTTCTTGGGAATTGGAAGACGAACACAATTGATGATTGAAAGGCGACGAAAGCTCGTGACGTTTCCCAGTCTATACAGGCATTATAGCCAAGAAGCACTTAGCACACACTCTCCCCCCCTGGATCTCCGGGGAGCGACCGCATCCGGTGTTAGTTGGCCTATTACCGCCGAATGCTCCACCTCCCCAAAATTCCTCTCGGCTCAGATTGCGTTGCGACTTGCGACGACACTGGTTGCGAGCCGGCCCCGGTGACGGATCCGGCACCCTACTACACCTTGGACCTCCATCCTCTTCCTCCTCTCTGCCTCCGCGTTTAGAAAATACATCCCCCCCAAAATGTCTCGCCCCGAGGATACACTGTGAGCAGCGCCGCCTTCACCCCGCCATTGTCCCTGCCCGCGCGCCTAACAGTCCAGAACAGCGCGGCCGATGTCCACTACGACGATGCCGAAGCACGCAAATACACGACCAGTTCCCGCATCCAGAACATCCAAGCCTCGATGACCAGGCGCGCCCTCGAGCTCCTCGATCTGAAGTCGCCCAGCCTGATCCTCGACATCGGCTGCGGGAGCGGCCTGTCGGGCGAGATCCTGTCGTCGGTCCCCCAGGACGAGGGCGGGCCGCACGTCTGGGTGGGGATGGACATCAGCGCGTCCATGCTGGACGTGGCGCTGGAGCGGGACGTGGAGGGCGACCTGCTGCTGGCCGACATCGGGCAGGGCGTGCCGTTCCGGGCCGGCACGTTCGACGCCGCCATCAGCATCAGCGCCATCCAGTGGCTGTGCAACGCCGAGAGCAGCGACACGTCACCCGCGGGGCGGCTGTCGCGCTTCTTCAATGGGCTGTACGCGTCGCTCAAGCGGGGCGGCATGGCGGTGTGCCAGTTCTACCCCAAGAACGACGTGCAGAAGCAGATGATCACGTCGGCCGCCGTCAAGGCCGGCTTCGGCGCCGGCCTGCTCGAGGACGACCCGGACACGAAGAACGTCAAGGTCTATCTGGTCCTGACCGTGGGCAGCAGCGCCGTGGCCGACAAGGGTGGCGACATCACGGGCGTCGTCGACGGGATGGACAACGTCGAGGTGCTGGACCACCGCAAGAAGGGCAAGGCCGGGAAGGGTGAGATCAAGAAGGGCAGCAAGGCCTGGATTATCAGGAAGAAGGAGCAGATGGAGAGGAAGGGCAAGATCGTCAAGGCGACGTCCAAGTACACGGGGCGGAAGCGGCGGATACAGTTCTGATTCCCTATCGCCATTATCTGCTTTCATCTCTTCCGTGTTTGTTTCTGTGTGGCATAAGGGAAGGCGTTTCTGGGATTGGCGACAAAAGCAGATATGCTACCTGTTATGTTATGTTTTCTTTCTTTGCTTGGTAAACTTTGATACCCATTTGTTCTACTCTGCTTTCCACTACCAACTCGCCTTGTGTTGGACGGTGCTATTCCAATCTTTACCCTCCTTTCTCCCTCTGCCACTTTGTCATTCTCTACCTACCTAGGAATCACACATGCTCCCCAGCACACAACCCCGCCGGCTTCCCCTCCGTAACCTCCGGCCAGACGGTATACTCACCACTATATCTCGGCAGGCCATCCTCGCCAATGGTGACCCTCGTCGACGCAACACTGACCTTCAACCCAGGCACTGCCGCCACGTCCTTCTCCTCCCCATTCTTAAACATAGTCACCTTCCACTTCAGCCTCTCCCTGAGATACGGCACCACCTCCTCCGGGTCCAAACTCCTCAGCCCTCTTTCTCCTGCTTCTTCCTCTCCTTCGCCAATACCCATAATATCCTGCAGCAGCGCCGACGTGAGCGGCACCGTGCCCGAAACCACCAGCTCATCAGCCGCGTCGGCCCGGCACTTGCTGCATGCCGTGGTCGCCGCGTCTCGCCCGAGCACCGACACGCGCCCGACACAGTTGAACTCGGTGTCCCACGAGGCTGGGTCGGTCTCGTTGAAGGCGCCCAGGAAGACCAGCAGGCGGAAGGGTCCGCCGAGGCCGTGCTTTTGGGCGCGTGCCAGGACGACCCACTCGGTGTAGGTGTTGTTTGGGGCGAGGTGTTGCAGGGAGCGGGGGATGGGGCCTTCTTTTCCTTCTTCTTCTTCCGTTTTGTTCTCTTTCTCTTCTGTTTGGGAGGGAGCCCGGGTGGTCCGGGCTGTGGTGGTGGTGGTGGTGGTGGTGGCCAAGATGGTTTGCGTCTCTACTGGTACCTCCTGCGCAGCGTCATCAGCCGTCGTCTTCTCCGAGTGGGTAACCAAAGCCGACATATCGAGCGCGTGCTCCTCCCTGCGCTGCGCGACGTTGGCGACAAAGTTGGCAAACACGTTGGTGCCGTACAGCGCGGCCACCGCACGGCGGAGGGCCGCCTGGTACGCCTGCTGGTCCGGAGGAAAGCGCCAGCGCGCCGTCTCCGGGTAGGCATAGCCGAAGGTGGTGCGCGTGTCCCTGATCTGGGCCGACGTCCAAAAACTAGTGGCCGACTTGTCCCAGAAGGGTTCCAGCGGTGTGTCCTGGGTCTGGGACTCGCCGCTTGGGGCGGTGAAAGTCGAGGACGGCGCGGGCCGGGGGGACATGTAGCTGTCCGGGTTCAGGTCCTGCCAGATGGCCCACAGGCGGTCGACGTTGACGTGGTGCAGCCAGAACAGCGGGTCGAAGGCCGACGTCTCCAGCGACGACATGTGGCCGCCGTCGCCGCCGGTGCGGTCGTGGATCTCGTTGTGCACGTCCTCCAGGCTGCCGAAGTCGCCCGGATTGGCGCTGGGGTCCCAGCGGTTGTAGCTGAAGGCGTCGAAGTTGGTATACGACAGCAGCAGCAGGCCGACGTTGCTGCGCAGCGAGGCCAACTCGTTGGCCAGGATCGGCCCGATGCGGTTGTCCCGCGACTGGCCCGTTGTCGGGTCCGGGTGCCGTACCGTTGTCGGGTAGCGGCTCCACTTGCGTCCCCGTCGTGTCAGCGAGAGAAAGCACAGGGCGGGATGAAAACTCTATGGAAGATGGGCTCACCTCCTCCGAGAAGTCATCCGGGGACGGGTTCACCGGGTGGAAGCTGAAGCGGTACAAGGGGTTTGGGACGGACTTGGTCTTGCCGTCGACGTCGACGATACGGATGTTAGGCGTCGACAGCACGCTTGGGAACGCCGAGGTTCCCCGCGGCGGCTGGCTCGCCCAGTCGAAGTACGGGGCGCGGAAGGTCTGGGCCGCCTGCGTGTACCTGTCACGAAGCGGGCCCTGAGGGAACTGCTTCGCGACCTCTTGGACGACGTTGTACAGGGATTGCTGGGAGAGGGCCATAGTCAGTCTCGAGCACAACGAGGGCTACAAGTATAATGTTGTCGGGGGGAACACAATTATACCTCGAACAGGGCAAGATACGGCCGATGCCAAGTCAGGAACAGGATGGATGAGTGCGTGCAGTAGCCTCCAAAGCCGCTGCTGGTCTGCCAGTCCGTGTCGCTACCCACGCCGTTCCAGGGCTTGAACGGCATGCCGTGGATCCCCGCGATCTGGTAGTACGATGTCAGCTTGCCCTCGTCCTGGCTTTCCAGGGCCTTGAGTCCCAGGATCAGCAGGTTGAATTGATCGGGGAAGTTTTGCTGCAAGTCTCGGATCTCGCGACGGAGGGGGACGGCTCCTGTTACGACCAATAATGTCAGCAAGGGCAGATATTTGGGAATAAGGAGAAGCGGAGGAGGCTTAGGTGGAGGTGGAGGGACAAACCGTTCGAGTCAGGAGTCGTGGGGATCCCCGTGACAGCGATGTTCCCGCTCATGGTTGCTGCTTGGTTTTCGATGATATACTTGTAAGTTGTTGCTATCTGTTGGTCTAGTTTGCCAAGTACTGGACTACTGGTAGATGCTTCGAGAGTTGAACAGCTCTGGATGGACGATCCTGTTGGCTTATATGTTCTACATGGACGACTCGCACACTACGGCCTTTGGGTCTAGCTTATACCGCCGCACTTCCGCCTGCTACCTCTCCAGTGGAAGTCCGGCTCGGTGGACGCGTCGTCACTCATGGTCAGGCTCAGGTCGGCTGCTCTTGGCCACTTACTCCTCCGGGATTATCAAACGCCTGTGATCCTATGACCCAGAGTTCGTCGTCAGCAAGCTGACCCGCGGCACCTGCAGAGTCCCTGAACCCCTCTCTTCCGTCAGCCCGGCCACTCTTGCCTCAGAAGGCCTCTGCGTGTTGCGCCTCTGCGTGCATATTCAGTATTGCTCTTACGGCATGTGGCTTCTTATATCCCAGAGCGGAAACCAGTTAACATTGCGCGGGGGAGGATCAACGCCCATCAACCCGCAAAACGGAACACCACCTTATTTCGAGGACGGACAGTCAGCCCTATGCGACCCTGACCAATCATTTGGACCCTGCATGCACGATGCATCATGCAGCTGACTGCAGGCTCGTCGAGTTCTGGGTACCTTTGCGTAGATCCAATGTATGTACTTGGCATCAAGCTAAACCACCTTGCTGCCCTAGCACGAGTCACTTTGACCTCGCTCGATCCGTCTTGTCGCATGTGGGTGGTATACGTATGTACATCTGTGACTAAAGAATACCAGCAGCCGACGTCAAACTACCGACATCAACAATCCACAGTTTCCACACCTACACAGACTTGAAGAGCCGGATCAACCCCGACACAGCCGCAGCCATTGTTTAGTACTGTCACACAAGGAGGGTTCTGTCACTTTCTTGTCCGTACATGCACCAATTGGCTCGGTTGATGCCGAATCGCCCGTCGAATTAATAAGATGCCTTAGGAAATAGCCATCACCGGTCTTGGAGCCTTCCGTTCTGACCATGCTTTGTGCTACCAGCGATCCATATTTGCTTCATCTCGGGTGGCTTTTGATCTCACGCAACCGAGTCACAATCAAGACCAGTCTTCATAAAGGGGATCCTCTCACCGACTTCGAGCATGAAGATCTACTTTGGCTGATGTAGGACAGTCATAGTATGGAACGTGTACACTGAAACGTACGTAACTTCAACTTCAAGTTCCCATCTTCACACCTCCTGCAGCCACTCTATGACCTCAGATATTCTGCTTAGTAGCAGTCCCAATAGAGGCGTGTGCACTGTCAATCATAATGCGACCAGCTAATACAGTCTACTAGTAGTATCTCTGCTCATCATGTACCCATAACTTACCCAGGCATGTCCTCGCCGTCGATCACCACCTTCTTATTCTGGTACGGCCGAATCGAGATGGGAGCTATCCTGGTTCCACTCTTCTTGACCTGGATGTTGGCAAACGGCGAATAAGTACCTCCCCCAGGGAAGATAGTGTCGCCAACGGCAACGGCGTCGACGACCGCCTAGATAGATCAGTAGGGGATAGTGAATCCCTCAAATACGTTGGCCCCCCGGAACTTAGTTAGGATATCACACATAGATATCCGGATTTAACTTGTTGATCTCCCAGAAGCAGGTGTTCCGCCATTCTCCAGGCTCGGAAACAACGGGGGTCAAGGATGGTTGAATTCCTAAAAAGATGGGTAGACACGCGTAACGCAGCCAAGAAGAGCCCCATCGAGTAGAAAGTCGAAACGCAACCACCACTGTCGATTAATACGAGACCGTTCGATGCCTATAGTTAGGTACATAAAAGACAGCCGAGGTCTACCTGCCCAGCTTCCATTCACTACGCGTAGGCATTAGGCATCACCACGCCAAGTTCTACCTCTTAAGTACCCGGGCTGAGACTAGACTTTGTTTCACTTTCCCCTCGGGGTTATCGCACTAATTTCTAGAAATTATGGCTACCAGGTATTCTACTGTGTAGGCCATCCTGATTAATCTCTTGCATGCATATCCTGATACCAGGAGTTATTCTACTAGTACTAAGTAGTAACTCTATGGTCTTACACTCCATGTTATTATGGATGATCGATGAAGAAGGGTTAGGGCTCAGCGCTGCCTGCCGGAGATGTGATGACGTAGTACCCCCTCGTCCCTGCGGCTCTTGGCGGCTTTGGGGAACCCTTGCTTGGGCTAGACCCACCCCCTCCGATACCTCCGGCGTTTCTCCGCTTGCGCTGCTCGGAGGCGAGCATCATGAAAGCCGAAAGGGGCAGCCACTCCCGACAGAACTCCATTGCGACTCTGGGATGTAAAAAAATATTATTGTGTGTCGGGATAGGTCCGAAAGGAATGGGCTTACTCCGTACAGTATGCTGGGACGAGGGGCAAAACGAACATATCACAGCAGTAGAAGTAAAGAATGAACCGCCTCAATTGTATGTAAGCATAGTTCAAAACATTTGCATCATTAACGTAGCCAGACAAAGGAAAGATAAATGCCTGCCTGCCTGCCCTAAGGACGCCTCTCTGTATACATGTACAGTACATGGATGTTTCTACCACATGCATCTGCTTGCCCACCTGCCTGTCCAGTCTATGGTGCTAGGTTCCCCTTCTACCGTCCTCCTCTGAATCCGGGTACCCTAAGGAGCCGGGGAAAAATAATTCTCGAAGGAATCGGCCCGCTCTGGTTCAGGCACATCGCTGGGACTATCCACATTGTGTGCGAACCGCACTGCCTGAGGAGACGACCTTCTCTAGAGAGCCTTCTCCATCGAGTCGAGGATGGCACGTGTGAACTCCTTGTTGGTGGCCTCACCACCCATGTCGCGAGTCCGGACCTTGCTGTGCGGATAGTTAGCATACAAGTCGTTCAAGATGGGATCTAATATGACGTACCCCTGCGCGATTACATCGTACACAGCGTTGGAAATGCGGTTGGCGTGGTCGTCGAGACCGAGGTGGCGGAGCAGCATGGTGCCGCTGAGGAGGAGCGCAGTCGGGTTGGCCTGGTCCTTGCCCTTGATGTCGAGGCCGACGTGGCGGCAGCCGGGCTCGAAGACGGCGACATCACGGCCCATGTTGCAGCCGGGCACCACACCGGGGCCGCCGACCAGCGCGGCGGCAATGTTCGACAGAATGCCGCCGTACAGGTTCGGCATGACCATCACGTCGAATTGCTGCGGCTTGGACACGCACTGCATCGACGCGTTGTCGACGATCATGTCATTGCACTCCAACTGCGGGTAGTCCTTCGCGACCCTGGTGACAGTGCCGCGGAACAGCCCGTCGGCCAGCTTCATGATGTTGGCCTTGTGGATGCAGGTAATCTTCTTGCGGTTGTTGGCCAGGGCAAAGCTGAAGGCGAACTTGGCGATGCGCTCCGACTTGGCGCGGGTGATGATCTTGAGCGACTCGACAACGCCCGGCACGCTCTGGTGCTCGAGGCCGCTATACTCGCCCTCGGTGTTCTCACGGATGATGCACATGTCGATGTCGTCGTGGCGCGTCTTCAGCCCGGGAATGTTCTTGACCAGCGAGATGGAGGCGTAGATATCGAGCTCCTGGCGCATGGCTACGTTGAAGCTGGTGTGGCCGGAGCGGCTGATGGGCGTGTGCAGAATGCCCTTCAGGCCGAGCTTGTTTCGCCTCAGCGAGGCAACGGCTTCCTGGAACTTCTCTTCCGTCCGGCCGGTCGGCGTGGCCGTGTCGAGACCCGACACCTCGATCTGCTCCCATGTGATGGGCACATTGTCGGCCTTGAAGATGGTCTTCACGCTCTCGGCAACCTCGGCGCCAATGCCGTCTCCGGGAATGAGGGTGACTGTGTACTTGCCACCGTACTTGGTGGGCTTGAAAAGGTCGGACTGGAGGGTTTGGGAGGGCGCGTCGCTGACGCTCGCGAAGCCGCGGGCAACGTTCAGGCGTTGCTGGGGCTGGGCAGCGACCCGAAGCAGGCGCTGATGGGAAATCGGTTAGCAGACTGGACGATGGTGGGGATCTGGGGCTCTCGTCCAGGGAACACAGCGTATAAATGAAAAACAAACCTGGGCGGTGCGCGTGGAATTCCGTGACAGCATCTTGGGCAATCGATCGTAGAGGATGTGCACTGACGTGGTTCCAGCAGGTGTTTACGCGCGAAGACTGGAGTGCAAGAGAAGGTTGCCGCAGAGCAAATGCCGCAAGATGCAAAAAGCATGGCCTTGTTGGTCCAGCTTCTTTTTCGGTCTCCATCTTCCCGGGCGAGTGGGGCGTCACAAGAAGAAGCCTGATGACCCTAATCCACGATAGGCTAAGCGTCCGTGCGAGGCTGTGACGTCGGGATGCATCGGTTTTCACGTGCTATGTTCCCAGAGAGAAACATCTTCAACATGCTGCCCATCACGATGGTTCTCCTAATCCAAGAGCGAACATATTGGAAGGTGTCTGGATGGGAAACAAATAATGCAGAGATTCTTGCCAGGAAAGAACTGGCAACACTTTGCAAAGCTGGGAAGACCTGTCGACAAAGGGCACCAAAAAGAGAAAAAGAACCGAATTATCGACGGGAATTGAGCCCGACGTGGGGGTCGAACCCACAACCTTGAGATGACGGAGATGCTCCCTTAAGAGTCTCACGCTCTACCGATTGAGCTAGCCGGGCAGGCTTGCCCGAGAGGATGAAGTCAAGCGGCCGAACCGCGATTCAACTAGTGCCGGGCTGACACGACCTCCCACACTCACTTCGCACATTCGCCCGAGCAGAAGGGGAACATCACCATTCACCTACGGAGGAGGGTTCTTGATACGGAACGTCGAAATCGTTAGGCACTGCGCTCCCCGAGGCGCCATTGGCAGCGCCGTGTGACATGGCACGGTTGAACACCAACGAGCAGCGAGGCATCGCCAAACGTCTATTCTTCCCCGTTCAATGTCATAACCATGGTCTAGAGTCCCGAGTCATCAGGAAACAAAGGGAGAAACTGAAACGCATAGATCATTTCCGAGACACCGACAGCAACGCTGCCCTATTGCCCGCTACTCAGGTGCTATTTTTCCTGCCCACGCACGGCAAACCGCACCAATCTCTTCCGATACGCCCTGATTGCTGCGTCCGTCATCAACATTTCATGCCAAGTCCCTCGACAAGACAGCTATGTACTGTACCTCATGGCGCGGTCCAGCGTGGGGAGGCACAGCATAAGACCCATGCTCAGTGAGCATTGTATGTGACCCGGGACATATCGCTCCTTCTCCAAAGCCGGTGGTATACACCCATTGCACCGTCGACGGTATAAACAGTACCCCCTGGCCCGGCCATTCCACCCCGGTAGCCAACCGCCCCTAAACTTCGGCATGTAGTAGATCCAACCTGGGCTATCCCCATAGGCCCGCGTAAGCCAAGGCTGGATAGACCTTGCCATTTGCATGCACACCGGGGACACGGCACTCCCAGATCTAGAGAGTACAAGAACAAGACCATAAGGTACTTCCAAAGCCCATCAGTTCCCCCATTTAAGCATCAAACACCCAATTCCCGTCACAACCACCATCCCATCCTCTCCTCAAACTCCACCACCACCACCAGCACCGCCACCATGATGATGAGAAACAGCATGTTCCCCTCCATCCTCATCAAGCGGCTCAACCCTCACCAGAATCTCCTCCAACAGCCCCTCCAGAAAAGTCCCAACCTCCTTCCCCATCCCCCCAACCGGCTCCTGCTTGTCGTAATGATCAATCTCCTTGCACACATGCGCCAGCTTGTACACCAACTTCCTGATCTTCTCGTGCGCCGCCTCGGCGCGCTGCTGCTTGGGCGTGACGACGGGCGGCGCCGCGGGGCCCCCGCCGCTGTAATAGAGCTGCTGCAGGTGGATCTGGCGGCGCTTGAGGGTCTCTTCGAGCGCTGGGAAAATGACGTCGTTGAGGGCGTCGAGCTCGCCGCTGCTGCTGCTGCTGCCGCCGTCTGGGTGGCTGTTGTTGTTGTTGTTGATGATGATGTTGTTGTTGTTGTTGGTCCCCGGGGTGGTTGCGGTGAGGAAGGAGAGCGGGTTGTGGTGGAACGTGGTGGAGGAGGAGGAGGAGGAGGAGGAGAAGGAGGAGTCCGAGCTGCTCGCATGCCGGGGCAGTTCTTTGGAGATGAAGGGTTGGAAGTGCTGGCTTGAATAGGACGGTTTGTGTGGTACGTTTAGTGGGGATGGCATCATTGCTTGTTGTTGATATAGATGTTGTTGGAAGTGTTGTTGTTGTTGTGATGGTGCATAGGGTTGGTGGAACGGGGACTGGACATTCATCTTGCTTTGAAACCCCGGCGGCGGCTGGAGTTGATGTTGTTGGCCTCCGCGGAAAGGGGGGATCTCGGGTATCGTCATTGGGGCCATCCTGGAGGAGGACGCCGTGGACTGTAATGAGGGACTCTGCGGCTGTATGGCCGACCCGAGATTCATCACGGCCATCTCGCGCTGCAGCTGCTGTTGCAGCACATGGTCGTAGTCAGGCGAATTGCTTGCCGGGACTGGCGGCGCGGGCTTTGATGCGAAAGACGCACGAGGTGTCTCGGGGCTCGGTAGGGGTTTCTGAGGCGACGGCGGCAGCGGGACCTTGCTCGGCGACGAAGGGTTTGGCACGGGCTTCCTTTGCGGTGACAGCTGCCGTGATGTACCCGTCCCGCTGGCGCCCTTAAGCGTGTCTCTGGTCTCGGCCAAAAACTTCGTTGGACTGCCTTCTCGTCTCGGCTCGTCGCAGCTGTCCCAAGGCTCCAGCGTCCTGGAGGACCTCGCATTCGTCGCCGACTCTCCCATGGGATTTAGCAGGCCCGGCCTGTGGACCACGTTCCCTCGCTCTCCCACCAGACGCACAGTCCCGAAATCCCACATATCCTCATCGACCGGTTGCCGGTTCTCGGCCTGGTCGGCGTCATCGGCCTCGAAGCTGTCGTCGTCGTCCTGCTTGTGAGTGGCGGCCCACCGGTTGTATCGCTCGATCAGCTCGGTGAGGTAGCTCGTCTTCTTCGCCCGCCGGACGAACGGGTGCTTGAGCAGCTCCCTTGCCGACGGCCGCTCCTTGGGGTCGCGCTGCAAGCAGAGCTCGACAAACTCCTTGAATGCCTTGGAGAAATTCCCCTCCAGCCGCGGGGCCGCATTCTTGGGAATCAGGAAAAGCACCTTCATCGGGTGGATGTCGGCGTACGGAGGCTCGCCGTTGGCCAGCTCCAGGGCCGTGATGCCCAGCGACCAGATGTCGGCCTTGTGGTCGTAGCCGCTCTGCTTGATCACCTCGGGTGCCATCCAAAACGGCGTTCCCACGAACGTGTTCTTCTTGGTCATGGTCGCCGACAGTTGGCCAGACACACCAAAGTCGGCCAACTTGACTTGGCCGTTGGCAGAGAGAAGCACATTCGCCGCTGTGCGGGATCAGCAAAACCCGGCCTGCAAAACTATACGCGTAAAAAACGGTGCCTACCCTTGATATCCCGGTGCAACTTCTTGTCCGAGTGCAGGTAGTCCAAGCCTAGAAGAAGCTCGCGCACGATGATGGCGATGTAGTCCTCCCCGATCAGGCCCGGCTTCATGAGGTCCGCGCAGCTGCCTCCCGAGCAGAACTCCATGACGATCCACAGCTCGGCCCCCTTGGCGTACGAGCCGTAGTACTTGGTCACATACGGCGACTGCAGTTCCGACAGGATGGCGATCTCCTGGATGATGTCCTCCACCTCGTCCTCGGCGCTCTCAATGTCGATAATCTTGATGGCCACCGACTGACCCGTGCGTTTGTCCACGCTGTGGAACAACAGTCAGCAATCGTTATGTATGAGGGCAGGGCGGTTTGCGGAGAAGTACCCTTTGTAGACCTTGCCAAAGCTGCCTCCGCCTGTCAGTCTTGTCAGCCGTTGTCCTTCCCAGTAGCAATGCGCAAGAGACCCAACCAATGCAGTATTCCTTCGTATAGAGCATCTCCGGGTCTAGAGACCCTTCGGTCTCATCGTAGTCTCTCTGCTCGCGATCCGCCATGTTTCCTGTCTGGTTCCCGAATAATGGTATTTATGGATGAGGCTATTGGAGAACGGCGCTATATTTGTTCGATCTTCTTGCGTGCTCCAGGGAAATTGTCCGCCAGGGCACGCTCGGCGGGGTTCAAGTCGTCGTTTGGGTGCTGGAGGCGCCGAGAGAGCAAGGATGCGTACGTGGTGCTCCAGCGGCCAACAGCAGGCGGGAAGGTGGGGGAAGGTTTGGAAGCGAAAATCGGTAGACCTGGCCAGTCGAGGAATGAAATGAATGAGTGGGATCGACGACCGTTGCTCGGCGCACTTTGGCCGAGAATGGGTTTGTGCCGGGAAGGAGGGCGATGGTAAGGTCGAAGGCAACTGGGTTTCTGTCAGCCAAGGAAGTCCACTGCTGGCTCGCCGGAGCAATTGGTTGACCCATGCACACACGGGCAACCTGGGCTTTCTCGGCGCGGATAGACGAGGTCAGACTCAGAGAGGATGTGTAGAAGGGGGTTGTTGGCTATGTAAGTGTAAGTGGCTTGGTCATGCGGACGGACGCCTCGTACCTGATGGCATACAACGTGCACGGATTCCGCAGCGAGGAAGGCAACGACGTCAGATATGTACTTGAAAGCTGTCAAAACGTCCAGACTCGGGCCGAACTCGGGCGACAACAGCCTGGAAGCGATCCGGGAGTGGCGGTTTCGGGGTGTGCTACGGCAGTGAGAGGGCTACCTTCCCTTCGCTCGCACGCGGCATCTGCATTACTCGAAGGTTTTGCTGTATGGTAATCGTGTTTACACTACTGCGGCATGTCGTTGCCAGAACAAGGCCGCCGGCCAATGTGGGGTCGAGAAACACTAAGCTCCCGAGTTTGTTTACTGCCCGCAGCGGATCCCCCGCTCCCCGCTCTGGCTGCTTGCAGTGGCCGCCTTGTCAGGGGTAAAGCTGCCGCTGTGGGGCGATTTTCAGCCCTTTCGTGGCCCGGGAAACTGGCTGCCCAGGTGCTATGGATCGAAGACAATGCCGAGACAAGTACCTGAGATTCAGACACACACAATGGCAATCCATTTCTTTTGCAAAGCCAACGATGCCCAAGTCCTCGCCGTGAATTAGGAGACATACTATCCAGTGCCCGTGCCAGGGGTTAATGCTGAGGTCAAGCATTCTGGTGCTTCCGTTGTTAATATCGCGGTCCAATAGTCGTCAGTTGAGACCAACTCACCGCAAGGCCACGAAACCTGTACCGAGGAAGCAAGACGATTACGGCAACTAACTACATGTAGTAGCTTCCCTCCGGCTTGTCGTGATCCCTACACTAGTTGATGCGATGGCATAGGTAAAGGTATTCTCATTCGCGTCACAACAGCAATGCCCTGCCCCACCACCAAACGCCGATCTCCCGCACGTTCTGTACCTATGTAGAGATCACCAGGGCTTACCCGAAAAACGGACGGATGTTCATAAGCCTAAGGGAAAAGCCAGTGTCTTAGCCTATCGAGAAAGCAGACGGCAACTCCGCGGCATTGAGCTCCATCTATGCTCCCGAATTTTACCTGCTATTATGATTCCCATCCCTCCCAGAAAAAAGAAACAAAAAAGCGAGAAGAATGAAGCCACGTGAACGCATAAGAAGCTCAGTGGCATCATGGGCCAAACAGGCAGTCTATCCTCCTAGTCTCACGCCCCGACGGTGCTCCCTTTCTAAGTGCAACCCCCATGAGTATGCGAAAGCAACGGTAAAATCAGGGTCACGAGACTACCAAGTGAAAGCGTGAATAGAAAGTATGGGTGTAAATAGAGGTAAATGGCCCTTTTTACTCCTCAATGAACTCAAGCATGACCGTGCCGTTGGCAAGGCCGGCCTCCTGGATGGTTTTGTCGAGGTGCTCAATGAGGTCCGTCCCCTGCGGCATCGACTTGAGCTCAAACGCCACGCCCTCCTTGCCCGGTAGCGGCTCGGCCTTGAGCCACTCGTAGATGCGGGCGACGCGATCGTCTAGGCGGAAGCGGCGGATGATTCGCCCCGGCGGATTCCTGACCTGCAGCCTGGTCGTCGTACTCGGGTCGGCCGGCGGCTCCTCGTGCGGCCGATCTGAGGGTATCCTGGCAAAGACAGACTCCTGGGCCGGGAGTGGCTCGACCTCTGCTCCTGCCGACTCGGCAGACTCCGCTTTTCCTTTGCCCTTCGAGCCTATCAACGTGTCTGTTGACTTGGTAAGTTCGTCCGGGTCGTGGACGTTCGGGCGGCCGGGGCCACCGTTTGCGTCGAGGCTGTTTTGTAGTGCCATCTCTAGCATTTCCTCCTCCGTCATGCGGTCCACATCCACCACCTGCCCGGGCCGCTTAACTTTAGAGACCGGATTCTTGCTGTTAGCGGACAGGCTGTATCGATCAAGGAACTCAACGAGCTGCGCGTGGAACTCCAGGGCCTTCGGGAAGGGGATCCCGCTCCAGACCTTGACCTGCTCGCCGGTGCGCGGATCGATGATCGACACATGGGGGAAGTTGTTGGGATTCTGATGGCCTTCATTGGGCAGGTAGAAGGTGATGTACTGCTCGGCCGCAAAGTCGTTCTTCTCGTACTGGAGGAAGATGAAGTTTTCCTTGACGAGAGATTTCACAGCTTCGTCCTTCCATACATCGCGATTGAGCGCCTGGCAGTTAAAGTCGGACGCGTCCTGGAGGTTCACCAGGATCCACTTCTTGTTGTCCTTACCCTCCTCCCGGGCCTCATCCCAGCTAAGGTGCGACATTAGATCGTATGGAGGGCGGAACAGTTCTGCCAGGCGGGATGCCCGACTGGGTTCGGCTGCCCCGAGGGGTGAGGGGCGTGATGATTGCGCGTTCTCCTCCCAAACGGACTGAGCGAATGGGTTGGCGGATGGTCGGGCTGCGCGAAGCTTGTAAGCGGACGAGCGCAAAATAAGGCGAGATGGATGGATGCTGGCTAGTACTTACCTCTCGCCTGCTGTCTCCGACGCAGCTGCTCCAGCACCGCTGCCTGCCCATCATCATCCTCGGGATCATCGAAGCTTGGCCCCACCAAGGTCTCTGTTACGCGCGCCATCGGAGCTCGTACACCGCCCTCCTCTGCAGCCGGACCACCGTACAGCTCCTCCTGCATCCTCTTCGCCATGGCCGCGTCTTCCTCTTCCTGAGCTCGCCTGGCGATCGCTGCAGCCTCGTCCGCGTCGTCGGGCTCATTCTCGGTCATGGGCACATCGTCGTCCGAATCAAGATGGATGACGCCCTGTTCGTCCTCCCGGCCAATTTGCGGACGGTTCGGTCTGCTGGAGTGGCTCGCCGAGGCTATGGCAGCCGACGGTCCGGCATTGCTCAGTGACCGCTGCAGGTCTTCGTCGGTAAACCACAGCTGGATCGCTTGCTCGAGTTCCCCACCGCACAACTCCAGCATGTGTTCGGCTGCTGTGCGGTTGGCGCCGGTTATGGCTATGAAGGAATCGATGTCTTCGGAGCTCGCCATATTGAGTATCCGGTCAAATGGGCGCTGGCTCACAGCGGGCGGGAAGGGATGGACGATATGTCGGTAACGAGCCAAAAGGCTTAGTTGGGCCCAAGCGATGCGACTTAGAGGGGTTCGTCGATGTCTGCACCGCTAAATAATCGAGAAATCGCCGTTAGAAATAGCGCTTGGTGTCGGTCTGTTGGTACCTAAGCGGTCTTTGGGCGAGGCAGGACCGCGATGAGACACCCTGGAAATGTTGAAGTGGGGGAAGTTGATATGGAACCCCGCGCTATCAAGGGCCTCGGACTGAATCCCAAGGCAGAGGGACAACCTAGAAGACGTAGGTGCCTTGTGCTTGTGCCGACGGATAAGGTATCGTAGAGCAGTTCGTAATGCGGGGCCTGGTGTCAAAGTTGGGAGGCAGAACCATGTGAAGTGAAACAAGTGAGAAAGGCACAGGGTCTGGAGCTTGGGGCCTGCGAACTTGAAGGCCACCGCCTGTGACGCAACCCGAACTTGCCCCACGCCGGATCAATCGCCGCCCGACCCCTAACCAAGCCAGGGTTAGGGCATTACAACGCTCGTGCACATCACATTGATGACTTGTCCCTCATGGAGTTGCAGAGTCCTAAATAAGAGGACAACGACGGCCTTGAAGGTTGAAAGCTGTCAAGCTAGACAGAAGACTGAGCTCTTGTACCGGAAATCACGTTGATTTCTTTCATCTTCAGATATTACGACATCATTTCTACCTACTTCCTTGCCATCCACTGTTTGCTTAGTAACAAAGTCAAGAGGCGAGCCTGAAGTGGCCCTGAAGCTCGGCCGTTGCGTGTGCCGGAGCAGCCTGCAGGAGGCAATGCTGATGAGTCGCTGTTGCAGCATCTACAATTCTAATAAAAAGGATCTTTTAACCCCAATAGAGTAACTTATGTCCAAACTCTCAACAACATCAACCGCGAAAGATCTTGCCGGATTTAGTTTACTTTATTTAGGTGATGCGCATCGCATTTGTCTCGCGTGCATTTTCTTGAGATTCGCCCCGAAGCGGTAGCCCCTCTCTCATCATCGCAGCCTTCCACTCCCGATTCCCGAATGCGCCCAGGACTCGAGTGCACCCCTTCATGATGGCCGGCCCGGTTGATTCAAAGAGAGAGTTGGAGCTCATAGAGAAGGTCGAGTGGAGGATTCTCTCGGCTTCTTCGGACGAGGAGAAGCTACAGCAGCTGCTGAAGGTGTACCTGGCCCCATTACTCCTGAAGGCCGGGAGCGGCCATGTCTCGGTCCGCAACAAGGTATGTTGACCATCTGGTCAGGCTACATCTTCAATCTTTACTTGTAATACTAACCGTCTCGTCACAGGTCATATCGACATGTCAGACTATCAACAAGCTCATCAAATCTCCGAGGTACGATTATGTCCAGCTTGTGCACTGACATCAACGGTCCTGACGTATCATCGCTTCTCCCAGCATTATCCTACCCGTGGCTGCCCTCCTTGACCAGTACAAGGCCACAGAACAATCCCTGATCAAGCACTTCGACTTGATCTACATCCAGCACAGCGTCCGGAAGCTAGACGTCGACGAGCATCGAGCTCTGCTCCCTAAGGCTCTGCGCGGCATCAGCAGCGAGCCGGCATCATCGGCCAGCCAACTCTTTAACGTCATTCTGCGGATGCTCCCCGCTGTCAGGATCCCTCCGCGCGGAAGCAAGGAGGATGTTGACTTCCGGGAAGCCATGGGCTTAACAAACCCGCAGGATGCCAGGTTCGTCGCCGATTGGTTCGGGAAGTTGCTGCTGTTGAAGGCCAACGCGTCTGGCTCGGCGGAGTCGCCCGGCTTGTCAGACGAAGACATCCATTTCCTGACTGTGGGTAAGCCCGGGACTTGGGACCCTGCTGCGGGCGGGCTCACGCTTTCCGAGGCTCGGATCCAGGTGGTCAACTTGCTCGCGAGCGGGGCCTTTACCGACGAAGAGAAGTTCATTCCCGCCATCTACGCGGCGTCGAGCCCCGACTACCGCGTCGCTGGTGTTGGGGATGACCTTTTGAAGCGAAGTTCGGTCTCGCTCGAGGACAAGGGCCTGATCCAGGAGCTCTTCCAAGCCCACGCGGCGCTGCCGGCGCCATATCGGATCCGCATTCTTGGGGTGCTCAGCAAGTCAGAGGTAGCGACCACCTTCGCCGACGAGGTCCTCGCTGCCTTCCGCCGTAACGTCGCCAGGCCAGCCGAGGCGGGCGATGCAATGCAGGTAGACGGCCAGCCGGCACCCGCCAAGTCACTAGGACTGGAACAGAACAGGCTTCATCGGGCATTGTTCGAATATATCAACTGGGTGGCCCGAATCGGCTCTGCGAAGACAGACTATAACAAGATAGGGCCACCGCTGATCGAGATGCTCAGGGCCTTTATCGCCGACCAAGGCTGGCCCAAGCCCAAACGGCAATCAGTTGACGAGAACACGCTGCGGTCCCGGGCGTACGAGACCATCGGCATCCTCGCCAAGGGCACGTCCATGTCGAACACCGAGCGACTGTCCCTGGCCGGGTGGCTGTTCCGCTCCCTCTCCGAGGACCCGACCCCGGATGTCGTGGTCAACATCGACGGTGCACTTTCGAGCCTTACAAGCCTGTTCAAGCCCCCGCACGACCTCGTCGTCACCGCCCAGCTGCAGTCCATCCTGCTGAGCTACATGACGGCCAGGGATGACGATCCCGAAGTTGTCAGGAGCGCCCGGCATGCCGTGGCCAAGTGGGCAAACCACTGCCTTCCCTTCTCCGACCTGTATGCGCGGTGGATCGATATTCTCGCGGTGGCCGGGCGTCCCGACGAGCGCAGCGACGTAGTCGAGGAGGGCCAGAAGGGACTGGACCCCTGGACATACTACGCGAACGACGACAAGTCGAACGCCCTGCCTGACTGGAAGGAGATGGTCCCGATGTTCTTCAAACAGGCCATCGTGCCGTTCCACACTTCCTCTCTGTTCGGCGGCCAGGACCGGGGCATGGATATCGACGATAGGGGTGTCTTTGTCAACTTCCCCGCGGAATCGCTCCCGGCCTTCCCCGTCGCGGTCGATTACTGCAAGCGCATCATGTTCCTGGCGGCGCTCAAGGACTTTGACGTCGAGCCGGGGTGGGAAAGGCGGCTGGGCGCGCTCGTGCAGTCGGACCTCGCCAGCCGCAACACCATCCGGGCGTACCTGTCGTCAGAAGCACGCCAGGAGCAGGCGCTCGTCAAGCTCCTTCGCGCCGCGTTCGAGGGAATGGTGAAGGACGATGCCAGGATCGCGGAGCCATGCGCACAGTCGTTTGTGGACATCGCGTCGCTCTCTCCCAAGGCCGTGCTGGAGCCCCTGGCATCTCGCTCAAGCGAGCTGCTGGGCCTCGTCAAGTCAAACAAGAAGGAGCTGCGGGTTCTGGGTGCAAAGGCCTATGGGATCCTCGCGGCCCATCCATCCAACTCGGCCGAGGCCGTCGCTAGTTTCAAGGCCACACTGGGCAGCATGATCGGGAACTTTACGAGAGCGGTGGGGTCGGAACTAAATGCGGTTGAGGGCGCGTTCCTTGCCCTAGCTCATCTCGTCTCGAAGCGCATTTACTACTCTGTGGAGGCGAGCACGAACCTCACTTCCAACCTCAGCCAGGTATTGCCGACGCTCGACTCTGTGTCTTCGGCTACCGTGTCGACTCAAGAGGCGCTGCTGGAAGCCTACTCGCAGCTCTGGACGGCTGGTGTCCAGATGGGTCCGGAAGCAGCAGACGGGGCTTCTCTGTCGAAAGCCTTCATCGATCCACTGGTGTCCCTTGCCAGGAAGGGCAACGAGAAGGCGATCACGGCTCTTGGGCGACTGGCGATCCCGCTGCCGACGACGGACTCAGCAGCCGAGATCCTCGATTCGATCCTCGAGAAGCTTTACGCTCTTCACGAAAGTAAGCAGGTTGAGGTGCAGTTCGCTGTTGGAGAGGCCATCGCAGCGGCCGTTGCGTGCTGGGACGCCGATGTCGTTCAGCTCACCATCGACGTCCAGGCCGCGGGAACTGCGTATCGGGTACCCAAGCGCTCAGGGAGTCTCACTGCGGCGTTGGACAAGGTCCTGGCGGATTGCAAAACCACCAAACCGTCTTTGCTGAAGGCTTCCGGCATCTGGCTGTTCTGTCTTATCCAGCACTGTTCGCAGCTTGAGGAGGTCCACTCGAGACTCAGGGAGTGCCAGGCCGCGTTCATGCGGCTGCTCAGCGCCAGGGACGAGCTCGTTCAGGAGACTGCGTCGCGGGGCTTGTCTCTGGTGTACGAGAAGGGCGACGCGGCGCTGAGGGGCAACCTCGTCCGCGACCTCGTCTCGGCGTTTACGGGGTCTGGGCCTCAGCTCAAGGTGGATCAGGAGACGGAGCTCTTCGATGCCGGCGCCCTCCCCACCGGCGAGGGCAAGTCCGTCACGTCGTACAAGGACATCGTCAGCCTGGCGAACGAGGTTGGCGACCCGAGCTTGGTGTACAAGTTCATGTCGCTCGCCACCAATGCCGCGACCTGGTCGACGCGGTCGGCCTTCGGGCGGTTCGGGCTCAGCAGCATTCTTTCGTCCTCTGAAGTCGACCCGAAGCTCTATCCCAAGCTCTATCGTTACCGCTTCGACCCGAATCAGAACGTCCAGCGCTCCATGAATGACATCTGGAAGGCGCTCGTCAAGGACTCCAACGCCGTGCTGGAAACGCACTTCGACAGCATCATACAGGACCTGCTGAAGAGCATCCTGGGAAGGGAGTGGCGCGTGCGCGAGGCCAGCTGTGCCGCCGTCTCGGATCTAATTTCCGGGAGGCCCTTCCCGGTGTACGAGCGATACTACAAGGATATCTGGACGGCCGCGCTCAAGGTTCTGGACGACGTCAAGGCCACGGTCAGGAACGCGGCGCTCCACCTCTGCATCGCCCTCTCCACGACTTTGGTCAGGCAACTCGAAGAGTCCGGCTCTACGACCACAGCCCGGGCGATGATCAACGAGGCGCTGCCGTTCCTGCTCTCCGACAAGGGCATCGAGAGCAGCGTCGAGGACGTCAAGCTCTTCGCGACCATCACCGTCATGAAGATCGCCAAGAGCGGCGGCGACGCGCTCAAGCCCTACATCCCCACCATGGTCCCGCACCTGCTCGGCCTGCTGAGCACGATCGAGCCCGAGGCCATCAATTACCACTACCAGCGCGCCGGGGACGACAACCGCGAGAAGATCGACAAGCTGCGCAGCGCCATGGTCTCGCGCAGCCCCATCGCCGAGGCAATCGACAACTGCCTGCGCAGCGTCGACGACGCCGTCATGGCTGCCCTGGCCCCGAAGCTGCAAGAGTCTATCAAATCCGCGCTGGGCATGCCCACCAAGATCGGCTGCGCCCGCGTTCTCTCGACCCTCGCCACGCGCCACGCCCTCTCCTTTGCGCCCTATTCCCAGACCTTCCTCACAATGATGGAGAAGCAGACGCTCGACCGCAACGACGAAGTCTCGCAGAACTACGCCCGTGCCGCCGCCTACCTGATACGGATCATCCCTTCTCCGGACGCTAAGACCAACTTCACCAACCGGCTCGTGACGCTTTACCTGACAGCGGAAGACGAGACGCGCAGGCAGAAGATCGCCGACGCGGTGCTGGCCCTGTCCAAGATCTCCCCAGACCATTTCGCGTCGCTCGAGACGGTGCTCTTGCCGTTTGCCTTTCTCGCCATGCACGACACGGACGAGTCCGCCTACGTCAGCAAGGCGGCGGGCGAGGTGTGGGACACCCACGCCGGCAGCACGCCGCGCACCGTGGCGCGCTACCTGGCCGAGATTGTCGCGCTCGTCGAGAGATGTCTTGTTGACACCCCGCAGTGGGCGCTGAAACATACCGGTGCACTCGCGTGCGCGGCTGTTGTTGAGGCTGTTACTTCTACTAGTTCTAGTAGTAGTGGTAGTCAAGGGAATGTGGAGAGTGTGAAGAGAGCGGTATTGTGGCCGGTGTATGAGCGCGCGCTGGCGCTCAAGACGTTTGAGGGGAAGGAGAAGCTGCTAGAGCATTTTCCCGACTTTGTCAAGGCCACTACTAGTACTACTACTACTACTACTACTACTACTACTACTACTACTACTAAAGGGGATGATGATGAGAACCTACAGTGGCACAGGCAGTTGGCGGAGCAGACCAAGAAAATTGCCTTGCGCGAGGCGAGGCGGAATAATGACGCCTACCGCCCGCATGCCTTCCGCTGTCTGTGGCGGGTGGCGGCGGTCAGGGAGGATGATCTCGATATGCTGTCGGAGATTGCGGATGTTGTTGCGCCGTTTGTGGCGGTAGTGGGAGAAGGAGAAGAAGGTGGGGATGGGGATGCGATGGATGTGGATAATACCACTACTACTACGACCAGTACTAGTAAGAGAAAGGGGAAGGGGAGAGCGCACGGGTTGGATCTCAAAAGCCGCACGACATGGGCTGCCATCGAGGCCATTGTCAAAGGGTATAACCGCCCCAAGATGAGGCGGAACCCCACGGCGGTGTTGCGGCAGGTTGTCCTCGCACTGGAAGACGCCGCGGGCAACAACAACAACAAGACCCTCAACGCGCAGCAGTCACCACCACCATCACCACCATCACCACCGTGTGTAGCCCGCCCGGAGTATGCCACCCTCCGCCGCGCCCCGTTCTGGTACGATTGTGTGCGGGACGTGCTCGAGGATGCTGCTGCTGCTGCTGCTGGTGACGATGACGACGCGGCAGCAGCGGCTCCAGAGCCGGCTGATCAGGTCCGGGAGGTTGTGATGTGGTTCTTGCGCACGCTAGACCTCTCCTCTGAGGCGGCGGATGATGCGGGCACGGGCACGGGCACGGGTACGGAAGAGCAGCGTCTTGCCAGGGCGAGGGCGGCCAAGGTTGTGATGCGGTTTGGGATGGTGCGCTTGCGCATGCGCACTGGGCCTGATGTTGATGCGGGCTGGGTGGCGGAGATGAGGAGTATGGTGGATGGGATGCTGCGGAGGGAGAGGTCGCTTGATGTGCAGAAGGTGTGGAGGGAGTGTTTGGGGGTTCTTGACGCTTAGTATGGGATGTTTCGTATTTAAGGTAGTATCTACGGGTTAGAGAAATTGAATTGTGTTGGCTTCACTGCGCATTAGCTCGTTGCCCTGACAAGGGATGATTTGCCACATGGTTAAAGCGCCCCTTGCGATCCCCCGTCCGTTCCATGTGCTGCTGACAGGCTTCGAGAGAGGAAAAATATGACCTCGTCGTCTTTGTCCTGGATTACCCTGTTGATCTTCCTCAGCAAGGTGTTCTCGATGCTGCGTGGGATGTGTTCTCCTCGCCCGAGGTGTGCGGCGATCGTGGCATCGAGAGCGCCCAAGATCGCTCTCGGGGTAGTCTCTAGAGTTGAGGAGCTACCACTCAAAAGAAACTTCGTCGGCGAGTTGCTGTCCTCGGGAGGCAGAGAATTCATGCGTGGATTCACTGAGAGGGGGTTGTTCCCCAAGGCTAAATCATGTTAGCCATCCGATATGCTAATGATGGTCGCGACTGCTTTGACGGGGTAATGCCTGGCATAGCCGACATACCAAACCGAAAGCGTGTACTCGTGTGGGAGTGGTTGTATGGCCGGTATAGCCTCTTTCTGTACTCTCTGCGTAGCTTCAACACTTACCAGCAGAACCCCCAGTCTGCCGGCAGCGTACAGTGTCACCACACGACTTCTCTGAAAAACAAATTATTTATAATAGACTTCCCAATCGACAACTTCAAAGGGCCATTGACATGCGAACTTCAAAACCCTGGGCCTTGTTTAAGATCACCATGTTATGCTACAGCATGACCCCCTTCACAGAATGAGTCCCGTGGCAGACAAATGTCTCCCCTCAGCTTATTATGGTAATGCCAGCAGACACAGGAAGAGTGTGACTGCGTCCATATGTCACTGTTCTGTTTGTCCAGACAGCTGTCATTGATTCTCTCAACTGGTTGAGAGTGGTTGATAGCAATCAAAGTCCAGCTTGAGTCCAGCTTGGTAGACATGCCGCAGCAATAGCTTGAGGACTTCAACACGCCCATTATCCGTATGCCCATGACATTTCCCTTACCATCAACCTCCCTCCGCGCTGTCTCGGTATTTCTGCCTAATTTGAGTTCTTTCTACGTTTCTTTCACTTCCTCCTCGCCAACAACCTCTTCTCTTCCTCCGGTATTACCAGGTACCTAATACATTTGCTCTCCCACCCCCTACCTAGCGATCAAAATCACCAGTTGGCAGTAATGATGACTCATTCACCGGCTCGTTTTTGCAGCCGTCACCTGCTATCCTCCAAGCGGTGGCTCCAATGAGTGCGACGAGTCGCGATCTCATCGTCATCACCAAACGAAGCCGAATACACAACGGGGATTGCTTCGCTAGCTCATTTCACAGCCTTCACATGCCAGCCTTCAACCAATAAGTGCGATCGGGCGCGATCTAGTTGTCATCGCCATCGCCGACACCGTACAGGTAACCAACGGAGCCGAGGAAACAGCGGTGGTTGCTTTGCTAGCCCGTTCTGCAGTCATCACATGCAAGCCTTCAACAAGCGATGACTGCGATCAAGTCGCTATCTCAACCGTCATCACTTATGGCATACATAGTAATGACGAAGGCTGAAACACGACGAGGCTGCACAAGGCGCACGAGGGCATTCCCCCTCGTGCTTGTTGTTTTCATATGAGTCATGAAGAGACCCATCTTCCCTGAGGCCAACCACACAGCATGTGGTATTCTAGCTTCATGACGTCCCTCACCCTCAGAGCGCAGCTCCTTTCGGTCTAGATCGCCAGGCTTCGACCCCGAACTGGTCTTTCTTCTCTAGCGTGTGCTTCTATCAACGTAGAGATCTTATTACCGCCACGACGAGGACTCTCCGATCGCGGGCTTATTCAGCAAATTGTGGGCAACATGTTATCCTGACCCCTCACGAGTCAGTTAACAACTTGAAGCATGTGGGGCAAGTCTAAGTTGTGTTTGGCGCATCAGCTTCCGAGTTTTCTTCTGCATACCCAGTTGAGATTCAATTGCTTGTTTAGATCTTGTGTGACAGAAGAAGTGTCTGGGTGGTTGGATGTGCGGGATGTGCTAAGCTGACCCTCCTCGGATGTCAGAGCTCTGCCCCGGTTTTGGGGGGTATCTATCACACGGGACATCCTGGACCGGCCGATTTCATGGTCCTAATCGCTGCCATTCTGCTATCCCCCATTCCTTATCATGTACGTCATCTTCCATTGTTGCTTGTTCGAGACCATCTTGATAGCTCACCGGTCTCCTTCCCCGCGGCCTAGACGCCGGAAGTTTGTGATTGCTGAATCGAGGTTGCGATCTCGCCCACGGCAGGCCTGATCCTGGGTGAAACTAGGCAGATGGTGCCCTACTTTACCGTGCGGTCTAGTTGTGGCTCAGTGTGGTTGTACCACTGCTGTAACAAACGCGCCACCGTTTCCAGGCTCTCTTCGATATCTAGGTAGGTGGTGTGTAGTACGGCGTCTTGCGGAACCCTAAACGGTCTCTGCATGGCCGACGAAGGCTGTTTCCACTTGCGGTCGAGTGCCCGACTAGGGGCATGGTATTGTTGGTACCTTGCCCACTCCGAAAGAGCCCAACACGTTAGTACGGGATGGACTAGATATTTCTCTGACCTTCGAGGTCCCCTGCCTATGGGTATCTCGTCTCGACAGTTAGCGGTGGGCTTCAAAGCTTTGTGCGATCCATGACGTGAGGAAGATTGGGCCATTACGTGCGGAAACGAAACGAAGTGCAGGTATCCGTAACCGGGGTCACAGCTGGGGATAGGGATGTTCCGTTTGGTATCGTATGGGAGGTCGTTGCCGTTACCGTTGCCGCTGCCGGTGTCATTTTGATAGACACAGATCCGTCGAGGACTCTAGTAGCTTGTCGTAGGACTGTTTACTATTGGCTGAGGTCTGACTCGTAGCCGAGCGGTCGTTGGGACATCTCTCACCAACGACCCACTCGCATCATCAAGGAAGTTACGTCGACGATCGGGGAAGGTCCTTCGCGTCCGGAGATGCCTACGCATGTGATTATACGGGAAATTTCGGGAGGGCGGTTCTGTTGAAGAGCTACGGTCTTGAGAATTCGTAAGGACACATGGCTGACGTAGGGGAAAGGAAAACCGCTGGCCTAATCCCGAGCTGGATCTGGGCGCCGTTACGATCTGAGCCAAGACGGCTGATTCGTTGATGTGGCCATGCAAGTGATCGAAAATATGCACTGTTGACTTGCATGTGGTCCAGGGTCCGGTCATTGCCCAGCCTCCCTTGTGCAACTGGGACGCTGATTCCCCCCTTGAGCTTGATTTGCTTCACGCAGGCATTTCTACCCACCCCCGGAGCACTTGAGTGAGGTAAGGTTCTTGTGGAAAATGTGCGCTTCAGCAAGCTCCAATCCCGTCGAGCCATATCCGGGAAGTGGAGCTTGCTGCTGCTTGGTACACCCCGCCGGTAGGTAGGACTTGCGTCTTGAGTATTGCGAGTGAAACGTAGTTTTCCTAAGAATGCTGAATGCCGCATCTTTGGCCTTCTTGTTGGAAGATGTCCAGACATTGAGTATCCTTATTGTGGTCCTTTCTCCAATGCCTACAACTCAGTCTGGTTGGCCGGACACCTAATGTGCAGGATGGGCGCTTCCGCGGGGTAGCGCCAATGCGGCCAAACTACCATTCCGTATAGCACGTGCATACGGTAAACTCCGGGACCGTCCAGATTGGTGTGTAGAGTGCCGCTCTAGATGCACAGTGCCTTAGCAGGATCGCCGTCCTTTGCATATGACGGAGATCGATCGGGTAACATTCGTCGGCTCGAAACGAAACAATATGGCTGTTTGGAATGTCTCAATGCTTCGCCAACGCGATGTCAAGCTGGACCCCGCGGAAGATAGCTGGAGCTAAGGGTAAGGGTGATCGGTCTTGTGCGACGGGTGCCGGCTAATGGCACCCCCTCCCCTTCCATACCCGCGGCTTTTTGCGAATTTGCTCTTTTGTTTGCGCTTCTCCATAGACATTGATAAGTTCGACGCACTTCGCCGAGTTGGGGAGCAAGGTCGATTGCCGTGAGAGAGCTGACGGCCGCACTTGTAGACATAGGTTACATGTAGAGGGCACTGCATCGTTGCCAGACGATGCTCTCCCGTCCCCGTGCTGTCAGATCACCTACTCTGGGAGGGTGCGGACCGAGGCAGCATCCGCGTTCTGGCTTCGCAGCCGTCCAATGACAGTGATCAGAGATCTGCAAAGGTCAATGAATCATCAATTGGTTGGGTTCCGTAGTAGATCGAGCGTTTTGGCGACAGTACATAGCTATAGATGCATTTTGTGTTGTTGCACAGAGTTGGAGTTGGTAACTTAGAGGCACCGAGGCGCAGGGGCCGGGTAGTAGTGACGCGATCATCGACGCTTGCCTGGGTGGTGTGGGTGGGCCGTCCTTGGGCTGGGCCTTCCCCACCCCAGGGCAAATTCTCGTCGTCAGTCGTCGGCGGCGCCTGCCCAGTTTTCACCTTTCCCACTGCTTCGCAGACACTCCACACAGGGCTCCTTCGTCTGGCTCTCTTTTTCTCTTTTCCTTTTTACCCCTCCGTCCGCCGCACCCCTTGTTGAGCGCTTTCTGCTTTTCTTGCTGCCTTTTCGCCAAAGCATCCTTTTTGAGTGTCTTTGCTGTGCTTTCAGCGCTTGGCGTCCGGTTGGTTCTTGCGGGCTTCCTCGACGGTCTCGATTACGCGCCACACTGCCTGCCCTGCTCGCCTCGGCAGACTCAACACACCTAGTCGCCCCTCCCTTCGTCCCACGTCATCCGCCAATCCTCCTGCTCTGGATCGACCATCACCGTCGTACACACTGAGAGACGGACCGCCCGTCTCTCCAACCACATCCGGTTATCGACTACTGGTGGAAGATACTAAGGAGGTTGCGCTGTTCGCAAAGTGTTTTGAGGGTAAGTCTTGACTTGGTGAACATGGATTGTACCGTTCCTTTGCCGTCAAGCTGTGTCCTCGAGTCGGACTGGACGTGAATACGGACCCGGACTCGGTGACTTGGAGTGTTGGACCTGGCGTGGCATGTGGATGAACGCTCTGTGGACCGGGAAGGAAACGAAATCTCGATTTGTGTGCCCTGCGAGCCTTGTCTGGACACGAAATGGATCCTCGCGGTCACCGCGAGGCCACACCGGTGGCGGGCGACGAATCTGGCCATGGCCGGTTCCCGAAGACTCTCGATAGCGTCAAGATCTGAGCTCGTGGGTCACGATCCCTACGGGCTCCTTGACTCCCACGACGCTACAGCTTTCTGCCGGAGCACGTTTTGCCCTCACAACATCTGCACCGCCGAGGCGATTCACACATCCCGCGTGTGTCCTTGCGTACCCTAACGACTGGGTCTGAGGAGAACGGGAGGGAGGGCCTCGCTCCAAGCGACCCTGGTCTGCAGGCTGTCAACCATTCCTCCGCGTCGAGCTGTTGCCGCAAGTCTGAGGATTGGCACACTTTGCGCTACCTGGGCGAGAACGCGTACGGGAGAGTGAATCCACGACGAGCCGCCACCTTCTCTTGCAGTGGCCGCATTGTCTTGACCGTCACGGGATGTCCGCCGCTTCATCACACGAACGCTCGTCTAGACGGTCTCTCAGACGGGAACTGGACCGTAGGAGGCTCGAGTTGGATTCTGGATGCAAGGCCCATAATTCCCGGGTGCCTGTCGAACGGACCTCCTTCGGAACGGCTGCTTTGCAAGTTGATATGACTCTCCTCCTTAGCCAGCCCGCCTTAGGAGTCTCCATTTCCTCATTCGTCGATGGATGTCCGTCCATGGGCTTACGAATGGACCTTCGGACCTCTCTAGTTGGTTCCTGGTGCCGGCTGGTTTGCGAACTCGACAATCTGGATCTGCCGCTTGAAACCATCGGCGTGCTAGCTATTATTCCTTGGGCAACGTTTGCTTTGGCCTTCGGCGAGTTACTGATGATCTTAAGCAGGGCATCCTTTATCGAGTTCTTCGGTTCGTATTTCGGCCGGATTTCTGGATCTCTTGACGCTATCGAAGCTTTAGGGAGCCTTGACCAACCCCTCCATCAGCGAGAGTCTGTCACTGCTCTTTCGTATCTTATTCTCGACACTTGGGGCCGTCTCCTCACTGTTATCGGTCTCACAATCGAAGACTCGGTTATCTCCTAACATCTTCGACTTTTCTTCGGGGTCTTTGAGTTCCACGGCGTGAAGGCGTCTACCGCAACAGTTGCTCTTCGGATCCTGGATACCGTTCGTCGCGTCGGTTCAGAAAAGTATTGGCATCGATTCGACGGTGCGCTTCTCAGTCATTCCGGCGTCTTTGCATTGCACTGCTTCGATCGGTAAGCAAGATTTCTTCCCTGTTGATCCTTTCAGACTCGCCTCTATCCATAGTTATTATCCTGGTTCGTTTTCCTTTGGACCAGTCGGTCTATGTTCGGTGGGTGGTCTTGAAATAGCAGTCCCGGCGGACTTGGAGAACTTTTTCGTCCTAGTGGACTCCAAGAGTTCCCCGCTAGGTTGAGTCACCCGGCTATCCTGGGATGTGGCCGCGCCAGAACGCGTTTAGGAGCTTTGACCTGGGCCCACGATTTGTAGCTTCGCCAAGATGAACGATTGGTCTTCCAACATGGCCGAGCTTCCATGCTGGAGCAGAGCTAGGATCGCGCCGGAGCAACACTAGCTTGATCCCGTGATCCATGCGATCTTGGACCGTCAAGCGCCACCGCGCTATGAGACGACTCCTTGACCCCATTTACCTTTCACCTCCCCGTTAGACAGAGTTGATGAGCACGGCCTCCTGAGCTTGGGCCAAGTTCCAAGCTATGGAGCTCTCCTCCGCGGCTACCATCACCTTGCGTCGGCCAGGATCTCCTTCATGTGAAGAAACCACATTATAGATATGGCTACCATCACATTGGCTACCATCGTCTGTGAAGCTCGCGGCTGCGAGAGGAGGCTCAACGCCGGCTGAGCCCTCCTCCAGCCTCTGGTGTCCGATGGTTCCTAAGGCGCCTTTGGTCCCCTTCGACGAGACGGAGCCATTAGCGAGGAGTTATCAGATGCTCAGGGCCGGGGGCGTTTGATGGTGCGGAATTGCACTGTGCCCAGAACTGCACTGTGCCCACCCGGGTCTTGCTCTTTCAGTCTAAGCTGATTTCCAGCTTCGAAGTTGGCGTGCTGCTGACATGGCATGTGTTCTCTAGATTTGTGGCAAGCAATCCCGCGCTCCGCGCTCGTCTCCCGATTCTCTACGCGTCTTCCAAGTGCTGGTTGAGGTGAAGTTCTCGGTATGTGATTTCATCTTCATTGCCGCGGCAAACCCCAGAGACAACTCTTTCCCCTCCCAGGCACTCTGCGCGCCTCTGCTGGAGCGGAGCGGTACGTACTTCTCATCATCTCCTATGGCACGACACGCGACAAGGCATAACACCCTCGGGTTTGTCTCGGTAGCATCGGGTGGCGTCCTTGGCGTCAAGTGGCGCTCGAAGTCGTCTGGTCCCCTGAGCCTGGACAAAGCGGGACGTGCCGTCTGCATTCCAGAGCCCGTCCTCTACATGCCGTCGCCTTCCCTCCCACTCATTTGCAGTCATGGCCTAGTGGCTGCTATGTTGAGCTTGGGGCTGTCAATGAAAGGGACATTGTTACGATGGAAGTTCTCTCAGTCCAGTATAAGCAACCTGGGGTGCGAGTAACCTACACAGCTGGCACTTCCCCGGGCACCTATAACCTCCCGGGGACTAGTCACGCTCTCTAAGCTGGTCATGCCCCCAGGCGTTATCTGCCCCCGCGCACTGTCTGCCCCCAGACCTTGTCTGCCTCTGAAAACAGACGATCCCAGCTTTCAACAGCTCTACACGTGCCAGCAACCTTGGGTTATGTCTACCAAGTGGTTGGCTGCCTAATCCGTCTTAACTCTCTCCTAGTCAGCTGCTCAAATCGTCCTATCTCTATCCTAGTTACCTGGCTGCTCGTCTTATCTCTACTCTCACGTGCCACGATCTGAACTGTCGATTCTGGGGCGGGGCACGTGACTTCCGTCTGAACCTCGAGTCACGTGTGGAAGCACGTGATTCGGTGGCAATTCTTGAGATCGCGAGTCACGTGTATTCCGTCTGAACTTCCCCCTTCGCAGTATATCAAGGGCTTTCCCACCCCCAAGGGCCTCGCACAACTCTCCCTCTTACAACCACCTCCTTACCCTTCTCTGGTTCCTTCATTTCCCAGTCTTCAACTTTAACTTGTTTCATCTACTACGTTGTGCTTTGGCATATTCGTTATACTCTCTCTAACCATCAACAACATTAGTCTTCGATTACAATTCTCGCAACACCAAAAAGTCATCAACGTCATAAACGTCATCAACTTCGTTAACGGTTTGTCTCTTAACCAAGGTAAGGCCCTAGTCTATACTATTTTGTCTCGTTACCTTTCCATTATCATTTCCGCTCTCACCTGTTCTGTTTTCTATGCGACCTTCTATTCTGGTTTCCGTGTTGTTTTCTGTGTGGTTTGCCGTTCTCATTTCCGTGCGGTTTTCCGTCTTCATATGCGTTTTCCTCTCGGTCTAGTTTTCCAGAGACCGACTTGTAAGCCCGATCTTTCGCGGGGTATTTAGATCGCGACTATTTACATCAGACCGCGGTTTCAAAGTTGAGACCGTTTCGTGGGGTATTGAGATCGCGACCTCAAATTCTAATCGCGGTCCAGACCGCGGTCTCCCTATTGAAACCGAACACTGAACTTCAGATCGGGACCCTGCAACTCCATCTTCTTTTTTCTTCCACATTTCTCGACTTCAATCTACTTCAACAGGGGTACGACTTTGCGCTGATCGTGATAACAGTTCAACAATGGCGGATTACACTGTTGCTGGCCCTTCGAGCGCTGCCACTAATGGCAATAACATGAACGGCTCGGGAGATTCCGGCTTTTCCCAGACCGCGCCGATGTCTACCACTTCCAACGAAGCGGCAAAGACCCTGTGGTGCGTGGGCTCAAGTTGTTACCGCCTTGGTTGTTGTATGCGCTGACACATACAATAGGATGGGCGAAATGGAGGGCTGGATGGATGAGAATTTTATTAAGAACGTTTTCCAGACCGTCTGCAGCGAGAACGTCCAGGTCAAGGTCATCCGCGACCGCACCTCCGGGTATGTTTGCTCACCCTTGTCTAAACAAAGTCAATTATTCCCATCACTAGATTCACCCCCACCCTCCCCGCTTTCTATTTATGGACGCTACCCGTGGTTTTACCTAAGACATCAGATCAAGCAATACACACTCCTGCTACTTCAGATTGAGTTCGTTATAGCGTCCTTGTGGACGCTCCCTTTACAAAACCGTACTGACAAGTGAATAGCAATGCCGGATATTGCTTCGTCGAGTTCTCGACGCCCGAGGCCGCACAGAAGGCGCTGAACTTGAACGGAAACCAAGTTCCTGGCTCGTCCCGGGTCTTTAAGTTGAACTGGGCTTCGGGCGGTGGCCTGGTAGACCGTCGGTAAGTTTCCACCTTAAGAAGAGTCTCCTTAGCTCCTGGCTAATATATTAAACTAGCGATGACCGCGGCCCGGAGTATTCCATCTTCGTTGGCGACCTTGGCCCTGAGGTCAACGAATACGTTCTGGTGTCGCTTTTCCAGTCGCGGTTTCCGTCTTGCAAGTCGGCCAAGATCATGACCGACGCCATGACTGGCCAGTCGCGCGGTTACGGATTCGTCCGTTTCAGTGACGAGGGCGACCAGCAGCGCGCCCTGATTGAGATGCAGGGCGTGTACTGCGGAAATCGGCCCATGCGCATCTCGACCGCGACTCCGAAGACACGCTCGCACGGCGGCTATGGCCAGGCTCATGGCGGCGCAAACCCCATGATGCAGGCCATGCCTGGTCCGGGAGCTATGTGGGGTGTGCCTGGCCCGTACTACGGCCAAGGCGCCTTTAACCACCCCATGCAACCGATGAACCAGTTCACGGACCCGAACAACACCACCGTGTTCGTCGGGGGCCTCTCTGGATACGTTACGGAGGACGAGCTCCGTTCCTTTTTCCAGGGATTTGGCGAGATCACCTACGTCAAGATCCCGCCTGGAAAGGGCTGCGGATTTGTCCAGTTCGTTCATCGCCATGCGGCCGAGATGGCCATCAATCAAATGCAGGGGTATCCCATCGGAAACTCCCGCGTCCGTCTTTCCTGGGGCAGGTCCCAAAACAACTCGGGTGTCGGTACCCCGTACCGCCCGGCTCCCCCGCCGCCCCATTACCAGATGGCCCCCGGCGGCATGCCGCCCCACCCGCCTCATGGCCCCGCTGGACCCGGCGGCCCTTACGGTGGTCCGCCCTTTGGTGGGAACCCTCCTCAGGGCCCTCCTCCCGGCCCTATGGCCTAAGCCTTCACCTCCTTCCTTTCAAAACCGTTCATTCTTCCGGCGTTTCGGGGTGGGGAGTCGTGGGACAGAAAAGCTCAGCTTGCTTGGCATTGCTCGGCGTCCCGGTCCTTCGCAGTTGCTTCTCGCGTTTCTGGGCGTGCTTATGAGGAGAACATCATAAGGAACGGGAATGGATGACACGGATGGATGGTTGGCGAAGTCGTTGATTTTTTCTTTTGATTTCTCTGTTACACTGCGCTGCTCTTATCGTGGGAGGTTGTCTCCCCGCCAGATCTTTACTTTCAGTTCTTTTTCAATCCGCCCCATCTTGAGGCTTATTTTTCCATGCCCGATCGGCGCGGACTGGTTCTCTCAGGGCCCTGGTATCAGTTCGGTTTGGAGATGGGAGAATCTCGGTCTCTTTGATCCATCTGGTGAGCGCCATACTCCGGCAAAGGATATCTTGATAGATTCCTCTGGTCTTCGGGATATGGGGAGCATCGGCTGGTTTTTCCCGGCCTTGCAATCGCTCTGCCCTTCTACCATGGCCTTCGGGTTATCTGCAGTTCGTTCGACGCAGTCTGCTACCAGGGAGGCTGGTATTTGCGACGGGCATGCTACTGCTTATTCTACTTTGCGCAATGCATTCAGTTTGTCACTCACTGCTAGTACTGCTCTGGTCCTCATGCGTTTTCTCGTGCGTGTCATCACCATCTTGACCCGTCTTTTTGCAGCGTGCGGTGTCTGGTTCGTAAGTGTGTCTTGAGCGTGCTGAGCGTGCTATCCTTGGTTCCGAGTGATAAGTGTGCATCATGACTTGACAGTAAGTGGTTGGGTAACAGACTCCCTCGCTCTGACGCGGCTTGAGGGGGGTGGTGTTTGTGACTCGTGTGTGATGATACGGCTGTTTCTACTGACTTGAGCTGCTGGCAGATTCGTGGATGGTTTCAGCCATCGAGTCTGCTTCCACACTGTTGCTGCGCCTGTGCCTTGCTAAATAACGGGATCTACAGGGTACTGCTACCGGTAAAGGTTCTACAGACCGACAGCCTGTGTTTGGGATATCTAGGTCTCGGTTTAATTACTGTGCTGGAGCGTGGAGTCTTGCTCTTTCTCTGTTCCTCTGTTCCTCTGTTCGGTTCCACAAGAGCATTCAAGAGAAGGTGGGTACGTGGGCGGTCAAGTGATGCTATTTTGGTATTCCTCCATGTTTGCTCCCCTGTATCCTTTGCATGTTCTCCCTTGCTGCCTCTTCCCCTCTGATTTGGAGAGTTGTTCACAGTCTGCTTGTCTTGGTGATTACTAATATTTGGGGATGGTTGGGGCAGCAGCAGCATGCTTCATCGACTGGAGAGTGCCAGCCCCTTCTTTTACGTTAGGGCGTGGGGGGGATGTATCCCGATCCGAAAGGAACCCATCGTTGATGTGTTACCAGAGAGGTCTCCTCTCCCCGGAATTATGAATACTCTTCTTCCCAGTCTTGGAGCCTGGCTAACAAAGTATCCCCTTCCTATTTCTCTTCCCTTACGGCCAACAGCCTGAGATCTACTACAAACTGCGGCAATGCCTCCACTCAAAAGTCGGTTGACGCGGCGGCCGCTGCTCGTGCTAGTGCCCGTCCCCCTGGGCAGTGCAACTACTCGCTGGGCCTCCCAAAGCGGCCAAACCAAGCTCCTCGCCAAGTAGCGAGCAGTATACACGGTCTGACAAGGAAAGGCCAAAAGGCGCGCGGTGACACCTGTCAGTGTCGGCGCCGTGCTTGTGGTGAGTTTTTCCTGCTCCTTTGCGGTTAGTTGACGGCGCTAACGAGAGCATGACCAGGCCCTTCTAACACGCGCTCTTCTAGTTGTGCTGGCGCGCCCTATACATACTGGAAATTTTCCGAACCGCTCCGTTTTGCATCTCTTCGGCTGCGTTGCAATAGGCATGGCAAGGGGTGTAGGACATGCTTCCGATGGGCCCAGCCAGCCAGAGAAGACAGGATACATATCGGAGGGCTTTACAAACCAGCATTTACAAGGGAGTGGGGGTGCAAAACAAACGACCCCACGGTCTGATCGAGGTACGATTCAACAGTTGCTAATACCCCCGTGAATGTTGGGCGCCCTTACGCTCCGTGATGGGCTACGATGCAAGACTATGCGGTCGGTCTTGAGCATGCTGACAACGGGGCAGGTCAAGAGCGAGTCGCCGCCAGGTCCAAGCCGAGTTGAAGGAGTCTGCGTAGGAGGACGGGGGCGCCCATCGCGAACGGGCTTCCAGCAGCGGTGGATGGGAAGCCTACCCTCAGAATCCATCCAGACCGTTAAACCCACCCACGAGCATTACCATCCTCCTCGCTCTTACATCTCCGGTGTTCAAAGGTACGACAGCTCGATCTGGCAGCGAAGCACTATATCCTCCTAGACGCACTACGACGAACACGGCGTTATTTCCTAGAAGGCAATGAGAGATGGATGAGGAGAAGGATGGACGGGGGGGTGCTACAAGCGGAATAGAGCAAAGCGGAAAACGAGGTCGAGCTGGAACGGGCAAGATTAGAAGAACCCTAAGAACCTGGAATGCAGAAGGACCCCCGGGACAACCGTCCCCGGAATCAACGGTGGGAGAAATCAGGATTTTGGAACGACCTGTTCGAAAACGGCCGACGGGATTGATTCAAGCAAATCCATCGATTACCGGCACGGCTACGGAGTAGATCAATGACACCGGTGTCTTCATGGGATCGAGCCCGTTCCCGGTCAGATGGGCTAGGCCGCAGCGAGAAACACACAGGGCGGCTGGCAACGGCGAACACTTAGCGAGATCACAGGCTTGGCGTGCCCCAGCAAGGCAAGAATTTGGGAACTTCAAATTAATCCTCGTGGAGGGAGACGTCGGGATATTCGCAACCAGGGCGGCTCAACCTGCATGAAAGAAAGGGCATGGATGTGGCTAGGCCTTTGCGGTATCTCGGCCCGTTGTGGTAGTTTTGTGCACGGTTTCATGACATAGGGACATGCTTCCTTTGCACAATACAGGCACGACTCTCAGCTGTGGGAGGAATGTTGATCAAGTCATGACAGAGGGGCGTTGGATGGGGCGTGGAGATTGCTGGCATGGCGAGAGATTATGTTCATGGCATCAGGGGATCTCTGTTCCGGAGAATCATGGTCTACAGCGGTTATCCATCTACGTTTACTTGTTCCTGCGAGGCTGCTAAGGCTGGTAGGCAGAATGAGGAACCAAAGTTGATATGAGTACCCTATCTTGTACACTGAGACTTACAGGGGCCAGGTAACGGTCACGATCTGCTGCGGCAGGTATGGTGGGCAACGGGGTAATCGACTCTTTCGATTCCATCGGTAGCAGACACAGTGAGGTCTAGCAACATCATACATTGCAAATCATAACCCTCCATAGCAACAAGATCAACACAGGCACAGCAAGAGTCGCTGGTGTACCCACACACCACCAACCTCAACTCCTCAGTGACTAACAGCATACGCCCTTCCTCCCATGATCGAGACGGTGCAAGAAAAGCTTCATCTCAGCCCAATGGCCGCCCTCAAATCGACTCGGTCTCGACGGGCCCCGGGCGTCCCCCGTCATATACGATCCCCCGACTAGTATACCAGGCCTTGAGTGGCTGGAAGGCTTCAAGAGGCTGAGGCTGAGGTGGTTCCGGAGAGGGCGTGCCGCTTGGCCCCTCGGCTGCCTGGTCTTCCACGGTGTTTTGAATGCCATCATCCACTGAACTGTCAGAAGAAATGGACACAGCCCTAGAACGGCTACCAGAGTCGATCGCTACCGTGGACGACGCGTCCACGGGGGCTATGCGTTTCACCTCCGCCGCGAGCGATTCCTCGTCGTCCAAATCGGATATGTCCATGATAAAGCTACTCGGCGTGTCCGCTCCAGTGGTGGTAGAGGCGCGGGTGCCTTCGCGGAACTCGTCGATCATAGATCGTCGGTTGATGGGCGTGAATCGGGATACTACGCTTTTCGACTCATCGTCGTCCGTCTTCATGCGCTTTGGCTCGTAGTAGTACTCGCTGCGCCCCTCTCCTGTGACTCGGCGCTTCCGCTCTCGCGAGGCAGCCATGTTGGCATGCATGACCCTCCTCTCTGCCGCGTCACACTTCTTCCTCCATTCCTCCACTTCTTCTTCGCTTGGCTTCTCGAGGACGGGTCTCTCGGCGGCGCCCTGGCTGGTCTTATTCGCATTCCGGTGGTCTTCTTCTGTTGGCTTGTCATCGGCAGCCATGTCCATTCTGATGGTAAACTCCGTCTGCAGCTTCATCAGGTAGGAGGCAAGCGCGGAGTCGTCCATGGTGGACTTCAGGGCTTGGGTGAGCAGATCGGGCAGGGCGAGGATCAGCCTGTTCTGTTTCACTGCCCGGGTTGCAGGCCCCGTATCCCTGCTTGCATTCTTGTCTCGCAGGAACTGGCATATACGTTCGGCGTTCTTGATGACGCGGTCGGGCAGGACAAGGCGGGCTAGATCCAAGCCATAGTCTTCGTTTTTGACCGGACCGGGGGCGACAGTATGCGGTAGATGGATCTGTGAAGTCTCGCCGTGCTTGGTGCTCTCGCTCGAGATGTGCACTGTCAAGACATTGTTGCGTTTTGTAGCGTTCAGGACGCGCGCTGTTGGACTCAAATTAGCCTGACACTGCCTATGTGTGGGAGAAGCCCTCTTTGCTCTTACCGAGCTCAGTGAAATGTGTTGCAAAGAATACCCGAGATCCGGTCTTGATAAGCTTCTCTGACATAGCGAGAGCGATGGCCAATCCTTCTTTGGGCGATGTCCCGCGGCCGAGTTCGTCGATGATGATTAGACTGTCCTTGGTAGCTTGCCTGGGTCGGATTAATCATTAGGATCTGAAGAACAGCGGAAGGCATGGGACGAGGTATGTACCTTAGTATCACGTTCATCTCCGTCATCTCTACGGCAAACGTGCCTAGGTTGCTCTCTGGTTTATCTTCGGTCGACAAGCGGGTGAATAGGCGATCACAGATGGGAACCGCAGCATACCTCGCCGGAACAAAACTCCCAATCTGCGCCAATATCTGGATCAGCGCAATTGTCCTGATGAAGGTGCTCTTGCCGCTCATGTTTCCGCCGGTGACGACTTGGAAGCGGGCCGCTTGGTCTCCCGAGTAGACGTCGTTTGGCACGATGTTCTGCTTCCTGACCTCCAGCACTGGGTGCCTTGCGTCCTTAAGGACCAAATTATCGGATATGATGGGCCTGACGTAGTTCCGAGTCGTGGCTAGGTGGGCGAAGGAGCACAGCATGTCCAGGACAGCAGTGGCTTCGTTGACAGATAGCAGGGTTTCCGCATGCTCTAGCAGGGAGTTTTTCAGATCGAGCACGAATCTGTCGTTTTGCGCTGTTACGATGTCGGCCTGCCGCTGAATCCGACTACTTTTCTGGATGAGGTGGATGGTCTGGCAATCGTAGTATTGCTTGCGCCGAATGCCGTTAATAGTTTCCACGCCGCCGAGGCGGCGTTGAAGTCTTGTTTGGTGCCTAGCGACCTCTCGTCCGACATCGGACCACTGAAACCGGAAGTAATAGTGGTTGTCATTTCCGAGTCGAAGGTCTGGTGTGGTGCCCAGCTGTTCTGCCGGCAGGTCAGCGGAAGGCAGAAGTGGACGGAGGCGAGCTACTGACCTTGAAACGTCTTGTTGAGTTCTTCTACATACTGGTGCAGTTCATTCGTGTAGTCTCGGTATAGCTGGCGAGCTCGTTCCAGAACCCCATTGGGCTCGGCCTACGAGCAAATGTCTATCAGCAAGCAGTGAGATACGACAAAGTCTGGCCAACACCGACCTTTAATGCCCACAATCTGTTGTTCCTGACATCTATCGGTGCCTTGCTGTAGGTGGCGCCCTCTTCCACGGCACTCTCAATAAGCTCATTGATAGCCGATGTGTTTTCAGGTGCACACTTCTCCAGGACCCATTTACACAAATCGCTCGTGCAGTTCGATGCCTCCAGGGTTTGTCGGATTGCATTGACACCTCCAAGATATGCTTTGATCATGAGAACGTGGTTCAAATCCTTCTCTGCCCTTTGGAGGTCCTCGTGGCTGGACATGACGATCTGATGATGACCCTCGAACAGGGCTACACCGTCTTCCAACGGGAGGCGCGCTTCTTCGCTCTTCGCAGCGACCTTGTCCCAGTGTTAAATATGAGGTTTCAGTGGCTCTAACTGGGATCTGAACTTACCCATGGAATGGATCGTTCGACATCTATGTGGACGAGTTGCTTGAGACTGGCACGCACCTCCGTGAACAGGTCTTCGTTGCTTGATAGCTCCTCGACGGCTTCATGACGCGCCACAATCTCGTCTCTGTTCGTGCTCGGCTGTAAAACTGCTGACCGTATCATTCGCCGACCTTGGGGCGTGAGTGAATTGTTTAGCAGTCCGAACAGCGTCGAGGACACGCCCTTTGCATTGCGGGTATTCTGAAACAGCTCCAAGGAGGAAATGGTAGCCCTGTCAAGCCCCATGGTATCGGCAGGCTGTCTGTACTTGATGCGCAATGAGTTCTCCCTGAAGATCACATCCGTGTCCTCCTCGACGTAGGCCATCACCTAGCCGTTATTAGTCAAGACCTCGGGTCTTGCTGATACAAATGGCAACATACCGCAGAGAAAGCACATGAGACATAGAAGTTGTGCTCAAGCTCCTTACGGAGGGCCTTGACATCTTTCCGCCAAGCAAAGCGGTCAATCATTCGCAGGCCCTCGGACTCGTTCCAGTGGTCTCTCCCCAGAGGCACCACATCTACGTCAGGGAACTCCTGCATGAGGCATCGCACAAGAGAAGACTTGTTAGGCCCATCAATCACGCTCTTCAGCACAAGGAAGGTCTGTGGACGGGTTTCCATTCCCCCGAGAGTCTCGACCAGCCGCCAGTACTTGTCATCGTTCACGACTCTGAAGAGGTCGACTTGTCCGACAGTTGCGTTGATGACAGCCACACCGATGATATCCGATGAGCGGCTCTCTGAAATGGCACAAACAACGCTGTCTTGTTCCTCGCCGAGCTCCGATGAGTCTCCTCTCAGCCCTCTGTTATCAGGTGTATCTGGAACCCGACGGACTGCGGGACGAGAATCGAGCATGTCGTCATCATCCGACTCGGAGTCGGAACTCAAGTCCAAGCTAAGAATAATACTCATCAGTTCGTCTTCCTCTCGGTTTAGATGCGCGTTATGGAGGGGTCCACCGGAGGATCCCCCGCTCCGAGGCAAATATTGGAAATCAGTCGGCCGCGCCAAAGGGCTGAGAATCGAGGAGTCCTGACGTGTATCATGGCGGGGATCCGCGAAAGTTCTCAGGACAGTCCCACGTCCAGGAACCTCGTTCGCCGCTTCAGAGCGATCATGCGTACGACCTGGCCTTATATCTCGTCTATACGGAGACGTGGTTGGGGTAAGGGTGTGGGTCACTGCTCTGCTGATAACCGACGGAGTAACAGCACCCTCAAATTCGCTGCCAGGAGACTGAGAAAGGTCGGGGGAGACTAGCTGGCCGCGGCGAGTACTAGACGGAGTGTAGAATACTGTTTCAGAGCCCAGTGTACTGGGAACAACATCGTACTGCGTGTTCAGCGCATGCTGGGTGTGACGATGATGCTGGTGCTGCGGCATGTTCGAGTGTCGAGGTGAGATCATGTCTGTCTCAGGGTAGGTAGGACGATCGGACGAATGAGTTGCGAAGTTACCAGCATTTTCTTGAAGCCGTGACTGCGCTGGACGACTGTACAGGTCTGTGCCGTGTAGGCTGCTGGCAACATCCTCCTCGATTGGATCGAGAGTACGAAAGTCTTTGGCCCTCAGGAAGTAAGGTGACTGCTTTGTTGAATTTCTCGTTCTTCCGGCTTCCCTGGGAACTGGAGTTCCTGTGTTGGACAGATTCTGAGTTCGGTAAGCAGAATGTGGATGCCAATTGTCGTCAACTTCCTCGCTCTCTTCATTTGGAGTCTGCTCAAAAAGGGGTAACTCGTCCCGTTGTCTGAATGGGTGTGGAAGCAGCCAGCTGTTGGGATCTCCAATAGATGAACCAGAGAAGTCGTTAGCGGAGTGGTCTGGCTGCACCGGGGGGCCATGGGCATAGTTGGCTTCCATTGCACTGTGGCCATCGTCCCTATCGACATTGTCGGCCCACAGATCATCGTGTTCGTCGGGTGGGCCACTCGGGTCCTGTGAAAGCACTCCTTTTGGGTCCATGCTGCCATCGCCGCTTAGCACAGAAGCTTTGGCGGTGTGATGACGAGGTGATTGAGCGGACCGGCCTTCGGAGGTGGGCTCGGTCATTGCATTCACCATAGCCCTGGTGATAGCGCTTTTCCTTAGCCAATCCGAATCATTGCAACCAAACCTAGGGGTTTCGGCGCCGCTGCTGCTGCCTCGTGGGGCTCGACGATCGAGATAGTCGTCCATTCTGGCTAGGGCAGCTTTCTGACGGCTACATCATCTCGTTTCCTTAGCGTCCCACCGAAGGAAGATGATCAACCAATTTCACAAAGCAAGACAGCGGCAGCTTGCATCTCATGGGAAGTTTCAAAGGGAAGTAGGTAGCCTAGGGGAATGGTGGATGCCTGACGCACTGAGAGCGACCTAAGCTGAGAAGTATCTGGGTTGCTCTTTCCGCGATTACTAACGTTAGCTAACCACTGCGGCAACAGGCTGACAGCCCGACAACCCTCGACTATTTATAACTCAGGTTACTAGAACTAGCGGACCATAGCATAGCAAATTGAAGCTTGAAAACGTGTCTCATGGATACCGCGTAGACTCCTGCGTAAGGTAAGGTAATGTGGTTCCCTTTCCACTCTCGCAAACGATCTTCAAACTGAGGTGTCTCTCTCGCACGTTTGGCTTCTTAGCCGGGACAGACAACGAAAACTGAAAGGCAGGTGCACAGGGCTTTGTCCATATCCCATTTACCCAATACTTAACACTCGCATGTGGAATAGACGTATGACAAGCCTCCACTCGCATTACGGATTAGGATGGTATCCACGTCCCTTAACACTTTCTCCCAGCCTGAAGGAGCTTTTCCGCAGATCTAGTTGTTGTTCCTCACCTTCGACTGCTAGCACTCAGCGTTGACGGGGACTAAAGGGACGTCACAGCCAGCGTCATCCTATGCGGTGGTTTAGCAACAAGCTCGATGCCAGCCGCCAAACCCTATAGCAGAATGCCTCTAGGTCAACGACAACCACAGCTACGGTACCGAGCTTGCTGGACGAGGGCTAGTGCTGCCTTTGATTCCTGCAGCGACTACGGCGCTGAGGCCCGTGAGGCCGCCCAGTTTCCCATGGTTCCCCGGACCGACTCGGGGCAACGGAGGGGTAAGTCGGACCCGGGTAAAGAAATAACCTGTGCTTTCTACAGTTCGATCTTTCAGTTTCGGTAGCTAGTAGTCCTATCTCACGACCACAGAGCACAGACCGATGATCGGGTGTGTGGCGTGATTGGGCCGCTTAGGGTGTCTATTTTCATCATTCTGCAACAAGGCAAAGGTCCGAGAAGGTGTACTTGCGCTGACAGGGTACGTGCAGCTCGCGGGCATGGACCAGGGGCCAGCAATACTTTTGCCTCTCCCTGCTGTGGTCAGGTATTCCGGCAAGGCTCGGGATGGCGGGAGTCGTATCAAAGCCCATTCGACTCCAAAAGGCAATTCGGTTCGCGGAGTTGGCGGCACCTTCGAGGCTTCGAGCCCCTGGTCACATTTTGTTCGAAGCCACAAGCCGATGACAGTCACGGACGGGATACTGCCGAGGAAGGATTAGCGTGACTGGCCGATGTCCACGCGGTATGCTTCCATTTGTGAGGTATCGTCATCTCGCGTTGGGACACGCCGCGTCGAGTATGACCCGGCTGAATGGCGCCTGGAAACCTGGTTCCCGGGAAGTAGTACGGATCCTACGTTTCCAGCGAGGAATTTAGCAAATATTCCAGAAGGCACGCTGGCAGCCGCATGATATCAGGCTAAATACGATCCGCCCATGCGTGCTCCGTACTCCGCGATGCACCCCAGGAACGGGCCGAACTTGGCAAGAACTTGGCGATCTAGGTTCCGCAAACTTAATCGAGGATAGCTTGGCACCGTTGGCGGGGACTCCCATGCGTGTTGGACCGGGCAACCAAGAACATGGAGAAGGTTACCTTCCTGCGGCGCCGCAAAGCTTGTCTTCCGGACAAGGGTCGTCGGTCACTGGGCGGAGGTGGACGACCCGGACCATAACGTATAAAAGGGGAGGTCTTCACCATGGTCACAGAGCTCTAACCTCCAGGTCCCAGCTCAACAACGCCAGCTCTCATCTCACGTCCAGAAACCTCCGGAATAGTAGAGTAGCCGGCATTCGCTATGGTTGGCATCTCCCACGTCGCTCTGGGCCTTTCGGCCATTGCGGCAACCCTGGCAGCGCCCACTCTCGAGCAGCGAGGCCCTGCCAACTTCGTTCTCCATCCCGACCATCCGCTTGCCCGCCGAGTCGGCAACATCACGGCGCGCTCCAACCCGACCTACACGCAGAACTACAAGACCGGAGGCACTGTCAACTTCTCTCCCACGGGTACTGGCTTCACGCTGAACTACAACGTTCAGCAGGACTTTGTCGTCGGAGTCGGCTGGAACCCCGGCACAACCCAGTAAGACAGCACTGTTACCTATTATTTTTTGATGAATGCCCAGCTGACCGTCACACGGGCCCATTACACACACGGGCACCTTCTCCGTCAACAGCGGCCTCGGCAGTCTCAGCGTGTACGGATGGAGCACCGACCCGCTGGTGGAGTACTACATCATGGAGGTGAACGACGGCATCACGGTCGGCGGTACGCAGATGGGCACGGTCGAGAGCGACGGCGGCACCTACACCATCTGGAAGCACCAGCAGGTCAACCAGCCGGCCATCGCCGGCTCGGGCCTGTACACCTTCTGGCAGTACATCTCGATCCGCAACTCGCCGCGCACGAGCGGCACCGTCACGGTCAAGAACCACTTCGACGCCTGGGCCAAGCTCGGCATGACCCTCGGCACCATGCACATACAGGTCGTGGCGGTCGAGAGCTGGAGCGGCAGCGGCTCGGCTTCGCAGACGGTATCAAACGACGGTGGTTCGGGCTCTACGACGCCCCCGAACTCCGGCGGCGGCGGCGGCGGCAGTGGTGGCGGGGGCAGCGGCGGCTCTTGCGCTGCTCTCTGGGGCCAGTGCGGTGGCCAGTCGTGGACGGGTCCGGCCTGCTGTGCGTCGGGGACTTGCAAGGCCTCGAACCAGTGGTATTCTCAGTGTCTGCCATAAGTCACGACTCACGACCTGGGAAGTGGGAACTGGGGGTTATTCAAACTGGCATTTAAACTTGAGAGTTTGTACATACGTACGGCTGTATGCATGGCCCGGAATTGTCCTAAAGGGTTCCAAAAGAGTACGATCTTGGCTGCTGCTGCTTTGACTTGCAGAAGTCTGCTGTTTAGAGCTTTGAAGCATTGACTATGGATAGATGTAGCATTGTCGGTACCAATCGAAGGTCATAGCCGCCTACCCGGTGATTAGCTTCATTTCTTCAATTGCTTGAAGCATTATGGTCAATGAAGCCAGCAATGGGCTTTCAAAAATTCAATCTGTTGTACGAGCCTCCATCCAGGCTTCCTTCGGTGTGCCTTTTCATGCAGGTTCCGACCGGCTGACTCAGACCCGGCCCCGGGAGCTAACACTTCCGGATTCAGGAACCAACATCTTCAGGAAGCAACGCCAGAGGGCGAGAACCGGTATGTTAACCCTCGTTGCGCTCGCCGACTTGATGGACTTCATCTTACAATCATTCTGAAGGAAGATGCTTGGAACGCAGGCATTTAAGGCAAACTTGCGAGGTACCGAGCGGGCTCAGGAACTGAACTGAGTTCACTCTAAGTCTCTAACAACCAATGCAACCATCACAAATTCAACCGCATTCACCTCTTTTTGTGATCTCAAATATTCCGGAAAAGCAACTTGAGGTCAGCTTTCTTCCAATCTAAAAGTTTCTCTTGTCTTCCTAACTCTGAATTCAGCGGTGGTAGAAACCAGTCACACACCACCCCCCTCTCCATTGTCTTCCCTGCTATCCAAAGCAAAACCCTCACCATGGCCGACAACGCCAACTCATCGTCAATTGCAACCCCGCGCATCAAGTCTACCTGGAGCGCGCCCGAGGTCGCCAACTATTTGGAGAGCCGGATGGCCCCGCTGCGGGCCTTCGCCAAATACAAAGAGCGCTCCTTCACGACGTCGAAGACGGTGCACATCCCGCTGCTGGAGGCGGCTACCAAGGACGCGCCCGACCAGGGCCCGACCGTCGTGCTGCTGGGCGACTCGATGCTCGAGCGCATGACCACCACGGGCCAGTCGCCCAACTTCACTGCGCCCTGGCCCTCGCCCGCGATGCTCCCGGACGGGGATCTCGAAGCCCTGAGGGCGACTCGCGAGGAGGAGGTGTTGGACATCGCCAAGAAAGCGCGCCGTCCCGCGCGCGACCTCATCCGTCGCGTCGACCGCGTCTTCAACGCCGGCGTGGGCGGCGACAAGATCCAGAACCTCGCCTACCGGCTGGTCGGCGACCCGTACCGCGGTCTGCCGGGCCTGCTGCCCATGCTGGCGCGGTGCGGCACCGTCAGGCTGTGGGTGCTCCACATTGGCACGAACCACCTGTCGCCGAAGCGCGGGCTGAGCGGGGCGGACATCGAGGCCCTGGAAGTGCTGATCGACACGTTGCTCCGTCTCCCGGCTACCAAAGGCGTGCATGGCAAGGTGCTGTTGACGGGGATTCTCCTCCGGAGGGAGGTGCCCCTGCGGCTGCGGCTCAAGGCGAATACGATGATTGAGGCCCTGGAGGTCAAGATGAAGATTCGATGGGGGGAGGAGAGGGTCGAGCGGTATGAACCCCGCGACCAGCTCAAGCCGGATGAGCACCTGGACGACCATGTGCACTTGAACCTGAAGGGCTACCAGTGGTGGATCCGGCTGTTTTTGGTGCATGTCGTCACCATGTTGGACGTGTCGGAGGTGGAGGCCGAGCGCTGGAAGTTGATGGGTGGATTCGAGCATGACCGACTGATCCCGTGGTTCGCCAACGACAACGACAACGACATTGCCGACGCCGAGAACGACAGCGCCCAAGCTGGACAGAATTAGGCTTGGTGCTAGGGGCGTCTGCGACTCTGCGCTGATTTTGCTTGTATGTTTGCTTTAGATCCCAAGATCTTAGCTCCTGAATCAGGAGGATTCATACCAGATGGTCCGAATCTAACATCGGGAGCCGGAAGAAAATGAGACTAGCTTGCGAATCTTTCGTTGACAGCGTCCGTTGAGCATCTACAGATGAATACGAGCATGTACCTAAGTAGTAGGCAAGTAAGGCGCCTTACCTAGGTAGGTACGGAATCTATCTCGAACCTGTATAAGTGTCCATTTGCCCAATCCGGCTGCGGCCCGCAAAGTGCCCGGATGTCCGGGATGTGTGGGTCCCTATGGCGGAGCTCCGTCGCTCTCCGACAACGGCTCCTCGGCAGCACGAGAGTCTGTACGGTATCCCCCCACTCTCCAAACTCCCCTGCCTAAGTCAGGTACCCTTATAGAATCCATTGCTCTTCTAACCTCTCCAAAAGAAAAAGACGGTAAAAAAACGCGAAACAAACAAAATAAAACAAACAAAATAAAACAAAGCCCCCCAAAAATGGCGCCAACAAAACCCCGCACCCTCCGCATCGGCGTCGACGTAGGCGGGACCAACACAGACGGCGTGCTGCTGGACCCATCCACGGCGCAGAATCAGATCCTAGCATGGCACAAATCCCCCACCACGGCGCCCGACCCGAGCGAGGGCATCGCGCGCACCATTCGCCATCTGCTTGATCATCATCATCATCATCATCATCATCATAATAATAATAATAATGATTCCTCCGCAGTGCCAGTGGTGGTGGCGTCTGTGACAATCGGCACCACAGCCTTCGTCAACGCCGTGGTCGAGCGGGACGCCGCGCGGCTGGACAAGGTCGCCGTCCTCCGGCTGTGCGGGCCGTTCAGCAAGCATGTCCCGCCCTGTGTGGACTGGCCGGCGGATCTGAGGCGGATTGTGTTGGGGTATTACGCGCTGGTGAGGGGGGTTTGGAGGTGGATGGCGGTCTGATTGGGGGCGTCGACATTGATGAGGGGCCCGAGGGGGAGATTGTGCGGGGTTTTTGTAAGGAGATTAGGGCCCGGGGCATCAGGGCTGTGGTGGTCAATGGCGTGTTTAGTCCGATTGATGCGGTCGCGAGGCAGGAGGAGAGGGCGGCGGCGGTGGTACGGAGGGAGGTGCCTGGGTGCGAGGTGGTTTGTACCAAGGAGGTGGCGAATCTGGGGTTTTTGGAGAGGGAGAATGCTGCGATCCTGAACGCGGCCATCTTGAGGTATGCGAGGAGGACGGTCGGGTCGTTTCAGAGGGCTGTGAGGGAGTTGGGCATGACGTGTCCGGTGTTTGTTACGCAGAATGACGGGACCATCTTATCGGCAGACATGGCGGCGCGGCTGCCCATCCGGACATTCTCGAGCGGACCTACGAACAGTATGAGGGGAGCGGCGTTTCTGATTCAGGGTCAGGGTCAAGAGGGTGGGGAGGGATCCGAAGGAGAGGCCATGATGGTCGTGGACATTGGCGGGACAACGACAGATGTTGGACTGCTGCTCCCGAGTGGGTTCCCAAGACAGCAGGCGGCGTACAGCGAGCTAGCTGGGGTGAGGATGGTAGGTCACCTGTCAACGCGACAACTCCTAACTTACTAGTATTTCGCTGCCTCGCTAATCTTGAACCCGGACCTGGACTAGAACTTCTCCTGTCCGGATATCAAGAGCATCGGCCTTGGTGGCGGGTCTATCGTGAGGAAAGGACCGCCCATGACTGTTGGCCCTGACAGTGTCGGGTACAAGTTAACCAAGGAATCAGTTGTTTTCGGGGGGAAGACTCTCACGGCCACCGACTGCGCCGTTTGTGCAGACCCAAGTCTGAACATCGGCAACCCGGAGCTGGTCAAGGGTTTGCTGACGGAACATGAGCTCGCCGAGTTCAAAGCCGTCGTCCGATCTAAGCTCGAGCGGATCGTTGATACCATGAAAACATCGCCAGCAGATCTTCCGGTGGTCCTTGTGGGAGGCGGTGCAATCATTGCCCCAGCTCAGCTGAAGGGCGCAAGCAAGGTGCTCAAGCCGCAGTGGTCACAGGTCGCCAACGCCATCGGCGCAGCCATCGCCCGCGTGAGTGCTGTTGTCGATACCATCAGGTCTACAGAGAGGTGCACAACGCAGCAGTTGCTTGCTGAGCTTTGTGAGGAAGCCCTCGACAAGGCCTTTGCTGCGGGGGCAACGAGAGAGTCTGTCGAGATTGTCGAGCAAGAGGCCATGCCGCTACAAGTAAGTGCTCCTGCTCTCTCGAGTTGCGAACTCCCAGACTGACTCGAAGAATAGTACATCGCAAATAAAACCCGCTTCATCGTCCGCGCGGTCGGGGACTTTGATTTCTCCAGAACCGACCGCAACGATGGCACCACTACAACCTCGCTTCAACCAGACCTCGAAACCGACGAAACAGGATCTTCGCCTAGACCAGAAGCCCAGATACCAGTACTAGTCCCCTCCCAAGAACCGCCGGCAGTGGACATCCCCACCTATCGCCCAATCGTCCGCAACCGGGTGTGGTACATCAACGAAACCGACCTCTCCTGGATCTCCACGGGCTGTTACATCCTCGGCACCGGCGGCGGCGGCTCCCCTTACCCCAGCATGATCCTGCTCCGGCAACTCCTCCGCGCCGGCGCCGTGGTGCGCGTAGTCAGCCCGGTCGACGTGCCCGACGACGGCGCCGTAGGCTGCGGGTGCGGCGCGGGCAGCCCGACCGTGGCCATCGAGAAGCTGCAGGGCGACGAGATGATGGAAGCCCAGACCGAGCTCTACAAGCTCTTACCCGGACGACCCCCCTCCGACAAGAAGAACAGACCCACGCACATGATCGCGCTCGAGATCGGCGGCGCCAACGGCCTGCAGGGGCTCACGCTCGGCGCGAGCGCCAACATGGACCTGCCCTGCGTCGACGGCGACTGGATGGGGCGCGCCTATCCGACCAAGTGGCAGACCACGCCCGTGGTGTTCTCCCGTGAGGAACAACGGCGCATCATCTGGGCGCCCTCGTGCATCGCCGACGGCAGCGGCAACGTGGTGGTCATGCCGCGCGCGTCGTCCGACGCCCAAGTCGAGCGCGTCCTGCGCGCCGCCCTGGCCGAGATGGGCTCGCAGGTCGCCGCGGCCGATCCGCCGGTGACGGGCCGGGAGATGAAGCGCTGGGTCGTGGAGAATACGGTGTCGCAGGCCTGGCGGATTGGGAGGGCGGTTGCGAGGGCGAAGGGGGAAAATCGTCTGGATGGTGTGGCCGAGACGATTGTGCACGAGTGTGGGGGGCCAGGCGCTGCGAGGGTGTTGTTCAAGGGCAAGATTGTTGGTGTTGAGCGGTCGCTGAGGCAGGGGTATGTCTATGGAGAGTGCATCATTGAAGGGGGTGAGGTGGGTGATCCCGATGCGAGCAGCCCGGGTGGTGGTCGTAGTGAAGGACCTACTAGTACTGCCGGACAGTTCAGGGGGCGCATCAAGATCCCCTTCAAGAACGAGAACATCGCCGCCGTCCGGGTGCCCGACGATGCTAGAGACGGGGAGCTGGAGAGACAAGAGGACGTGCTGGCCATCGTGCCGGACCTGATCTGCGTCATAGACGCGCAGAGCGGGGAGGCTGTCGGCACGCCCGAGTATCGGTACGGTCTGCTGGTCATTGTCTTGGGCATTGCGGCGTCAGAGAAGTGGACCAGTACACTAAGGGGCATAGAGCTCGGGGGTCCGAAGGCGTTTGGGTTCGAGCACCTAAACTACCAGCCACTGGGCAGGTTCGTCAAGCCGGTGAGCGTCATCGATGAGTTCGACGGAGCATCGGCATAACGGGCGGACTACAGAATCTCATCATTAAGAGGACGGAGACGACCCGCCGTAAATTCCCAGAAACTGACAACGTGCTCTTATCTAACCGGGTATCATCCTATCGTCAGTCATCACAGTCATCAAGTTTTTTAATAACGGGTCTCCCCCCTCCCAACACCCAGCATCCCGTCGTCACTCCTCCCCATTCTCACTAGCTCAGTCGGAATCATAATCCCGTGCCGGACAGCAGCCCCAACAGCCATCAACACAGTCACAGCAAACCCAGCAGCAGCAAAAGGCGCTGCAAAACCAGGGCCAGAAGCTGGGGGGTTCTTCCCGCCTCCGCTTCTCCACGACAATGATGCGCGTGGGAGAAGGTGAGGCGGGTCGCGGCCCTTCGACCTCGATTATGACGCCCCGACCCCTTGTCGGGGCATGGTGGGCTCTGGGAGGTGGCGGAGCGCTGGGATTCCGGTCCTAGTTAGCGGGAATGGTGCATCACGATGACCGTCTGTCGGTCTTAGAGGTGGGGGGGGGTGGGGGGGGTTATGGACCGCGGTTGGGATACGGGATGGGAAAGGAGTAGAGGGACCTTGCTCGGTTTCTGCTTGAAATGCGACATACTAATATTGCGGTGGCGGCTCGGGCTCGTAGTAATAACTCATTGTGCCTCTGATCTCTGTCTATCCCTCCCAAAATACGAGCCACCACACTCTCACCTTAGCAAATGCGCTCCTTTGAGAGAGTATGCTATGACGTGACTCGATCGATCGAAAGAGATTGGAGGGGTCCTGGGGCCGGGGCTGGTCGGGACAATGGGACAGGAACTGGAAGTCGACCGCAACCTGCAGGACAGCTTGAGTGCGATGCGCCCGAACAGGTGACGCTTTGCGGGCGGTATGGCGGATCGGCAGGTCTCACCTGGCGAAACAGGTGGAGGGCCCGGGGGGCAGGTTCCGGCCCTGGAGTGGAAGACGAGGGCTGGCCTTGAATTATATATCGTTTCGTTTTAATCCGGTTTTGAGCGGGGTCGAAAGAGCCAGCCTTGTTTCACGCCGCCTTTTTGCACTCAGATCTGGGCGTTTGCGGCGAGGGCGGCACAGCCGCCAGAAGAGGAAAAGCCGCCCAGCTGCATGTCAGCTTGTGTAAGCAGTGGGAATCAGTGCCAATTGCATGCATGTTCGACGGCTTTGGGGACATGAGCACTCTGACATATAATGTCGTGGAACTTGGAGCATGCGTTGCGGTAGCCAGTCGCGATGCGGAGTGGAGTGTATGGGATGCTTTATTCCGTCCATGGCTCAGCGACAGAGCCCTGTCAAGCAACTGGCTGAAGACAGTCTTTCGCTCGACCGATACTAGAACGTCCCACTATCCTCTACTCGGTCGGGCCACAGTGTCAATCATTGTGGTCTGGACTATGCTTGCTTTTCTTCACCAATGCTTGCTGTCGTCACGGGTTAATCCCGAGGGATCGGCGGCCATCGGGACGCCAAGCCGGTCTGGTGGGCCCCGAAAGGACTCGAGGCGGGGCCGGGTCGGCGCCGTGTTTCGAAACGAAAATAGCAGCTATGGGGATGGTCTGGGCCGTCGCGGTCGGAGCCAGTAGACCTCGTCGGAACTCAGTCGCCTTGGAATTATGGGGTTCTGTTGAGGCCGCTATGCATTGGTATATTGTTGCTCGTAGCTCCTAACGCTGTGCCTACTTCTCATCACGGGTGCTAAGTACTTGTAGTCTTGCTTTTCCTTTTTCGGGTCAGCTTTCCCGGATCATCGCCCGCTCTGTTGGTTGTCGAGGACACATATCGCCGAATATCACTACACGACAAAACCCCTTCCCTGGCCCAGGTGGCGATAACGACCCTACGATGGGTGTTCCCGTTGTCTTGGCAACGATGGCTGCCTGCGGTAGCATCGTGACGTCGATCAAGTCGAGCTGGGAGCTCCGTCGCATGGTCAAGCGGAAGCAGGAGGCCAAGGAATGCGACGAGGAGGCACCTTACGTTTTCCGCAGGCTGCGGAGAGCCTACCACGACGGCCTCATGTCTGTCATTGAATATGAGCAGTGGTACGAGAAGTTCTTGGTGGCCAAGGTCGAGAAGGACTGTGAGTTCTCTTGATATTCGGAGCAAAAGCATGCTGTTCGTTGCAAGCGGAACGAGTCTGACGGGGTCCCCGGCAGTGTCGGCTATGCGGAGGATTCGAGCACACCTACGAATCCTGGAAAATGGTGCACCGGTGGCAGACGGCCAACGCTCGAAGCGGATCGAAGGAGGCAGGCGGCGACACTCGGTTTCCTTCGCTTCCAACCCTACGTACGTTGACTACCAACCAAGCAGGCCCAGCCTCGAGTACCGCCCAGACCGGCATGCGCATGTTGGTGCGCGGCCCGAGCAATTTGTTCGCCTTGAGCGACAGGCCACTTACAGCCGGGGTTCCTCATCGGACGCCTCGTCCCGAGCCAGAAGTCGGAGCACATCGGTGCGTCAGGAGCCGAGGGGTCGACCCGCGAGGCGATATGACAGCTCCGATAGTAGCAGCGACAGCAGCGACTACTACTATGAGAAAAGGCATATCCGCGGCAGAAGCTTGCACCGATAGCCGTCTATGGCGCGCACGGAGAGGGGGCATGAGCTTTAGCGTGGGACAAGTAGGACTAAGTAGGCGATGTCTTGGCCACATGGAATTTCCGGCATGATGTTCTTTAATGAGTTCTCGTTTTCTTTTGAACTTTGAAATGATGATGAATCTTGCATAAGCTTGCCATCAACTGAGCTAATTGCGAGGCATAATGTAGCTCCGGGCTTCTACTTCAGGTGAGCTCAGCAGTTGTTGTGGAACGGAATCATGGATGATGGAGAGTTGGCGGGGCCAGATTCTGCAATTCCTCACCGCCAAAATTTTCCCAGTTGTCCCGCCTGACCCTGGCCCGAATCGAGACTGGACATCCAATAACTGGAGTTAGAGCACACCACAGTCACGAACATGGCCACAGTACTACCGCCGCCGTCGAAGCGACAAAGGAGAGAAGAGATCGAGCGCACCCAAACGCAACAAGATGTCGCGCCACTATTGGCTACCGACCTCGGGTCCTTCAAGGCCAACTTCGTCGACAGCGATGGCAATCAGATGGCCGACGTGATCGAGATCAACTTCGCCGATGCCACAGAGAAGAATGTGTCGACGCTGTTGAACACACTGTTAGGGAGGGTACGGCCGTAGTCTTGTAGACTATTTATAACGACGAGGTGCTGACAGCAGATGTGGTAGGACCGAGAAGATTTCACCCCCTATCGCTTCCGCATCCACATCCCTGGCAAAGATGTTATCATAGACCAATATCCCAGCGACCTGCTTGGCCTGCTGCAAAAACATGGCGTTAATAATCCCTTCGAGTACGTTCGACCGAGCCGCTTTCCCGGACCGAATTCGTCAGGCTTAACACTCCATCTAGGACCACAATCACCCTTAGTGCAGAGCCGCAGGCCGTCTTTAAGGTCCACGCCGTCTCGCGTCTAGCCCATCGCATTCCCGGCCACGGGCAACCAATCTTGTCTTCGCAGTTCTCGCCGGTATCGTCGAGCCGTCTGGCGACCGGAAGCGGCGACAACACGGCCCGCATCTGGGACACAGACTCCGGCACTCCGAAGCACACTCTAAAGGGGCACACGGGGTGGGTGCTGGGGGTGAGCTGGAGGCCGGACGGCGAACAGCTAGCTACCTGCTCCATGGACAAGACAGTCCGTATATGGGATCCGGAAACGGGAAAGCCTTTCGGGCAGGAGCTCAAGGGCCACGCCAAATGGGTGCTGGCCGTGGCATGGGAGCCATACCACCGTGAGTGCGGCCCGCGTAGCGTACTAGTAGTCTGTCGGTGCTGACATATGTATGATCAGTTTGGCGAGACGGGACCGCCAGGCTGGCAAGCGCGAGCAAAGACGGGACCTGCCGAATATGGGTCGTAAACCCCGGACGCACTGAGCATGTCCTCAGCGGCCACAAGGGCTCTGTTAGCTGTGTGAGGTGGGGCGGAACCGGCATGATCTACACAGGGTCTCACGACAAGTCTGTTCGAGTCTGGGACGCGGTGAAGGGGACCTTGGTGCACAACTTTACCGCCCACGGGCACTGGATCAACCACATCGCGCTGTCGAGTGATCACGCCCTCCGGACCGCCTACTTTGACCATACCGGCGACGTGCCCGAGACCGAAGAGGCCAAGAGGGCAAAGGCGAAGGAGAGGTTCGAGAAGGCTGCCAAGATCCAGGGAAAGGTAGCCGAGCGGCTGGTCTCAGCGAGTGAGTTGTCTGTGATGCGGCGTCTCTCGTGCTCACTGACATCTGTTTAGGTGATGACTTTACCATGTATCTGTGGGACCCCACCAATAATGGCAACAAGCCTGTAGCAAGGTTGCTTGGCCATCAAAACAAGGTGAACCAGGTGCAGTTCTCGCCGGACGGGACCATGATTGCCAGTGCCGGTTGGGATAACCACACGGTTAGTGCTCCCTTACTTCGGCCGCGCTGTCTCGTGCAAGCAACTAACTGTCCCGATGCAGAAACTATGGAATGCCAGGGATGGCAAGTTCCTGAAGAGCTTGAGGGGTCATGTCGCACCGGTAAGTCATTGTCCAACGATCGAGCGCTTCCTGCTGCAGCCGGCACTTGCTGATACAACTCACAGGTCTATCAATGTGCGTGGTCTGCCGATAGCAGGCTCCTCGTTACGGGCAGCAAGGACTGCACTCTCAAAGTGTGGAACGCTCGGAACGGCAATCTCGCGATGGACCTTCCGGGTCATGAAGACGAGGTAGGCTTAGCCCCGAGATATACCCGCGCCTCCTTCTTCTTTTCCTCTTTCTCCTATCTAACATGCGCCTACCAGGTCTACGCAGTCGACTGGGCGGCCGACGGGAAGATGGTCGGCTCGGGTGGGAAGGACAAGGCCGTGAGGACGTGGAGGAACTGAGGGAACTGACTGAGGGGGGAAGGACGGAAGCCGATGATACCCTGCCATGCCGTGCTCCATACAAGAGACCTATCTAACTCGAATGAGAGCGAGAAGCGACCGCCTCATTGCGGACCGAACTGCACTTGTGAACCTCTCTCTTACCTTACTCCTTGAGGGCTGGGCCGTGCGGAGTAAGTATCGTATGTACCTTACCTAGGGAACCCCTCAGCGATATCGCATCAACATCGTATCAGAACAGCCCGGCAGAGACCCAATATCACGGCACTATGCTTTTCGAAAAGTGGAAAGTGGAAACGCCGAGGAACGGTTCGGCTTAGCGATTTTCCCCAGACGGGCTCGTTCCTGCGCTGCGCAGTGGGCCAGAGTTTAAAACTGGGGAATGGCGTGCCGCTTGCATGGCTGCAATGCGCTTCGGGTTCCCCCCAGCATCTATCTAGGTAGTGGGTGGGTGGTTGGTAGTTACTGTGGTAGTCGCGATCGACGCGAAAACGAGCCGCGACGGTTGGAGAAGCAAGAAGGGGAGGTCTTTCGGCATATGGTTCACGAAACAAAATATCATGATTTAAGTGGTGCGAGGGGAGTCTTATGGATGGTGGTGTGTGGTCTCTGGACTCCGGAGAGGGTTCGGCGTTTGAGATTTGAGATGTGAGATGTGATATGTGGAATGTGATATGTGAGATGTGAGAGTATTCAGGACGGGAGGTTGATAGCTTCGGATTAGGGGAAGGAAGTTAGAACTCTCTACACTACACTCCAATGGAGCAGATGGTCTGGAACCGGGAGCGAATTTCCACAGGAACAGGAGTATCGTGTCGGGCTCAGGTATGTACTGTAGGTTCCGTACCTGGCCATGAACCACGGCGGTACAGACCTATACTACAGTCCTGTGGTAGGCGTCCCTCCTGGCGCTGCAAGATCCGAGTTCAGCTGCTGTGCCATCGCCGGCATTGCCGGGAGATGATCCGGGGGCTGCTCCAGTTCCAGGGTTGCATCGGCCGGACATCTGCCAGGCCTCTCGCCGTCGGGCCCGCGATCGACTTCGATGAGGCCTCTGGGAAAGCCCGGCAATGGAACCTCCTCCTTTCACTTTGCGAATGCGGTGTTGCTGGCTGGCCTGCAGGCCACATTGTATCCGTACCGTACATACATGCAAAATGCCCCGTCATCGGCTGCTTCGAGTTTTTGTCCTGCATTGGCCCACCTGCCCGACTGAGACGGCTTTGGTGATGATGAGGGGCTGTGATACGCTGTGTTGCTTGGACAGATCAACGTGAACCAAGGCTATCCAATGCGGGCCGTCCCATTGCTGGAACTTCGTGTTTGGCCGAGAGGTTTGGTTCTCCTTCAGCAAGCGTATCCTTGCAGCAAGCAATACATGCCAGCTTAATTGGTGTAACCGGGCTGGTTCATGGTTTTGATGCTGGTGGGGTGTTTCATAGGGTGCGATAATTCCAGATAGGTATCCCAGCCGGCGCATGCTCGGCGATTTTCTTGTTTGCTTCACCCGTCAACCACCAGATCTGTTTTGTTATGGGTTTGAGATGCAAGCAGGTACCGTGGTAACCATCCGTCAGGCATCCATTGCTTCACTAAGTATGAGCTATTTTTTCGAGTGAGGATAGGTAAGTCCGGCCGAGAGACATGGGCGAAGGAAATGGCCCCGGGGGCTGGTTTGCTGCCGCGCCTGGTTTCGGGAAGCCGAATGGAAGACTGAATGGAATGGAAATTCGAGTTTAGCCTATCAAATCCCCATTTCAATTCGGAAGATCTCGGGTGTCCCACTCCCCATGCACATTTTGGTTGCCGCACTTCAAACGGCCGGGCCCCATGTGGCTGGGTCAGATCTTGCGCGCTGAGGCATGAAAATTTTCCTTTTTGTGTTGCCAAGCCATTTTCTTGAAAAGTCGCCGGCCGGAAGGGTGCTGCGCTCTGCATCGCATCAGCAGCGCAACATAGATGAAGCTTCACCCAATGCGCACCAGCACGTTTTCCGGGCCGAGGCTCTGACTGGACGGGAGTTCGGTTCAATCCGATGTGATTGTGAGCCAGCATTGCGGCATGACTTTGTTGGGTTCCGCCTCCAGATTGTTTGAGGTTCATGGATTCGACAGCCGCCCCGACGGAGGGGTAACTGGCATGTGGGGTTGAGGTTGAGGTTGAGGTGTGCCTGCAATGCCAAGACATCGTCATAGCTCAGAGTGTTGGACAAAACCAAACGGATTCACAAGTGCTGGCCACTGCAACGCCAAAGCCAAAAAGGTCTTCTACGATTGGGGTGATGAGTGGTGGCCTTTGTTGTGCTATCGTTCATTTACCTGACCATCGCCTAATAATGAACCGCTCCCTTGAAGGTGGTGCCTCGGCCGGGTTGACGGACTCAGAAGCCGGGACAGTTTACACAATTTGTGGACGGGCATTGAATGGCACCTGCCGTTGCATGGGTCTCAAGCCTTGATGGAAAGAGAATTGATGGAAAGCCAAGTCCTACAACAAGCCCGGGAATGCCTGTAGCCGTTACACCAAGTCCAAGACTTCTCGATTTGTCTTGATGCAGCACCATAAGCCCCTACGGACCAATCCTTCAGGGCGCTTGGCGACCGTCACAGGCGTCTGTGAGTCTTTGTTCCCAAGTGCTGTTGGAGGCCGCTCATCAGGTGTAGGTCAGCAAAGAAACGTTTCTTCTGCCGTGTCGCTCCCCTGTTGATTGGCGAGTTTCACGTAGGAGGTGTGTCAATTGATAAGCTCTGCCCTCCAATGCAAATTCACTAACGAGCTGACAGGCCAGTCGTGAACGTCAACTTCATGCGTCGAGTCTATCAATTGGGTCTGGCCTTTGTCGATCTCATCTTACTCTTACGCAGTAAAACACTGCCGCTCTTCTGCTTCCGGCCTAAGCCCTCTTTACAAGATGCAGCTCATCAGCTGCTGTTCTCATGTGGCCTAATTTGGGCGTTGTGAGGCATCAAATTACGTTACGGTTGAAGGACGGACGCAACCTGCAGTAGGTGAGCCCTGACAACGCAGCTCCCAGGAGGAGCACTCCTGAAACAGAATATGCATTTTGCTCCAGCACACCTTAGGTGTCTTTGCAACACTACATTATGATCTACTAGTACTAACCACAACCCGATCAGTTCAAGTTGAGAACTGCCATGGTACGGCAGCAATGGAGGACGTTTCTTACAAGGTTATTTACAGATAGCTTACACGGGGCGGAACGCGCCTCCCCTGTCGTTATAAGCGGGCCCCTTGCTGGATCCAGTCTGGGCTAGGATGACGAGCATCAGTGCGGGACAGCTGCTGCCCAGCCAGGGCCGCCCCACTGGCAGCGTTCCCTCGAGAAACTTCCTCATCTTGTGTGAATCGAGCTCCTCGTCCGGATAAAAAATGACTGAAGTTCCTCTACATTTCCATGCGTTTCGTGATCCTCAAATTGAGAGGAGGGCTTGGATAATTTCTATGATAACCCCCTTTTCTGTCTTCTCTCCTTAAGGTTCTCAGGTTCCCGCCCTATCCACCCGCTGCCCCTCACCACCATCGGCCCAGCGACCCAGCCACAGTGGCCTGAATATCTCAACCAACGAAGCAACTACAATAGGCAACGAGACCACATTATCATCCCTTGGCAGCTTGTCAACCATTGTGTATGTACGACGTCCCTTACGTACTCGGTTGGTTGTGGTTCTGTGCTGGTCCAGAATTCCAAAGAACAATGGGATCCGCAGCTTCTGGGGCCGTTACGTCACAGGCAATGTTTGCCGGCTGTTCTTGGGTCGCACCGGGCGCTAACATTCCCTTGTCTTCACAACACATGGACCACAATATAAACCAAAGACCGCAGCTCATTCATGGTGCTTCACGTGCTTTGGATCTTGCCATTGTTGCTGACTCCTGACACAGATCTCCTTGGGTAGCCATCAATCTTAACCCCTTTGGTCCTTGTGGTCACTCTGTCACCGGCGCCCGTTCCATTGTCCTCCTCCGTTTGATAGCTTCGGAGCTGGGCGGAAGACTCCTCTGCTTCTTGTGCGGACATCGTCTGAACTCCGCCTGTTTCACGGACCTCCACTGCGCCCTCATCGGGAACGCCACGCCGAGCATCTGCCTCGTTCCGCCTCGTTCCGCTCCACCTCGGCCGGCCTCAGGCTTCCGCACCGTTTCGGTGACCCCCAGGACCCGCCGGACCGCTAGACCCGCGCCCCTCCGATCTGATCTAGTTCCGTGAACCGACCGTGTTAATGTGCACATAAATCTGCGCCGTTTCTCCGGACCGACAACCTTTCTGCCATAACCGTTTCCATCACCAACACTTCCTCCATGGGCTCGACATACGGAGCCCAATAACACGAGCTCCTTACCTGGACGAACCAACCGTAACTTTCTCGGAACGGCGAGACAGCCTTTCCAGTCCTCTGTTCCTTTTGAGTCGTCATCTCTGCCGCCCATCATGACGGTTTTCATTGCCTCTCTGTGAGTGCAACTCCGTTCCGGCAACCTCTGGCTCTGGCAGTCGCCTGGACCGACGCATTCACGGAGCTTCGCCTATGCCGGTCGTAGTATCCGGTGGTGGAAATTACTGACCAGCCGCTTTGTGTAGTTTCCTTCCCAAGACCATTCACTTTACCCTTCCGGGCACTCCTCCGCGTGGGGCGGCCTCCGAGAAGAAGCAGCCCGGTAAGGCCGCAAAGCCGGCTCCTCTCGAGCGACAGCCCAGCCTGTTCCAGCCCCCTCAGGACATTACGCCGCCCGTCACGCCGACCGACGAGAAGAAACCAGAGCATGCCTTCACCAACGAAAATGGATTGCGGGTGCATATCCCGCCCGGCGAGCCCGGTGCCCTCCGCGCGCCGGCGGACCGGAGCTCTCCTACCTGGGGAGGCCGGGCCGACCAGCCCATGTCGCGCGCCAACTCGCCGCCGCCGCCGCTTCTAATCGAGCAGAGCGGGCTCCGGGCCAAGGCGAAGGAGCTTGGCCGCCGGGGCGTGACGCAGCCGCGCTCACTGGCCCGTAGTGACAGCCATGACCGTGTTTTTGCCCACGCCGACTGGAAGGTGGTCAACGCCGACCAGGGCAACGGAGGCCTGCGCAACGCCGCCGAGGCCGCGGCCAGGGAGGGCAAGCTGGGGGAGTACCAGTGGGTGGGCACGCTCGGCATGCCGACTGACGCACTCAAGGGCACCCAGCAGCTGCAGGACATCCAGGACACGCTGGCCACGGAGCACGACATGCTGTTGGTGAACTGCTCGGACAAGGACTTCGATGGCCATTACTCTCACTTCTGCAAGCAGATCCTGTGGCCCGTTTTCCACTACCAGATCCCGGACAACCCCAAGAGCAAGGCGTACGAGGACCACTCGTGGAAGTACTACGTCAACGTCAACCAGTCCTTCGCCGATAAGATCGTCCAGCACTGGCGGCGCGGCGACGTCATCTGGATCCACGACTACCACCTGCTGCTCGTGCCGGGCATGGTGCGCAAGAAGATCCCCGATGCCAAGATCGGCTTCTTCCTGCACGTGGCGTTCCCCTCGTCCGAGGTGTTCCGGTGCCTGGCGGTGCGAAAGCAGCTCCTGGAGGGCATGCTGGGCGCCAACCTGATTGGCTTCCAGATCCACGAGTACACGCGGCACTTCCTCCAAACCTGCAGCCGCATATTGAGCGCTGAAGCAACGCCCGACGGGCTCCAGCTGGAGGATCGCTTCGTGGACGTGGTCAACCTGCCGATCGGCATCGACCCGGTCAGCCTGAGCGCGCACCGTGAGGAGGCCGAGGTGAAGAAGTGGATGGACATTATGCGTGACCGCTACGCCGGCAAGAAACTCATCGTTGCGCGCGACAAGCTCGACCACGTGCGCGGCGTGCGGCAGAAGCTGCTGTCGTACGAGCTGTTCCTGAATAAGAATCCGGAGTGGCGCGACAACATCGTGCTGATCCAGGTGGCGCTGTCGACGAGCGAGAAGAGCGAACTGGACGCGACGGTGTCGGACATAGTAACCCGCGTCAACTCGTCCTGGGCGAACCTCGCGTACCAGCCGGTCGTGTACCTGAAGCAGGACATCGACTACGCGCAGTACCTGGCGCTGCTGAGCATCGCCGACGCGCTGATGATCACCAGCCAGCGCGAGGGCATGAACCTGACATCTCACGAGTTCCTGTACTGCCAGGACGGCAAGATCAGCGAGAAGAAGCACGGGTCGCTGATCCTGTCCGAGTTCACGGGTACGTCGTCGCTCTTCGGCGGCAACGAGCTGTCGGTCAACCCGTGGGACTACCGCGCCTGCGCCGAAGCGATCAAGAAGGCGCTCGAGATGGGCGACGAGGAGAAGGAGCGCCGCTGGAGCCGGCTGTACGAGGCCGTAAACCACCACACCGGCTCGCACTGGTTTACGGAATTCATGTCGCGCCTGGACCGTGTGTACGAGGAGCAGCACCGGCGCGACACGCTGTCGGTCCCGCGTCTCTCGATGCACACGCTCGTCAGCCAGTACACGAGCAGCGAGCGCAGGCTCTTCATCCTCGACTTTGAGGGCACCCTGGTCAGCTGGGGCCCGGTCAACCAGATCATCCCGGTCAGCCCGCAGGTAAGTTAACATCTCAGCATTCAGCATTCAGCTTTATTCTTCTGCTTTCTTTCGTCCAGTGCCTAGCTGACTGACTGTCCTTCTTTTAGCGCACCATCGACATCCTGAATGATCTGCTCCTCGACGAGCGGAACACGGTGTATGTCATGTCCGGTCGACGCCCGGAGGAGCTCGATCGTCTGTTCCGGCGCGTGCCCAACCTCGGCCTCATCGCGGAGAATGGGTGTTTCCTCAAGGACTGCGGCAGCCCGGACTGGACCGAGGTGGCCGACTCGGACCAGATCCGCAGCTGGAAGGAGTCGGTGCGCAACATCCTGACCTACTACCTGGAGCGCACGCCCGGCGCCGAGATCGAGGACCGGCGCTGCTCGCTCATCTTCCACTACAAGTCGGCCGAGGACTACGAGGCCGCGCTTCGCCAGGCGTCCGATTGCGCTAGTCACATCAACGACGCATGCGAAGCGCAGCGCGTCCACGCCATCCCCCTGGACGGCTGCGTCCTCGTCGAGCCCATCGACTGGACCAAGACCACGGCGGCCCAGAAGATCTTTGCCGACCTGCGCAGCTCGCTGGCGCCCGACGAGCACCACAAGTCGCCCGTCGACTTCCTCATGGTCGTCGGCGACGGCCGCGAGGACGAGAAGGTCTTCAAGTGGGCCAACATCCTCGGCGACGAGGGCACCGTCAAGCAGGTCGTGACCGTGAGCCTGGGTACTAGGAATACCGAGGCCAAGACGACCATGACTCAGGGGGTCAATGGTAATCATTTTCCTTCACGAACTGCTCCCTTTAATTTATTAGAGATGATCCAGCCTGCTGACTACCTAACTTCCAACAGGCGTCCTCTCGGCACTCCAGAAGCTGGCGTCCCTCGCGTAAGCAAGTTGGCCGGCCTTTGCCCCTCTCACGGCACAGCACATGCCAACCTTTGGTGATCTCGTGCAGGTCCGGCGTCCCGGCGCGTCACCGCCGGAAGAGTTCAGCGAGGATCCCGATTCCTCTGCCTCGCTAACCTTTTTCGCCTTCTTGATTTGGAGGGGGCGTCTCCTTTTTTTTCCCTTCTCCTCTTTCCATTTCTACTCGATCTCTACTTTCCTTCGTTCCTCGATACATGCTGTTGCTGGACGGCCACTCCCCTCGTGCAAGAGGCACATTCAGGGGGATCTCATTCCTTTTTTGCTTTTTCTCTTTTCGCGATGGTGTTTCTGCCTGCTCCCCGCGTTCTTTTCTCCCTTCGGCTGGCGCGTCCCCCGTACCCGCTTGCTAAATATACGCAGCAACGTACCGGATCCAACGGACGGCATCTCGGGATGTGCTTGAAGCGTATGGGGAGGGAACAATTGGGGCGATCATGCCCATGGATATGGAGCGACTGCGGTTGAGTTGAAAAAGGAGGCAAGCGAATCTGGCTCTGTTGCTAGATGATGAACGGGGGGGAAACGAATTAGCTGCCCGATAACTAGTGGTCAGCATGAGGCAAACTGTTGTGCAATATGGAAGCCCGGCATTTGGGCAAATGGGGGTTATCAGGCCAAAGAATGGAGGGCGCCTGGTAGGTAGGGCTTTTTAGACTCGGTGGATTTCGGGAATTGGCGCATCTCAATGGCTCAATCCAACAACAAATCATGGCTCTGGCGTCCGGCGTATTTTTCTGCGTTTGGGCTCGCCCGTTGCTCGATAACGACATGTCGATTTGGCTTTTTGCTATGTGTAAAATATATACGGATACCTCGATTGACAGCTGGGGGATCTTTATAACGTGAGGTACACCAATCCACACCGGTACACGATGTGATCTAAGTGGAAGGTGAGGTGTTCTGAACACTTCAATTTCTCCCTTGGGAGCAGTGGGTGACATCACCTCCGCAATCGGAGTGCGGGGCATATCTCCCTTGTCGTTGCCAGCGCCTTACCCCGCCATCACAGGCCCAATGAGATCTGTCTCGCACTGCAGAAACAGAAGGATTGCCAAGCGAGGCTAAAAACAGCTACGTCCAGCTTACCAGCTACAGCTCTTCGAGTTTGGGAGCTGATCCGAATCGGAGCAAGACCATTCCGTTGCGTGTCTTGACGAGAGAAATCCCCGTCGGCGGTCGCTCAGCACCCTCTAACGGTCACACCATAATATCTGCTCACTGACTCACCGAGTGTTCGAGGACGTGGTCTTTTTCCGGTGGAAAGGTCATTGTGTCTTCCTTCGGGTTCGACTACAGCCCAGCCAGTTCCCGCGAGCGCGTAGCCTACTATAGATCACCACCTACTTCGAACCCCGACGTCAACCCGGCACATCCGACACACACACCATGGCGTCCTCCTTCCCTCCCCCGCCGGTCAACACGATCGACTGGTCCAACGTCGGCTTCCGCGTGCGCGAGGTCAACGGCCACATTGAATCGCACTACTCGGTCCAGACGGGCCAATGGTCGCCCCTCGAGTTCGTCACCGACCCGTACATCCGCATCCACGGCATGGCGCCCGCCCTCAACTACGGCCAGCAGGCCTACGAGGGGCTCAAGGCCTTCCGCCTGCCGGGCGACTCGGCCATCGCCGTGTTCCGGCCCGACCGCAACGCCGCCCGCCTGCAGCACTCGGCCGCCTTCATCTCGGTGCCGCCCGTCCCCGCGGACATGTTCCTGGCCGCCGTGAAGGCCGCCGTCGCGCTCAACGCCGAGTACGTCCCGCCGCACGAGACCGGCGCGGCCATGTACATCCGCCCGCAGGTCTACGGCTCGTCGGCCCAGCTCGGGCTCAGCCCGCCCGAGGAGTACACGTTCTGCGTCTATGTCCTCCCCACGGGCGTCTACCACGGCACGCACCCCGTGAAGGCGCTGGTGCTGGACGAGTTTGACCGCGCGGCGCCCAACGGCACCGGCAGCGCGAAGGTCGGTGGGAATTATGCCCCCGTGCTGAGGTGGAGTGAGAGGGCGAGGCAGGAAGGGTACGGCATCACGCTGCATCTGGATAGCAAGGCCCATGAGGAGGTGGATGAGTTTAGTACGAGTGGGTTCATTGGGGCCGTGGTGGAGGGGGAGGAGGTCACGCTCGTCGTGCCGGACAGTAGGGCGGTTATTGAGAGCGTCACGAGTGACAGTGTGCAGCAGATCGGGAGGAGCTTTGGGTGGAAGGTTGAGAAGCGGTCGGTGAGTGGTCGCCCTTTTTCTTCTTTCTCTTCTTCTCGCTATTCTATCGGAGGGCAGGGATCTGCGGAAGCCTGGGGTGTCGCTCAGAGCCGGCCCAAAGCCAACTGAGGCCCGTAGCGTGGCACTCGCTTTCATAACCGGGGCTGTACACTGCGGAAAAGACGCTGTCTGTTTCTGACTGCTTTGCTGACATCCCGACTAGATCAAATACTCGGAGCTGCCCAACTTCACAGAAGTCATGGCGGCGGGTACCGCGGCCGCTCTCGTGCCGATCCGGTCCATCACGCGGCGCACCGCCCCCTCGCTTCCGAAGCATCCCCGCGTGTCGGTCAGGGACGGCGAGGAGACGGTGACCTACATCCCCGAGGGCAACGAGGAACCGGGGCCGATCTTCAGCAAGCTGATCTCCCAGCTCAAGGGCATCCAGCTCGGCAAGGTGAAGGACGAGTTCGGCTGGCGCTTCGAGGTCAGTGAGGAGGACGGCTCGCGGGTCATTGGGACCGGGGCGTCGCCGAGCAATGGCAACGGGCAGACGGTGGACCAGCTGGATTGAGGGAGGCAGTCCTGTTTGTAGGGTGATGATCTTTTCGGACCTATATCAATCATCGGACAGGAAACGGAGGCCTGGGCTCGGGGAACGGTTGGCTTCAATCAAAAGCTTGTTGTTATTTCCGCATACCGTCTTCATACCCGTGGTAGCGGACATTTGCATATAAATCTTCCTTATCCGCTTAAAAGGGCCTAAAACTAGTCGCTCTAAGGACAAGAAACCGCCCGCTGTAAACAATAACGAAGATAAGATGATGTCGCTATTATAGGGAGGCCGTAAATGTAAATCTACAACTAGCATTTTACTTTTATTTTAGGTTAAGCTACTAACTTAGCATAATCTAGGTTACGTACTAGGACGCTTTTAGATAGTTAAAATAGTAGGGAACGTGTTTGCACTTAGTTTTTATTACTCTATTTTCTAGTTTCGTTTTCTAAGCCGTGCTATGATATAAATCTAATATCGCCTTATATAACTATAAGTCCTACTAACGCGTTATAAACCTGCTCTTATCTAACCAAACGCGTCTGTGCCCCCTTTATATGTCGTAGCTAATAGGCGCTTTTGTATTCGTATTACCCACCCTATAGGCCACCACCCTCGACCAGCCTAATTCGAAGGCTATACCGCGTTAGGCAGCTTCTTCGCCGCTATTATGCCCTTTGGGCCAGTAAGCCTAGCGGCAGTGTTCACCGCCGCCACTATGTCTCTAGGAGCCCGTTCTGGTCCTGTGTCTCTAGTGTCTACGATTAGCTCCCGGAAGAGCTTCTTCGATATGCGTTAAATACGCTGCTCCTAGGCCGGCATAGTGCTTCCCAAGCCCGGTCCGGGTACCTATGCCCAGGTAAGAATAATGTCCTCGATAACTCTAACCCTCTCTGCGTCCAAACGGGGGCTCTCGCCGATCCCAGATAATGACCTGGGACGGATTGTCTTGATACAGGCGAGCACTTCCTGGTGGCGTGTCGCTGCGAGATCGTCGCTCCTTTTCTGGGCCGCCAAGATCTCGTCGCATTTCGACTCAAGCTCTCCAAAGTTGGTCAAGCTTTGCCTTGATCAGGACGGTTGCATGCAAGTGAAGACTCTGTTGAAAATCCGAGACATCCTTGCTTAAGTCGGCAGTAACCTTCTGGTTCCAGATAGTCTTGAACGTCTGGCGCACGGTCTGAAACGCGGATGACCAGGCGCAATCTTTTCCCCGAACCTCTTCTAGCAAAGCGGTGATTCTGGTCGCAACACGAGCGGTGGTACGGGTGAGTTGAACAATCCCGTCATCCTCGAAGCCGGAGCTGCGTGTGGTTCGCGTCCGTCGAGCTCGTACAACAACTGAGCGCTGACACGGCAAGCTGCAAGCGCTTTGCTGTGTCGTCCAGGCGCGCGAGCTGCTCGCTGTTGCCGGAATCACGAATCTGCGTGGCCACGGCAACCACATCTTTCGCGAAAGTGATGACACCGAAGATGTTCGCCACAAGACTGAGCGTTGACACAGGATCCATGGCCGCCGTGCTGGCGCGAAGAAGAGGACATCGTTAGTGAGCGGAAGAATCGATGTGAGGGGTCACAAGTGTTCATCTCCCACGTCGTCGAGGAGGGGTGAGGCGGACCACGCCTGCCGCCTTGTGGCGGCACTCAGCCACCTGCAGGCCATCTCATGCAAGGGGAGCTGAAGCTGAGCACTGATCGAACCAACTGCATAAAAGAGATTTCGAAGTGGTTGAACACTACCCTGATTGGTTCGAAACTGGAAACGTACCTAGGTACCTAGCGGCAAGGCACAGCTTCCGGCACTGCCAGTCCTTGCGCAGGTTACCTCCTCGGCCTCCTGAGTTTTGCCACACAACTGGCAAGCTAAAATCCCTGCCTGACGAGATCGGTGTATGTACCTAGGTAATACTCCTCCCACGACGCAAGGTGTCTTCTACGGAAACCATAACTGCTGGCCACAGAGGGCGCCTTCCTCTTCTATCGGCCTTAAAGGGGGCCATAACGTGCGGCAAAGCATACGGGCTTTAGACCAGATAAACCTCGACAGGAAAAGACCATCAAAGAAGCTCAAAATCGACGGAAAAGATTGCGCAGCAGGGATGACCAACTAGTTACCTTCGCTTCTAACATGTCCCTACCTTACCTATCTCTATGTCTATTCTTCTTCGACGCCTGCGACCTTGAGCGCCTCCATTATCTTCCTGAGCCCTGCTCCTCGCCCTCCATAGTTCCATACTTGTCCGGGTCGACCCAGCCTTGCGTGTTTCCCCCACCAAAGTCGAGAAGAACAGCGTCCCCGACCTCGTTGATGAGAACGTTGTCGGTTTTGATGTCTCGCCACAGGATTCCTAGGTCGTGCAAGCCCCGTAAATCTTTTCGATCTGCATTGCCCACTTGAGCCTGAGGGATGCAGTCGTTTCGTCTGGTGAGATGGAACCTGTGGCGACTCTGTCCAATACCGCGGCCAAACTCTAGTTGTGGTGTGGGATGTATCCAAGAAGAACGCCGATCACTCCCCGGTGGGATACCACAATTCCTGATGAAAACAGGTTAGACACTAATTGGGTGTGTAGAAGACAAGTTGAGCTCTCCATCATGCTCTCCGCCATGTCAACAACACATACCTTTCAGCTCGGGGACCTTCAACTCGGCCCTAGCAGGCCGAATCTTGAGATACGTCTGAAGCTCGTCTCTGACCGCATGACGGAACACATCACTCGAGGTTTTGCAAATCATCGCTTCCCCGTCCACAGTTACTTTCCAGACAAGACGCTGTAGACGGCGGACGAAGATGACTTGCGACGCCTCAACGACGGGAACATCGGTAGTGGCCAGGTCAAGCCCCATTGCGCATAGCTCGTGCTCAGAAACAGGCGGATGGCGCTCAGGGATTGCAGGATGGCCTTCCAGCGGGCGGCATACCAGACGGCTTGTCTCAAAGTCGGTAAGAACCTGCAGGGTATAGATCTGGGGATAAAGATATCCATGCAGTGTCTGGTTGTCCGGAACGGGAGTCGGCACGAGTTGCTCCATGGGCTGGAGGCATGCATCCTTCAACAGCTTCTGGAGCTGTTTTTCGAGACGCTCGGTCGCTTTGTCTTTTAGTCATCGGGTGGGTGGCCTGTGCGCCCACTTGCCTTCCTCGCGTCGCAGACGCGCATCCTGCATTCCGCACACTCTCCCTCTTCCTTTCCTTAGCTTTCGATTAGCAGAATTGAGTCGCGCATTCGCAGTGCCACGTGCCTGGCCTAGATGCCACTCGCCTCTCACAGATTCTTCTAATCGAAAGCTAAGGAAAGGAAGAAGGAGAAGATCCAACATGCCCGTCTGCGCCGTGAGAAGGTAAGTGGGCGCCACCCACACGCTAGCCAACCAGAATAGGCCTCCTTGCCCCACCAGCCCCAATGCGGTAGGTCGGCTTGAACCCTACACCTCCCACCCTTCCTCACGATGTACACATCCTCGTTTTCTATCTTCGCTCATTGCGCACTGGCTGGCATCCTAGTCCGAGCCCGTGTCGGAACCTTGTCCGTCGGAATTATCTGCCACTATCTCCCCCAAGTCGTGAGGCTGCGGCGGGAGATCGAGCCCGACTTCCGAAATGGCGCGACTCCTATCGCCGATCTGGATGCAGCTACTGTTTCCATCGAGGTAGAGGGGTAGAGACAGGGTGTTTACTTCTCTGAGACGCATGCGTCTTCTCTTGCGTATTCTCTTGCTGTAGTATTGCTCGAGCTTGAGTTCCATCTCGTCGCCGGACCCATGCAGCGAGAGGCGGAAAAGCCAAGACCCTCGTCTCCGCTTGCCCAGGTAGACGAGGTCGTACGTCCTGTTTGCCGCGACGCGCTGTTGTTGGTCATTGGGTAGTCTTGCGAAAAAGGGGTCGCAGATGAGGCGGAACTCGTCACCGCGTCTTACGGAGATCCGGGTAGTGTGCTGGCCATTCTGTTCGGATAATACCATGTCAGTTCGTCCGTTATGGACAAGCACGGTCCCGGAACTCACAGTGTCCAGCAACAAATTTCCCGAGTCATCCCAGTCCCTGAATTCCGTCTTCGGTTCACCCTGTTTTCGGGCCTGTCGCATTTGCAACCCAATGGCAGCCCCACGGCGAAAGAACTGCTCGACTGTAAGGGTTTCGCTAACGACGTACGCTGCGGCTTTTGCGACCTTGGCCGAGCTGGAGAAACAAGCTCAGGTTAGAACGGATACCGCGAATCGGGTGGCTCTGAATGGAAAAGCGTGGTACTAACTCAAATGTGATGCGGACATTGAATTCATCGGTGAAAACCACGGGAATATCTTTCGCGTTGCACAGGGCTAGCATTTGTGATTTTACAGCCGGGTTGCGGACTGTGCCGCCCGAAACGACGACAAGAGGCCTTGACACCATCCCCTGTCTCATTTTTTCGGCAAGGCGTGATATCTCACGTTTGGCAGTACGAAGCGGGCCACGGAGACCCTTCTCCCAGGCCTGGCTGATGTCCTCCAGGGTCAAGGTGGCTCGCCAGGTACCCGCGTAGTCGGGAAGGGTGAAACTGACGCTGATCGCTTTGCGCGAGTCTGTCTGCTTTCCCTTCTGATTCCGAAACATGGAGAGGAAGTGCTCACGCTCATGCGGAGGCGGAGGAACGCCGGTCTGTTGGAAGTACTGATCGGAAACGAATTCGTCAACGTGGTGTTCCCATTGCTCGGATCCGCCGCCAGCACCTGTGGGGGACTTGGTCAGATGGATCCTTAAATACGTTGGTTATGAGGTTAACGGCAGAAAGTGGAGCGCGCCTTACCAAAGGAGCCCCCGACTCTGAAAAAGCCATTCCCATCCGGACGGTCCTGATCCCGAGCAATGCCGAAGAGACAACCGTTCTGTTTGACGCCAATGTTAATGCTTCCGTCACTAACGCAGATGCGGTCAGCCTCATTACCATGTTATGACCTCCAAAGTCAAAAAACAGAATCGCATTGTGTTGGTCGTTTGGATCAAGCCTGTGTCTGTGGAACTTGTATAGGTATCTCGATAAAGCCTCTGTCTCCGTAAAGAAGTAGATTCGCTCAACCTCTATGTCAAACACTTCCATGACAAGGTCACGGTAGACATCCTCAAACTCGAGACCCCACTGCACCGGTATAGTAAGGCCGATCTTGACGATGAGAAGCCCATGTTCGCGACAGACGGCGTCGGCAGCGTCTCGGAGGACAGAGAGCAATGCGATCATGCCTCTGCGGAGCTGGCGACCGAACTCTGGCTCGTCTTTTTTCTCCATGAGGTGGTGGACCAAAGGATATTGCTCCAGCAGTGCGTCTGAGACGTTTGCGAGGGGATAGAAGACATACTTTGCCGACACCCATTGCCGGCCCGGGTCTTCTTCGTCGGGAAGATAGACCTTCTGAGAGATATCGTCAAAGACGTAGAGGGCTGACGGAAACTCACAGGGCGTATAACAGCGCCCGACGCCATAGTAATGTGGGTTCTCGACAACGATTTCCGCCTTCGTGCGCATTCTCCAGATACAGACGCGCGTGCTATGGCTGCCAATATCTATACCCAAACAGCTGTGGATCAATGCTATATTAGTAAGCTGCCGGTATCAAGAGCTGAGGGGTCGGTCGGGTTGGTGGAAACTTACGCATCCTCAAGACCACAGACGATGTCTGGGAGCTGGTGGTTCGATATTTGGAGTGGAGAAGTCAGACCAACGACAGGCATCCTTGGGTGGGAGAATAGGAGAGTGTTGCGTGCTGCAGTTGCTTCAACAGTAATGTAAGCGCTAAGGCGTGCTGATGCCGGCCCGATGCAAATTCTAGGTCAAAATCGCGATAACATGCGGATGGTATCCCGGGGGAACAGTGATTTGGGATGGAATGAATTGCTACGCAGGCGAGACTTTGTGGAAATTAGGTGTCGACAGGGTTTCCGCAGCCTTGCACACATGACGCCACATAAACAGAATCATCAACATCAACAGACCGTTCGCTAGGTGACTTGGCGCGTATGTGAGGAAAGGTGCGCAGTTGGTTGGCCAACGCGCAGGTGGCCCGCGCACCTGCGCACCTTCTCGCGTTGCAGACGCGCACCTTATCTTTTCCTTCTTTCTTTTGTTCGCTTTTGATTAGCAGGATTGAGCAGTATTAGCAGCGCTCCTGTGCCTTGCTTACGTATTTCTCATCTCTCACAACGTGTATAATCAATATCGTCCGCGTTCTACCCGTTTCCCGCCCTTCTCGCCGCTGCATTTGCAGCGTAAGTCTGCTCCTCCAACCGACACAATGGATCCCCAACCAGATCGGGACCCCCCCTTTTCCGACTCATCCACCCACGTTCTCCCTGCCCATCCAGCAGGATTTGAGTTAGCCCTCGAGGCTGAGTGCAAAGCAAGGCTGGAAGAAATCGAATGGCAGCGAGACGAAGAGAGCGCAGCAATGAGAAACCGGCTCTATTCCTTAGTCATGGAGTACAAGAGGAGGGACCAATCTTTTGTCGACCGATATACCGAGTGTCTGGAACAACTTACCCGTCGCCTCCCTGTCGTCGCCAACACCAGTCCCTGGGCGAAGCCCTGCCGTGGAGTTGCCGAGTGGGAGACGTTCTATCGAGGAGGTATTGCCATCAGGTTCTATCCCTCAACAGGTAGCAGCTTACTTGTTCCGCACGGGGATAATGCCGGAGGAGAGACAGTGACACCGCGCAAATTTCCAAGCAACATCGCCACCACAAGCGCCAAGTATCCTCCGTACGAATTCTCGCCGTCATCCTCCCCGCTGTCCAGTGTCCCGTGCTCCCCCGAACCTGTCTCCAGGCTGGCTCCGGACACTCGGGAGGCACGGCCGCGCAAGCAGCTCAAGAGGCCATTGTCGCCAGATGAGCTCGCGTTTGGTTCAAGTTCATCGCCCCCGGGAGCTGCGGGACAAAAGACGACGAGTTGTCATATACCACAGCAAGAGCCCGGCTGCGAACTGTTGTCAACCCACGACCAAAAGCAGTCCACACAGTCCACGAAAACCAACCAGCGCGCTTCAACACCTACACAGCAACCGCCATCAGTGTTCTCAGCCCCCCTTCCCTGTTTGAAGGTTGACCGGCGTGTTCCCTGCCTCGAATGTCGTAGACGGAGGGTGAAGTGTTCCCGCGGCAGACCCCGGTGCCGGGAGTGCAAGCGCCAAGGCAACCTGTGCAGATACCCCCTCCCTTCGCCTACTAGGACCTCTCGCCAGGATTTCGAACGGCCTCCGAGCGTATCCATGGCAAGGTGATAGCTTTGTTCTTTTCTCTTGGGACCTCAAACGCTGCGTATGCAGAGATGCTGATGCACACTTGCATGGCAGTTTGTCTTCGAAAAAATGAACAGCGGCTGGTTGATACGCGAGGCTACTCTTCTTCGGTTAGAGGTCTCCTCGCTTGGCAAGGCCAATGAGGCGCTAAGTAAGCGCCGTACAGCTAAAAAAACACGTGTGCAGCTCGGAGGATCACTTACTGTAAGATGCACAGAGTTTACTGGGCCAGAAGGCCATGGGTGGGGAGGCAGCACAAGAAACCCAGCCGGATGGTAGTGGTGTAAGGGGAAGTCGTGCGAAGATTCGGTGCTGTGGTATATGCGGCAAGCCTGGCCATAATTCACACACCTGCCAGGAGGCTGTAGAATCATCTTGTTTAGCTGTTTCTAATGTAATTGTAGTAAGTTCCTGATGTTGATGCGTTCGTTGTCGGGTGGTGGAAAGTGGTGCACTCGCTTATCATGCACGTCAGTACCTACTAGTTCTTAGCTACCTCCAGTGTACGACCATGACGGTTGCTAGTCCAGCAAGCCTGGCCCACTACTCGATAGACCTCGATTCGCTGGAGTTCGATATCTAGGCGAGGGTCATGTCATGTCGGCCGTATTCACTTTCCACTTCAATGGAGTCCACGTCCAAGTTGTTGCGGCCAGCCCCGAGGACGAGGCTGGCGGCGACACCCTTGTCCCTCCTTCCGTTGGGTTAGAAATGCGTGTATCAGCCACTTCTTGACTAACGCTGCGCCCCCTTGACGGTGTGTTTGTGCTACACCACAGCACTCCCAGGTTATTGGGAACCAAAATGGGGTGCTCAAGATGTTGACCTACCTAAACGGCACATGCACGTCGTTCACGCCAGGCACTTTCCAACCAACACTACGTTAACAGCACCTTGATGAGTAAATCTTCAGGCAGTTTTTGGCACGTGTAGAGAAGTATGCCTAGGTCAAACCATTAACTACACAGCCGAAGATAAAACGAGCAGAAAGCAGGTGCCTTTGTTTTGATTGCCCGTCCAGCGGGCAAGTGTATTCCCAGTCCTCTAATCCGAAACATAGAATCCTAGATGACATCCTCTCGAGCCCCCGAACTCCGAGTCCCTGCAAACAGAGAAAAGTCCAGCTCTTCTCCTCGCCAACGGACAACTTCTCCTCCCCGACGCTTCCTTCCACACCCCTTAATTCTGGGGACCAATCACCCCTCGCACAAAGAGGCGACTACATTCTGCCTATAATCAACCGGACAGGCTGGCAGCGCCCCTAGTGCTTGGGGTGGACTTTCGTCGTCCACGAATACTCGCCGTTGCTTTTGCAGCGATAGAAGCACTTGGACTTGCTATCGTAGTTCCACCGCAGCGCAGCTGTTGTGTTCCTGGTCGAGGATGTGCTAGAAGTTGGGTGAGTTGCGGCGCCGTGGGGCATGTTGGGTGGTATAAGCGAGGTGTTGAAGCTACCGTAGTGGATTGAGGGAGGGGTTTGAAATTACGATGAGAGAATGACCGTGGCTGATGGGTGTTCTAACAGTGGTGGAATGGAAAGTATCAATATGGAAGGAAATGCTTGAGAGAATTGGATTTCGTATAATGGGGCACCCGTTGCACCTCCAGGTCCGGATGACAAGCAATCTGTCATGCATGTTCCAAAGCACTCTGAACACCTACCCCCACTTGTTCAAGATGCCAGGGCTGATCAATCTGAAGCGAACGAGGGTACAGCCACGGTCATCCAACATGTGGCGTTGCGGTGTGCATCGAGGGCGTATGGGTGACCATAGTGCATTAGTTTCATCTTTCTTTGGTTGGTTTCCTTAGTTCATGTTGGTTGCGGCCACCGAAGCGCCCCTGCCTACCTACCTGTCATACCATCGAATCTCTTGCCTCCCATAGAGAGACCCAAACATGGACCGTGCTGTTGGTGTGCTTGAACCACTGTTTCTGGTGTTAGGAGGCATGGGCCGCTTGCGTTCCAGTACCGTAGTTGCGTACTGGCCGAAGAGAGCAACTACTATGCAGGATTGCGGCGGAGCAGTTTGTTGTTGGGGACCTATGGTCTCTTACTCACAGCTAGGGCCTCCTACCAGAGCCAACAGACGCACCCAAGCCTTGCGCACTCCTGTTTGCTCCGCCCGCTTTCCTGGCATTCGTCATGCTTGTTGTGTACTGCACATGATCATAGAGACAGTAACGTAATGTGGTCTGTGCAAGTGGTTACAACAGCATGCTCATGTACCTCTCTAGGTGCCTAGCTCTCTCTGGGGAGTGATTGAGATGCGTAGGTTATTAGCATTCGAAGTGCGTTAACGGGGTGGTGATGACTACCTATAGTCTGGGTTGTATTCGGTGGGTGCCGACTTGGAGTTCATTAGCTAGGCACTGTGCTGCGAATTTCCTTTCTGCGACGCATGCGTGGCAGAGGCAGGGATACGGTTCGAATCAACCCCAGATACGTAGATTTCCGATATATCAGCTCTGCAAGGGGAGAGTGTACACGGGAGTTGCTATCATGGATACGAGAGACAACGTGCATGATAAGCGAGCGGATCAGATAAGCGAGCGGATCAGATAAGCGAGCGGATCAGATAAGCGAGCGGATCAGATAAGCGAGCGGATCATTTTCTACTATCCTACCACAACTATCCTCAATTGTAACACATCAACGCTAGGAACCAACTATGATTACATCAGAAATAGAAGAACCAGACCCTTCTGCAACCTCCTGGCACGTACGTACGTTATGGCCAGGCTTGCCGCACATACTACAGCCCCGAACCTTCGTACGAGCCCCCCCTGCGCTACTACCATCCGGCTGCGTTTCTTGTACTACCTCCCCAACCACGGCCTTCTGGTCCAGTAGATCCTTTGCATCTTGCACTGCAAGTGATCCTCCAAGCTATATGCGTGTTATTTGGCTCTCCGGCGCTTACTAAGTGCCTCGTTAGCCTTGTGGAGCGAAGAGACCTCTGACCGAAGAAGAGCCACCTCGTGCATTGTAGCCATTGTACCCTTGGCAAGCTGGTCCACCGCAGTCAACATCGAAGTTGGAGAGCTGTTTTGATAGTTGGCAATATGAGTCTTGATAAGTGTTGACTGCGAGGTCGCTTCTCGAGGGTTGTATAGTGTCTGGAAGACCCAAGGTTATAGTATACAGGCCTGCAAGTTTAAGGGCGTTAGTATACAAAGCTTTATATCCAGCTTAGATATTACCCTCTCTAGATTATATAATATAAGGCCAGCACCTATAAAGCCACCCTGGATATTCTTCTCTATTATAGAAGTAAAGAAGGCCTTGCGGAAGGTATAGAGGAACTCGAGCTTGCTGATATAGTTGATATACATCTATATTAGGTCCTCGACCTAGCGACCGTACGCCTGCTTCAACGGCCCAAAACAGCCGATATCAAGTGGCTGGAGGAGGTGCGAGGAATGCGGAGGTATGTAGAGCGTGATAATGTTATTCTCCCGGCAATAGAGCTCGAATTCGGTAGAGTAGTGGCTCTCGTGGCCGTCGAGGATTAACAACCGGTTCTTACTCACGAATTAAGCCAACAGAACAGCTGCAGGTGGGACAACCCGACGGGTGGCGCAGGACGCACCCGAACCAATCGTTTAGGACCAATGAGAAGGAGCTCTAGGGAGCTCTAGAGAGCAGGCGAGAGCTCAAGGCACCAAGCCAATCAGCATGAAGGGATGGAAGCTCTCGATGGAGCCAACAGAGCACCAAGCTCTAGGGAGCTCTATAGAGCATATGAGAGCACCCAAGGATAGGCAGTATATAGTCACTCGTTCTGGAGGACTCTGGGAGTTCTCCAGTGAGCAATTCAAACAGTAGCCTTCACCTACTGTGCAGACATTGCAACTTGCATTGTTGTGAACCTTTCGGCTTTACCGAGACCTACAGTCCGACCAGCAGTACCTTCGACCGGCGAACCCTTTCAGAGGCAGGACTGCCTGTGGTTTCGTCACATTACCCTTTGTACAAGGTGCCATATAGAAGTCGAAGTACTTGATCCAATCGAGGCCTACTACATTGGTAGTCCAGCCGTTCTCGGTAGTTGCAATATGCCAATCGGCCGGGAGGTTGCACTCGGTATACTAGTTGGCGAGGTAGTATTACGCGGCTAAGATAATAAAGGGCGGGATAGTCCAGCTAAGGGCATTAACTCCCTAGATCACCGTTACTCATTCGCGGTTACTAGGCTGGGCTAGTTTTGCCCTACTACGGCCATCCGAGATCATAACTACCATGCCTAGGCAGATTATTCCCATTATAAACCCGGTCTCGTCAAAGTTATAGATATCGTCATCTACGATACCGTACTTGGCCAACGCGAATGCGCAGGGTGCAAGCTAAGGGACCTAATAGGGTATAGATAAAGTAGAATGGGCGACGCCTTCCGGCCTCCGTCGCCGGCGCCGTTTATAGTCGTTATGGAGCCGGCCCTACTCCAGGAACGTAAACGGGTTCTCGGCCCCAGAATTTCGGGCAAGGAGCTAGCCCGTACTTGCTGAGTCATCAATTATAGTTGTACGAAAGGCAAGATTCTGCTTATTAGGGCTGCTAACGGAAGATAGAAGCCCTCCCGATCGCAACGTCGTTCCAGATCTGGATAAGGTTCAACGAAGAACTGGATGGATTTGGCCGATTCACATTATAGATTTCCATTGTGTAACAAATGCGATCAATTAAGCCCTCCTAGAATTTCCTGGGTGCCCATTCCAATTCCAGGGCAATCCTTCCGGGAGCCCAGCTGGCAGGGAGGCCTCCCGGCTTGCATCGGAGGATCGTTGAGGCATTTTAAACAACACCAAGCACAATTAGGAAGGCACTTACATCCTGGTATCCCGTGAGCCTGTTCGTGGCAAGGGGATGGAAATTGATGATGATGTCTTTGACATAGTAGTGGATTCGCAGGATGGATTGAGGCAGTGTTGATTGAGGATAATACTACGCTGCCTTGAGTATCGTCACCGTGCTAACTTGGGCACGGGAATACACAGCACATAGGTACCTCACCTAGGCATCATGGGACTCTGATGGAGGTCAGCTGTAGTACCCATGAGTCCCTGACTTCCCTCGGGTCTCCCCCATATGGTGCATAGGTTACAACAGCTGCAATGGCTTGGTAGACGTGAAGTTCTGGAATCTGGGTACTATAAGCCGTCGCTATGGCTGGAGAAGGAAATCCTTCATCAGCCCCCCCTTGGTGCACAACATGCCATAGATTGCATACACTTACACAGTTGGAGGGGTAGTGCCGGGCAGATAAGGTTGCAATTAGGTTAGGTCAAGGAAAAGGTTCGCATTTCTCAGGCAATGCGGCGGCTGCAGGTTACAGTAACCAGGAGCGGCGATCTCGTCTGTTAGGCTGCAGGGGAGCTGCTGCATGTGCTCTCCCAGCTCCCGGCCGACGGATATAATGTACGGACAGTATACCTTAGTATGGAATACCCATCCACTGGCTGATTGGACTTTGCCTTTGGCGTGCCCTAGATACTTCCATTCAGTTTCGCATTCTAGATTAACTTCTTTGAGAAGGTCTATGTCTCCAGAAGCTGTTATGTTCCAATATGCGCCATTTGTATGTCGTTCACAACCACCTGCACAGCCTCGCCACCAACGAAACCTAGAACCAGGAACTTGTTCGCGCTATTGCTGGGTCTCGTCCATTGCTATCACAGTTTACAACACGTACTATACTACTATATTTGCTGCACATACATCCATGACAATAGGTAGTAGTTCCTTGTTTCCCGGAACCCGTGGGGGTGCCGTCACACCGTCCCTTCACTCTCCTGCCGCACTGGCGCAGGATTGCAGTACAACAGGTTTCTTTCCAAAGCGGAAAGGCTAAGAGACTAGTTCGGAAACCACTTTCAACCACCATTACATCCAGTTGGCGTCAGCGACATGGAATGCAGTTCCGGGGCCCTATCTGCGGGGACCAGTCTGGACCACGTTCCATGATTGCAACACCGTAACACGGGGGGCTTACTCGACATGCAAGTTCCAACAACACCCCACCCGCCACCAACCATGCTGCGTCCCACCCCATCGTGCTTCGGAAGCAAGGAACCCTCCATAACCCTCCATCCCGTCTAATATGTATGTTTCCTGCCGTCTTATCGCAGCCAATACCGACCCCAGTACGCCCTGGCACACTGGCCTGTCTTCCAAACCTCTGACTTCAATGTATTAGTCTCACTCTCTATGTTAGGGATTGCGTGGGCTTTAAGGTTCATCGTTCCTCTTCGCACTAGAATCTGCTATTTCTAGCCTTGCCCCCTCTCATCAATGACCGCCATCATTCGATAACAAAGTCATCGCACTGGGCGCCATACAGGCATACAGTCAAACATTAAGCCTGACGAAATATCATGGGCGTCTCAACAGCCCCGGCGACCATCAAGATCGATGAGGACTCGCTTCAGCGCGTCCACTCCGAGCCGGCCGGCCAGTCAACCGGCGTCGCATTCCCAGATGGCGGGACAGCAGGTGGAATCTACCACACCAGGAGTATCACGGGCGTGTCGTTTGACAGACGCACCGGCCGTCTCTCTCGCGAGCCTGACGCGTCGGGGACCGCCCACGCGGGCCCAGATGTCGAAGAAGGAGAGGATTGGCGTGACGAGGACGTGAAGAAGAAGCAGGTCTTCCGGGGTGCAACGCTGTTGCTGTAAGTGGTCGCTCTCTGTATTTTTTTTTTTTCTTTTTTGCTCTCGACTAAACGACGGGTTTATTATATGCTGACGGCTCTGAACAGATTGGCTTATCAGTCCATTGGCGTGATCTACGGGGATATTGGTACAAGGTACGCTGGCCCTGTTGTAGACATGCTAGAGAAATGCCCGAGGATCACCCAAGAAGATTGGCTGAGCCACTTTGGATAGCCCGCTCTACGTCTACTCGTCGACTTTCTTGGCACCGCCGTCGTACGACGAGCTTGTCCAAGTCTTGTCCGTTATCATCTGGTCCATCACGATTATGGTCACCTTGAAATACGTCTTCATCATCCTCCATGCCGACAATGAGGGCGAGGGTGGCACGTTTAGCTGCTATTCCCTACTTACAAGATTTGTATGCTTTCCCCGTATTCGAGACAGGAAGCAAATGGGGAGAAAAAAGACTAATCAGTATCTCAGGCATACATTGCTCATCGCGGTCCTCGCGAAGAAGTCACGATCCGGATGGAGCGCTACCTATCGTCGGATCTCCGGCGCACCAACCGTAGCTTGCGGGCCGGGATCGAGAAGAGCAAGATCACGCACGTGGTGCTCAAGACCATCGGCGTGCTTGCGGTGTCCATGGTCCTGGCCGACGGCGTGCTCACACCGGCGCAGTCCGTCCTCGGCGCAGTCCAGGGGCTGAAGGTTGTGAGGCCGGATATCAGCACGTCGACTGTGGTGGGGACATCGTGCGGCATCCTGATTGTGCTGTTCACGATCCAGCCGCTGGGGACGACCAGGATCGCATTTCTGTTCGCGCCCATCGTCATCATCTGGCTCGGCTTCAACTGCGGCTTCGGAATCTACAATCTCGTGCACTACGACTCGAGCGTGCTCAAGGCCTTCAGTCCGTACTTCGCCATCCAGTTCTTCGTCCAGCACAAGACGGCCGGGTGGCGCATGCTCGGAGGCATCCTGCTCGCCTTCACCGGCGTCGAGGCCCTCTTTGCCGACCTCGGGGCCTTCAGCGCGCGGGCCATCCAGCTGAGCTGGACATGCTACACCTACCCCTGTCTCCTGCTCGCATACATCGGGCAGGCCGCATTCATCAGCGTCCACCCGGACGCGGTGTCGAACCCGTTCTTCCACTCAGCACCACCGGGGATGCTCTACCCAGCGCTGGTCGCCGCAGTCCTTGCCGCCATCGTGGCCAGCCAGGCCATGATCACGGCGACCTTCCAGCTGATCAGCCAGCTCATGAAGCTGTCGTACTGCCCGCAGGTGAGAGTCGTGCACACGTCGCGCATCTTCCACGGGCAGCTGTACGTGCCCTTCTTCAACTGGCTGCTCATGGCCGGCGCCATCCTCGTGACGGCCGTCTACAGCGACACGACGCGGCTCGGCAACGCCTACGGCGTGTGCGTCATGTTCGTCACCTTCTTCGACACGTGCATGGTCACGCTGGTGTCGCTGATCGTGTGGAAGCTTCCCCCTTGGCTCGTCGCCCTCCCCTGGCTCTTCTTCGCCCTCGTCGACGGCCTCTACCTCTCCTCGGCGCTCAACAAGGTTCCCGACGGCGCCTGGTTCACCCTGACGCTGTCGGCCATCCTCGCCGGGCTCTTCCTCCTCTGGCGCTTCGGCAAGGAGAACCAGTGGCGCGCCGAGGCCGAGGACCGCTTCAAGCCGCACCAGCTCCTCGTCGTCCGCGAGGATTACGACGGCGGCGGCGGCGGCCAGCTACTGCGCCTGACGGATCGCTGGGGCGGAGACTCGCTCAGCGTCATTCGCGGTATGGGTATCTTCTTCGACAAGTTTGGCGTGCTGACCCCGGCCGTGTTTACGCATTTTGTGAGTAAGTTTGTTGCGGTACCCGAGGTGGCTGTTTTCTTCCATCTGCATCCCGTGGAGGTGCCCACCGTCCCCGCCGAGGAGAGGTACCACATTTCCAGGTTTGGGGCGGTGCCCGGGTGCTATAGGCTCGTGATCAGGCACGGCTTCATGGACGAGGTCATCAGCCCGGACCTGGCGGCGCTGGTGTACGAGCAGGTCAGGAAGGCTATTGTTTCGCGACAGGCCGCCGATCTGCTGGCTGCTACGACTGAAAAGGGGGTTGAGAGGGACGAGGAGAAGGCGGATAGCAGCAACCAGGAGGGTGGCGGTTCCGATCCGGATGAGACTACGACCACCACCCCCACCACCACCACCACCAAGGTCCCCGCCGCCGAGGAGGCATGTACCACGACTAGTAGTGGTGGGAACAACGCCGGGAATGCGGCAACCCTCCCGCCAGAGCTGCGCGACGAGGAGCTCGCGGCGGAACTAGCCCGCTTGGACCGGGCGTATGCGGCCAAGATCATGTACATTGTCGGCAAGGAGCAGATGCGGGTGAAGGAGACGTCTTCGCTTGGGCGGAGGCTGCTGCTACAGGTCTTCCTGTGGATCAGGGATAACACGCGGGCGAAGATTGCGAATCTGAGGTTGGCGATGGATCGTGTGGTGGAGGTTGGGTTTGTTAAAGATATATGACACCGGTTGCGGGTGGTTGAGTTTAGAGGGGGAGAGTTGTTCGGTGATGTCGGTAGGATGGGACATATTTGGGTCTGGTAGTTGGATTGCTATAGTTATTAGGCTTAATGATACTAGAGTCCTGTCCCTGTGTCGTTACATTCAGCTTCGCAGGATCAACCGCCGATAATAAGGTCGGAAGGTACCCGGGCCCTGTTCTCCCGAGTCCAATTCGTGCCTAATGTCCTCAATTGCTACTATAGGTACCTATGCTGTGTAACCAGGGCAGTGATGTCGTAAGTACCAGATGGCCACCTGTACTCACAGAAATTAGAGTAACATACCTGCTCAACGCTGCGGTAATTCGGTAAAGAGCCAGGGACGCTTCCTCTATTACCATTCGAATGTCGGAATTCACCGTCATGCTGTTTCCTACTGGAACGAGGGAGATGGAGATAACGATGAAGCATGTCCTGTCAACCGAGAGTAGCGGCTGAAGTTGCAGTATTTCGCGAACTGCCCGCCCTCACAATGTTACCCAAGGCTTTACTGGATCCCCAACAACCAACTCTGCCCCTCTACTAAAGCCCGATTAGACTGCGGCTAGGCGGCGTCCCTCGGTCGAGACGGGACCGTGGGCGGCGCTGAAGCACATGGTGGCGGCGCTGAAGCCGCTCGGGCGCGCTTCGTCACGGCTTCACCGAGCTTGAACAGGATTTCTGCAGACCGTCAACCGAGGCCGGGCAATTCTTCCAGACAGAGTACGACATACGCGTGGCGCTTCCTAATCAGCGCAAACCGCCCACAGCAGAGCTGGGACTGCCGGTTCCCATCCCCACACCGTCGGACGCTCCGGACGCTCGGATGGACACGCAGACGTAGTACATCAAGAGTCACTGGATGATGTGCGGAAACGGAAGGAACCTAAACACATCTACTCGGCGCTGTGAGTGGACCCTCCGGCAGGCCGGATGTGTGGGCCTTTCGCGCGCGGGGGCTTGAAGTGGAGACTTCGCGCCGGACAATTCGACGTCGTACGGAAGGGGTCGCAGCAACCAGTATAGGCTGGTAGTACAGTACCTGATGGTTTCAAACTCAGTCCAAGCAGGTAGGACAGTCTCAGCCCCCAAGTCTGATGATTGGGCGTAGTGCTCCTATGCTAGGAGGTCGACCGCTGAGTCGAAGTAAGAGGGGTTCTTCGTTGCATCTAAGCCGGATCCGGGATATCAATCAACCGCTCGTGTCTCTTCCGCCAAGTCCCCCCTGAAAAGACCGGGCATCAAGATGCGGCTGAGCTACCTCCTCATCGGGGGCCTCGTCTCCGAGCTGCTCGCCGCAGCCGAACTGCCTCTACGCCGCGCGGTGAACTGTAACTTCTCTGTGGCACCAAACACCGGCGACACATGCGAGAGCTTTGCCAAAACCTGGGGCCTTTCTGTTGCCCAGCTCCAAGTGCTGAACCCTGATGCTCAGTGCCCCAATCTCGACGCTAGCAAAATGTGCCAAGCAAGGCCATCACCACAGTGGATGCAAGGAAACGGTTATGAAGTGCGTTCTCTGCGGAGGACCACACGAATCTTTCAGTCAAAACTGCCCGAAACTTTATCCTACTAGCCAGAAGTAGGACGCACTCTCTCGACTTGACAGTTAAGTCGACAAACCCCCCCAGCACCCTCGTGGCACTAACCGCAGGACTCGCTTTAGCTGCTGAAGATAGGACGCTAAACACTTGGAGAACATAGCCTTCAAGCACTCCTGCAATTCGTCAACTAACCGCGAGCTTCCGACGATAAGTCACATCTGGTTTCAGGAATACTGCTTCAGGAACAACAACTTTAACCGCCTGTACGAGATCAAGGCAGAATCACAGGGAGGGATTATGTAACTAGCACTATGGCCCTTTAGGCTTAGCGCCTCCGGGCGGAATGATTTCATCCAACAGTAACACTTGGCACCCGGGGGTTTTCGAGTTGTGGAACCCTAACCCGACGCCCCCTCGTCTGTACAATACATACGACGCCTATGAAGAAGGCATCACCAAGTACCAGAACGGAAGTGGCAATGCAAGTCTCCGTGCTGAGGTTCATGGCTACTACTAATCGCTGTAGTAATGCTCGTGTATTTACAGTTGAAGACGACGGTTTAAAAGATAGCCTAGGAGAGAGATATTAAAGAGCAGAGATATAGAAGGCCCAGGATAGGCGGGCAGCATGGAGAGTGGTAGACTTTGCCGACTTAGTGTGGACGGAAATGACGCCTGTGGAATTTGACTTGTTTGATTCCCGTCTGACTAAAGTACCATTTTGGTTGGATACAATCAAAGGAAGGGAAAAGAGCGAACGGAACAAAGAACAGAAAACACGATTTGGAAGCCAAATAGGCTGACGACTCTCAGTTGAACTTCCGCATGATCCACACGGGATCGTATCACCCCAATGTGCGATTGTCGAGAGATACTACTAATGAGGCGCAGCCTGTGCAAGCTTCTGGCCGTACCAGGACCATTGCTTGGAAGGATCATGCGGCGCTGTGTCCTGGTTGGGATCGGGGAAGAAGGACTTGGGCCCGAGGCCGGCCTTTTCCTGGAACACGACAATGATGTCGGACCCGCCGAACTGGAAGTAGGCTAGCGGGTCGCCCTTTTGCACCAGGAAGGGGAAGGTAGGCTCGGTGATGTCCGTCTTGGCTCGGACGAGAGGCACCACCGAGTCCACTTGGGCCATGCCGATAGGAAGGACTGTCGCAGTCTACGTTAGCGATACTAACAAATCAAAGCCGGAAATAAAAAACTGTACATACCGGCGACGAGCCCAATGTCGCCATCAGGGGAAGTGCTGGTGTCAATGACAAAGAGACCACGAGTCTGAAGGAATTGATAACCAGCCCCGTCGATGGCGTCCAAGTGTGCATAACCCTTCTTATTTGTATGGCGCTTGCCGATATAGCGGCGCTTCTTGAAGCCCCCCTTGTCTGGGTCGGCTATGACCTGGAGGTATGCGCCTCCTTGAATCACTCTCGCCTCGACGACGGTGCCGGAGACGGGCGCGTGCAGGCGGTGATAGTTCCAGGTGCACAGGAACGAGTGCGACCAGACACCGCCCGCGAATGAGGAAGCGTACTGGCTGCCGTTGAGGAGCGTGTTGATGTCCCAAGGAACACCCTTCACCGAAACCGTTTCAAGCGGAGGCACGATTTGATCCGCACTGGGGTCCGTCTGGTCGTTGGCGTCTATGGTGAAGGCGGCGTCGAATCTGCTGTCGGCCGGGTAGACGGCCACCTTGTTATCGCCAGGGCCGTCGATGGGACGCGGCACAGCCAGGCGGCGGGCAAAGAACTGGTTGAAGGTACGGTAGGCCGACCCGTCAGGGCTCTCGCTCTCCCCCGTGTTATACAGTGTCGCCTTCTGGAACGAAGCGAATTTATCCCGATTGAAGGAGGTCGTGGTGTGCATGAACTGCCCCATTTGCTGGGCAAAGAGTACCATCCACGCCGACAGCGGCTTGAGCGGCTGGTTCTCAGACGCCGGTGTGATCTCGGTTTGATAGCTGGACAGAGGCGCTTGGTCGAGGACGAAGTAGAAGATGCAGAGCATGTCGTAGACGTGGGTGGAATCCTTGACTTCGGACGGGACCCAATTGAGAAAGTTGGCGACCCAGTTGAGAAACGTGGTGCCGTCTTCGATGCCCTCAGCGAGCAGCGGGTTCTTCCCGGGGTCCGGAAACGCCTTGAGAGCCATGTCCACGGCCGTGTCGACATTCTCAATACCATCCACCAGTGTGACCAGCTGGTCGATGATCAGAGGCCAATCGCCTGGGCCGCTATGCTTCGTGGGCATAGTGGATGGATGGATGGCGTGAGGAATTTCTCAGGGCAACTTGCCTTTTGCCAGATTATTTCGCTCATCATCTCCTCAAACGACACTTAGACATCCTTTTATAGACGAAGAGCTTCTCTAATCAGCACCTCTGAGGTAACTAGTCATCATTTGGAGTCAGCTGAGACCCTCGGGTAGCATCTCGTGGACATAAAGTCTAGACCTCGACGGGTATGAATTCGGACAGTGAAGAGATGACAGAGCCAATGGCATTCTGCACCCGATCTCAACTCCATCCGCAGGAGAAGCGGCATTAGGCTGTGTAGTCATCGCGTAGGCTCTCGATCTTGCCGACGTAGACATAGGTTCGATGGAGCCCGTCAATAATTAGCCAAACAGCTCCATTCTTTTTGTCACAGACGATCACGGGCCTTTGCCGACGATGTTTCTTCCAGCCCACTTCTAGTGCGGCACCACCGATACCCCGTACATACAACCAGTTTCTTAGAGTACAGGAGGTGGATCGAATGCTATCTGGGTGACGTTGGTATGACGAAAAGCATCGGTCCTATAGACAGATATGACGTAAAAACCCACGATGGGGCACACGTGCAAGAGTCAAATTCCGAACGCTATCCGGTAGCGATACTGAGGGTACTGTCCGAGGGTGCTATCCGAGGGCGCCATTCGGGGAGTCTGAGATACTGATCGAGGGCGCTATCCGAAGCTGTAATCCTAGCGGTGCTTCTAGATACTATGCTCTTCGAGATGCTACTATTATGGTGTTGCTACTAGTACTGCTCCCACTATACCACATACTGCCACTCCAGGCCGGCCGGTCCGACAGGCGCAGGGGAGATGGCTCATGAGCTTGATGTCCTAGAGGTACCTATCATTTGCTAGATATCTATAAATGGGTTAATACTAGAGTTTGCAGTGAAAGGAGGGGAAAAGGGTGCGCTTACGCAACGTAGCTAGAGTCTAGGTCAGATCGACAAATAGGTCCGTTGATACCGTGGTTTATCACCGAAAGCTCTACGAAATCGCACCAACAAAACGAAAACCGAAATAATTCCACCAAGGTAACTCAAAATAATAGAAAACATACAGAATCGGCTTCTTGATATACTTATAGAACTTTTTGACAGGTACGCGCATTATGGCCAGGCTCGCCGCACCTGCCACAGCGCCGCGCGCGCGTCTCGGCCCTTGGCTTGCGACCACTACTCGCCTGCGTTTCCTCCCTTATCTGTACCTCAACATCCCTCTGGGCTTGCAAATTCTGTCCATCCTATATAGTAAGCGATCATCCTTGCCGTAGCCTTTTTCTTTTAGCCCTCCGGCGTTTGCTTAGCGCCTCATTTGTTGCTCGAAGGCTCTGGTTCTTTGCTTTTAACAATGCAAACTTATACATTGTCCTTGACTTCCCTTTCGCAAGTATATCGACAGCCCTTAGAATTTCTATTGGAGAGCTATTTTGATGCCGGGAAATTCGTATTTTGATGAGAGTAGTCTGCGAAGAGGTTTCGATTAGGTTGTTAGGCGTTTTAGATACCTAGATATAGGTAACGTACATTATCAGCGAGTGACCCATAACGTATCTTATAAGCGAGCGGGACATATAAGCGAGCGGGACACTCTCCACCACTCTACAACAACCATCCTCAATTGCAATACAATAAGACCATTAACCAACTACAATTACATCAGAAACAGCTGAATCAGACCCTTCTACAACCTCCTGGCACGTACGGGCATTATGGCCAGGCTTGCCGCACATACCACAGCACCAAACCTTCGTACGAGCCCCCCCTGCACCACCACTATCCGGCTCCTTTTTTTCCGCCATCTCCCCAACCACGGCCTTCTAGTCTAGTAGATCCTTTGCATCTTATACCGCAAGCGATCCTTCAAGCGGCACGCATGTTCTTTTGGCTCTCCGGCGCTTGCTGAGTGCCTTGTTGGCCTTGCAGAGCGAAGAGACCTCGGCGCGAAGAAGAGCCATCTGGTGCATCATAGCTATTGTACCCTTGGCCAACTGGTCTACAGAGCCAACATCGAGGTTAGGGAGCTATTTTAATGGTTGGCAATACGAGTCTTGATGAGTATAGACTATATATTGGCTTCCCGGGAGTTGTATGGTGTCTGGAAGACCTAAGACTATATAGCGCTAGGCCGTGAGGTTAGGAGTATTGGTATACGAAGCTTAATATCCAGCTTAGAAAGTACCCTCTCTAGATCGTACGGAATAAGGCCAGCACCTATAAAGCCACCCTATATATTCTTCTCTGTTATAGAGGCAAAGAAGGCCTTGCGGAAGGCATAGAGGAACTCGAGCTTGCTTATATGGTTGATATACATATATATCAAGTCCTCGACCTAGTGTGACGAAACCATAGGCAGTCCTGCCTCTGAAAGGGTTCGCCGGTCGAAGGTATCTACTGGTCGGACTGTAGGTCTCGGTGAAGCCAAAAGGTTCACAACAATGCAAGTCGCAGTGTCTGCACAGTAATGTAGGGTTACCTTACTGCTTGTATTGCTCACTGGAGAACTCCCAGAGTCCTCCAGAAGAGTAGCTATATACTAGCTATCTCCTTGAGTGCTCAGTGCCTCGATTTGGATGAGCACCGGGGTGCTCATCGTGATATGCCCCTGATCACTTCTGATCACTTATGTCCTGCAGAGTGCTCAGCGACATTAGCACCTTAGCATCTTTGCCTGTCTCTGACTGGTCTGCCTGATTGCCCAAAGATTGGCTCGGGACGCCCCTGTGTGACGAAACCACAGGCAGTCCTGCCTCTGAAAGGGTTCGCCGGTCGAAGGTAACTGCTGGTCGGACTGTAGGTCTCGGTGAAGCCAAAAGGTTCATAACAATGCTTGTCGCAATGTCTGCACAATAGGTATAGGCTATTGTTGTAATTGCTCACTGAGGAAGCTAGCTATCTGAATGAGTGGCAGAATGGTAGAACTATATACAGCTTCCTCCCCTAGGTATCCCGTGTCTAGATCTTTGGAACATTTAGAACAATTGTCGTTCTCATTGTTCCATCTGGAACAACGTTCCTTGGCGTTGTTCCCCAGGAACAATCGTTCTTGGCATTGTTCCTGATTTCCCTAATCCTTATTGGTTCCTTCTGCCTTGTAATGATTAGGTACGGGCGCCGCCCGTTGACCATGTAGGTCGGCCCCTACCGGCCTCTGCAGGTTAGTTCATGACACGATGCCCCCTTTCTAGGGCTGTTCGTCCCGAAAGCCCAAGTCTGTTTTAAATAGTGCCAATATCCTATGTTGCAGGTATGTTATGTTGTTCCTCCTTCCTCTTTCTTAAGGAATGCTAATAAGATGTCTGGTCGCGTAAAGAAAACGAAATCAAGAGCGAAACCGGAATCCAAAGTTAAACTTGCCGAACGCAACGACCTTTTATCTATTATTCTTCGTACTATGACTATAGTAAAGAGCCCTTGCTTATATTACAAGGCTTGTGGCCTCGATTGCAAGTCTTCCGCCGACGTATCCTCCGCCTGTTACGAGTGCGTTCGCAATTATTAGTCTTTTTACGATACGCAAGGCGTTACTATATAGCAACTCTAGCGTATCGTTTCCTAATATAATAAGTTAGAATCCGAGATGGAAAAGGCGGAGGCCGAGTGCGCGGCCCTTGATGCGAAGATCAATCGTCTACGTCTCTAGAAATGAATATGGTTTGAGAAGATAATGTAGGCCATCTCTTGTAGTATCGATACCGTGGAAGAACTGGAGTGGGTAGAGCGTGAGGAAGCGGAGGCGCTAGTAGCGGCGGAGTTGGCTTCTACCCCTCCTACTTTGTCAACCCCTCCTCGATTGTCGCCAAGCTTTATGCCGTTATAGGACTTGGTATATCCTAACGTCTCCTTGGAGCCTTCTCTAATAGTGGATTTTAGGTTGGTTGGCGGTGGTCCGTCGTTTTTATCTAAGTAGGGTTCTTCTGGTGAAGCGACGTCTTCCCAAGGTGGCGGTGGTTCTTGATGGTGGTCAGGTCTTGGTTGCGCCTGCCATACGTGTTATATTATAGTGTGGCTGCCTGTAGCTGTTCTTTCCTGCCTGGGGTTCTTAATCTGGTTCTTGTTGCCCGTTTTCTAACAAATGAAATGGCTTAGTGGTATAGCTTGGTTATTATACCTAAGTATATGCTCTAGGGGATTATAGGTTCGAATCCTACCTGTGCCTTGTCTCTATATAAGTGGCTTTTACTATAGGATAAGGCGACTTATACGGAGATTTTTACGCCTTCCTCCTAGTCGGTCTAGGTTCTACCGGTGGAATTTCCTTAGTTTTTCTATATAGTTAAGGTGTTCTGCCGGTTCCTATAAGTTGTCTTCTAGTTCGAAGTCGAGCTATTTAATCAAGTACTCTAGCCTTCCGTTGGCTATTTATAAATCTAAGATCTCCTCAACGTCCTATTCTTCTTCTTTGTCCTTGGCTTCGATATCCTTTATAACCTATATATTCTTAGGTACTAGTTCGAGGAGCGAAATATAGAAGACATTGGTATATAACTTTATTGTTGATGGTAATAAAAGTCGGTAGTTAGATGTCGAAATTTTTGCGTTAATTTTAAACGGTCTAATCTTCCTAAAGTCGAGTTTCTGGCTTAGCCGTTTCGTTTTTAAATTTCGAGAAATAAGGTAGACTATATCTCCTCTTTTAAGGCAAGGTCCCTTAAGCCGATATTTATCGTAGTATTCCTTTATCCTAAGTCTGACGAACTCGAGTTCTTCTTTTAATATTATATATAATATATATATTTTCTCTGCCCTTCCTGGTGAACAAACATCGGGAGCCGCCCACGCGGGCGGCCGGGCATCGCAAAAATCGGGAATTAGGTCCTTTGCGATCTGTTCTTTCGATTCCAAGGGGTTGCAACGACACGCAGCTTCTACGCGGCCGTATGGCTGTCGGATTGCTGGTTTTCGCGACAAGAAAGTGAGGATTTTCGAGTGCACCGAAAATCCCGCACTACCCCGCACGACGACCACCATTGACGATAACTACGACAATCTACCTGCAACAAGTTTGCAAGACTAGGGGGATACTAGGTACGAAAACCACCCGACTCTTTCGACGTTTTAAAGAAGAGATAAGGCACCCCCGGCCCTGCCCGGTTCTAAGGGCGCCCACGACGAACGCTAGAGGGCTAGTCGTACGGCGACAAGGATATAGAGCGAAAGCCGGCATCGCCGACCGATCGTACGACCAACTATAAGAGCAGGAGAGAGAGGGAATACGGGCTCGTTAAGGGAGGCAACATAGGCGGCCGGGCCCTCTTGCGAGGCACTTCGCCCTTTATAATACTATAGTTGGATCTAAGGATAGGAGGCGAGGCAGGTAGATTAGGGCAGGTTAGTAGCAGAGCGACCGAGCGAGCTATGCCGGCATGGCAGCTCGTGCGACGGCCTGCTACAAGACACAGTCGGCCTTATAAGGGAGACCTAGCAAGGCAATAGGAAGCTAGAAGTCAGGGTTGCGCCTGGCGGAAGGTGGGCCGTGGCGGCTATACTAGACCGAGAGGAGGATAACAGAGGTATAGCCCTGGCTCGCACCCAGGCCATAGGAGAGATATAGCTATTCCCTCGGCAAGGGACCCGTAGGAATATCGTACGCAGCGGGGAGTATGCTCCCTTAGCCAGAGGCGTACGATAGGGGAGGAAACCACCGACAGGACGTACTAGAGAGTACTATAGCTGGAGATCAAATGTATGGTATCGCCGCTACAAGGAACTCATAGCTCTAAAGGAGTAGTATAGCCGGCCGGAGAGGACAGACGCACATGTCGGTCATCCAAGAGGGAGGAAGTATTATGCCTCTTATAGAGGGCTTAAGGTACAAACCTTGGAGTCCCGTGGCCTAGTATTATTATGCTTGGTCCGGTAGAGAGGTTTGGCCTTGCCTCTCTGATTAGATTACCTCTATAAGGCGGATCTTCGCGATTACACTTAGGTAGCACATTTGTAGAGTGATAATCTAAGGACTTCAAGGCCAAGGGGCTTGCAATAGGCTCCAACGAAGGTTCCGGAGGCTACGGGGCCGGCCCCGGAGCCCAGGAAAGCCAACAGACGTCGAAAAGGCCTCGGCTGTAGTGGCCGAATGGAACGCCCAGGCTAAAGCCTTGGGCCCACCATTGGCCAAGACCCAGGATGACTGGGCATTATTAAGAGCTTGGGAGGCCAGGTGGAAAACCCAGGTCCAGGGACAGCCAACCAGGCTAGCCGACGAAGGCCTACCAACAGTTCTCTTCACAAACCAAGGCCTACGGAAACACCAAGGCCTTACAAAGGCCAAGAGCTCCCTACTAGTACAGGCCCGTACGGAGGCTATAGGCCTACGGGACTTTCTTTTTAAACAAAAGGCCCGTAACCAGCCTACCCCCTATTGCGAATGCGGGGAAGCCAGAGAGACATTAGAGCATCTTGTGATTTGGTGCTCTATACCACCTATACCAAGAACTTGGCCTAGGCAACTAATACGCACCCACCGGGACCTTAGCCTTGTTTTACAGGGCCTAGGCTACCGGAACCGAAGACTTCTGAAGAAGGTACTGGGTTGGCTAATGGACTCGGGCCGGCTAGGGGAATATAGGCTCGCTCGGAACCTCGATGAGGAACTGGAAGCTAGAGAGCCCGGCTAGCCACACCCGTGGCCACGGCTTAGCCGGGCTAGCACCCTACTAGCCGTTGGCCCAAGGCCTTCCCAAGGCCTTTTTCCTTACTTGCAGCAACGTGTATCACTGAAACCATGTCTTTCCTATTACTTCCGACAAAGGTTTTTACCCAGCCTGAATGGTACGGTTTTTCCTTTGTACATAGCAGTAGAGGGTCCGGCGCGCCTTGTAAATAGCTAGGCATAGCGGAGTAGGAGAATATATATATTTTCTCTGCCTTGACCTTTGCCTGGGGTACTATAATATCTAGTCCCTGGTGTAAATCTGCTTTATAACTAAAATTCGCGAAGAATAAAGTAACCTTTGTTGTCTCTATTGGTGTTGTATTATATATAAGTTATACCGCTGGCAATAGATTAACCTAGTCGTTCTATTAGAAGTTGACGAACGTTCTAAGGTATTGTTTAACAATCTGGTTAAGCCTTTCTATCTGGCCATCTGTCTATGGGTGGTATGCTATTAAAAGCTTGCTCTTTATGCCCAAACGCTTTATAAGCGCTTGCTAAAACTTTGATGCGAACTTGGTGTCTCGGTCTATAATCTATTCTTCTAGCCATCTATGAACTGCTATAATATACTAATAGATCGTATCTATAAGTTGCTCTGCTAACCATGATTCTTTATATAGGAAGAAGTAGCTCTACTTGGTAAGTCGGTTAACTATAGTGAGAATGCTATTATACTTCGTTCCTATAGTCGAGTCCTTTAAAAGTAGTAGTTTGGTGATAAAGTCTATCGTTACCGAACTCCATAGTTGTTCTATAACTGGCAATGGTTCTAAGAGCCTATATAGTTTATACCGTGCCGACTTGCTTTGATTATAGAGGTTATATTCCTATATAATAGTCTTGACTCTGGTCCTAAGTCCTAGGAAGTTGTAGTGTTGCCGAACCTTAGCGATGGTTTTAGCAATTCCTATATGTCCTCCGAGTTTCGACTCGTAGATTGTCTTGATCAATTCTGTTTAATCCTATAGTACGATGTAGGCTTTGCCGTTATACTATAACGCTCTATCTGGGCCCGGGAGGCCGAACGTATGGCTAAAGCCGCACCTACAGCCTATAACAAGGCCCAGCTAAATCAGAGACTCCGGGACCTTTCAAGGGCTATACGACAGGCTAGAACAAGGACCTGGAGGTCTACCCTACAGGAAGCCAGTCATAACGAATCACTCCTTTGGAGCCTAGAACGGTGGGCTCGTTGCAAGAGCTTCCAGCCTACTAGCCCCCCTAGGCTCCCGGCCATCAACGGCTATACCACCCATACCCAGAAGGCCCAGGCCCTGGCCAACCGTTTCTTTCCAAGCCCGCCAGCTGACCTCTCCAACATCCAAGATCCCACCTTTTCCCAGCCGTGGGAACCGAAGATCCCAATAAGCCAGGTGGTTAGTGCTAGGGACATACAAGATGCCATTGCCCGGGCCGCTCCCTGGAAGGCCCCAGGTAACGACTACCTCCCTATAGGCCTATTGAAGGCCTGTGGTAGGCCATTGTACAGGATCCTCGCACTACTCACCCAGAGATGCCTCGAACTACAATGGGTGCCAGCCAGGCTAAAGGAGGCTATAGCTATAGTGCTCCCAAAGCCTGGTAAAACCCCAGCTGACTACCTTACCCCCGGAGGCTATAGGCCTATTTCGCTCCTTCCTACCATTGGCAAGGTAGTGGAAATAGTGGTTACCAAAAGAATCACAGAGGCAGCCGAAGCCTACGGCCTATTACCCGACGAGCAGATGGGTAACCGAGAATATAGGTCAACAGACCTAGCCATTCGGCTTGTGGTAGCCCAGATCCAAGAGGCCTGGAGACAACGCGCTACGGCTTCCCTATTGCAGTTAGATCTCACAGGGGCCTTCGACCGGGTAAATCATACCCGGTTACTGGCTACAGTCCGGGACCTCGGGCTCCCGCAGTGGCTTGTAGGTTGGCTACGGTCGTGGCTAACGGGCCGGAAGGCCACACTCCTATTCGACGGCCAACTTGCCCCGGAAATCGACATCCGAGCTGGAGTGCCACAAGGATCGCCACTATCACCAATCCTCTTTATACTATATATAGCCTCGCTATATAAAGTACTAAAGGAAAAGCACCCTCTGGTCAGCTTAGTGGGATTCGCAGACGACACCAACCTCCTAGCTTTTGGAAGGGACCCCTATATCAACTGCCGGCAACTGGAACAAGCCTGGGCTACATGTCTACAGTGGGCTAAATCCTACGGAATGGAATTCAATGGGGCCAAGTCAGAGCTGATCCACTTCAACAAAGGCCGTAAACAGTGGTCTGAACCACTACGACTAGCCAAACCGGGCCACCCTCATGACCACACTACGGTTAAACCAACGGCTTCAGCCCGGTTCCTAGGGGTCTGGCTCGACTGGAGGCTTTCTTGGAAGGCCCACGGAGCCAGCATAGCTACCAAGCTAAGAACCCAAGACTTTGCCCTATCAAGGATAGCAGCCAAGACCTGGGGCCCGGGGCTAATCAGGGCCAGAGAGGTCTATACCAAGTGC